AAGGGATATAATAACAGGCTATATAATTTGAAGGTGTTATTATACCAGAAACCGTGGTTGAGAAAGGATTTGGTACAAGTTTATAGTCTAGAAGCAAGCTCTAAGAATTGCTGTTCCTTCCACACCAGCCCAGCCAGGGGAAGCCCAGTTAGTGTCCAGAGGAGCATTGGGCTGGAAGGAGAGGAAAACGGGACTGTGTGCGTGCTCACACGTCTACAGCTGCAGTGACAGACCAGACAAGAAGCGTGGTAAATCAACACGCAGCTTCTCGAGCGAGCTGAAAATGTTCTTCCCACATAGGTGACATGTCATGAAATTCGCAGAAGTTTTTGAAATCGAGTTGGAAAAGCACAGGAAATGAGCGCGCTGAGTTCTCATAGTGTGAGAGCCAACTGAGTGGGTTCATAAAGCACTTGGTCTGGTCTGAAGTAGTCAGTACGTGAACGCTATAGGAGCCTGCATCCTCTGCTTTTCAGAGTTAGATTGCTAAAAATGGAAATATATCACATCTGTTAGTGTAAGCGTGCGTGCAGTGAAGGCTGGTGACCTACCCATCATGTGCACTCCGTTTTTCGCTTCTTAAGAACTTCACTAATCTTCAACGTTAACTAATTTTGCTGAAAATTTCCGCCCCGCGTTCTCAGCCCGATGTTTAAATCAAAGTTTTACAACACAGATCAGTCACATCGCAGAATGAATACTATCGAAAAACCCAAGGGGAATTAATAACGCTGCTTGTAGGGCAGAGGTAAACAGTGTGGGGCGGCATCACTTTTGGGTACAAAACCAACCCTTTGAGAACAAAGCCAACCCCGAACGGTGCGTTCAGCGAAAGGGTCCCGTGGGAAAAAAGGAGGCGGCGAGCGCATCCATCGCGAGGGTGAAGTAATAGTGCGTATACACCCAAAGGATGCAGATACAGTGCAGAAGGCAACCTCATAGTAATAAACGGGGTTTGGATTTTCAAAAAGAACATCTTAGGGAAGCCTACATATTGCTTTGTGAGCATAAGCAATCGTAAACATCCCCTGGCTGCGTCCTTTTCATGAAACAAGAAACAAAGCGGGCTGCGAGAGAAGAAAAAGAGGAAGAGCTTGAAAACAGTGCATAAAACCAAGTTCTGGTTTGGTCAGATATTATCTGGGATTTTCCTCTCCTTGTGTTTTAGGGACTTTTGTCCCCGAAGCAGGCCTTCCAGCTTTGCGTTTTGCTTCCAGTTCTTTGGCTGTGGTGGTTCCAGTGCCTGGCAGCGATGGCTGGGGAGGTGCGGCGGGGCCGGCGCCTCCTTGCATCTGGGCAGCAGCACCGTCCGTCCACGTCTCACTTTCGTGTCGGCTCCCCAAAACATACAGGAGGCAACACTTAATTTTCAGGTCCAAGCGAGTCTCAGCGCACAGGTTTGCCTCCGCTTGAGCAGGGACATGAGCTGTGTGGGCTTCTTCTCGGAGCCTGTGGAGGTTTCATTTGTTGCCTTTGCCTGGGAAAACGTTTTATGTGTCCAACTCCGTTGCTCAGGTAGGAAACCAGAGCTAGGGGACATCCAGAGCCTCGTGTGAGCTCACGTGAGATATTTACAAATGCCTGGTGGAGCTCGAAGCCAGTTTCTGTGGTGTCTGATACCTTGAAATATCCCCCAGCTGACAATTTAATCCTGTTTCCTTATTCTCAGGAAACGCTTCTTGCGTTTCTGGGTTTTTTTGTAGAGCGTGGGCTCTCAGCAGAATGTGCCAGCTTGGCAGGAGGTGTCGCAGCCCCGTCGGCTTTTCCTGTTCCTCCATCCCCGCCGGCGTATTGACAGCTGCCTTCTGATCAGGGACAGATTGGCAAATAGATTTGAAGTATTGCGTTTATTCCCCTTCCTTCTCTTTCTTTGACTTCAGAGGCATACAGGGGTTGGGAGGGGTTATTCAACTATGTTGTATATTTGTCTTTTTTTCCTTAGAAATGCTGGGAACATTGGGCTAGAACCGTTCTGCTTTTACTGATAAGATCTTGGCTGCGGCATCTTAGGCAGGAATTGGAGTTTTCAGCAGATACTTTTCTTCCAAATTTCCATTAAGGCTTAATAGTTCAGTTGCCAAACCAGAAGCAAACTGATTTTGAGAAACCTGCCTTCTAGAATTCCCTCTACCAAATTTTATGGGGTCTTCATCTGTGTATGAGGACAGAAAGCTTTTTGCAGGTCTTAGGTCTCTTGGTTGACCTAGTCCAAAGAAATTAGATGTCACTTTTGGCACTTGTGATGCCATGGTATTGTTTACATGCTCATGCACCAAAAATCACGAATTTTGTGGTTGAAACCCTTTGTGAGAAGGATGAGTCATTGTCCCCCTCTGCTGGTGGGTGCCCCGGGCTGGGAATTGGCTCTCCCAGCCAGCCAGCTGAGCTACTCGGCGGCTCCAATACGGCCTTCCAAGGAGGCGGCAAGTATCTGTGTGTAGGTAGGGCAGGATTGAAGTGATGAAAGAAACCTTTTGCTCAGGGGAGAGCTCAAAATACTCTAACACATCAGCTTTCAAGGTGTGGTGTTAGCAGAGGGTGTCTGGGAAGAGCCTTCCTCTCTTGCCCTAACGATCTTCTCAATGCGCGTCGCAGAAGACCGTTGTCACGTTAGGAGCAGAGAGTGGCGAAGGGAAACGTGCTCTGGGAAAAGCGAAGGCTGTGCAGTCACACAGCTTCCAGCAGAGTCAGGCACGTCTGTCATGGTGTCCCCGCCACCCCGGGTGATGCCTGTGGAGGATGGTGTGGGCGCCGGGCAGGATGAGGCCTGCCGAGCGCAACGTGAGCCAAGCTGAATGAACTCGAGGAGGGAGGGCTGCAGGGGTGCCCACAGGCTCGTCAGCGAAACGCTCAGGAGGGAGGGAGATAATCTGCAGAAGATAAACCAAAATCAGTGCTCCACCGAGGCTCTGAAACTGTCAAGTGGCAGAGGATTAAAATTCCCCTCAGGGTCCTTCTGCCATGAAGCTGTGACAGGGCTGCGTGAGGCGGGCTTTGGGCTGGAGGCACTGAGGTGAATGTGGTGGCCTCAGGCAGGCCGGGGCCAGGAGCCCGGCCATTTTGTGAGGGAGAGGTGGGGCAGGGAAGGAACCAGCCTCAGTGGGGCTCTCAGACCATCACCATGCCCTTCTGACAAGGTGTTTTCCTCATGAAGGCTTGGTAGTGAGCAGCAAGGTGGGAGCTGGCCGCTGGGCTCTCCTCTCGTCCCCAGAAACGTGCTGCAGAAGAAGCAGCGGTGTGGTTCGTCTCTGTTCTGGGAATTGCTGCCCCGATTAGCAACAAGCAGCAGCTATTAAGCAAAACCAAGGAACGCGACGTTGAGAAAAACCAGTTTTGATTTATGAATCTGCAAGGGCAATGGTTTTACATTTCCCTTCACATTTTAAAACCTCTAGACAATCTTTTTAATGTTGTGCCCACGCAGACATTAAAATATATTGAGTTTCAGTTGCAAGATACGTCGTTGAAAAGGGAGTGTTTTCAGTTAGATTACAGCTCCGTCCCTAACCTTTTGCATTTACGTTTTCTGGTGCTGTGCAGACATAATTACTGGCTTGTCTGCCTGTTCCAGTAATTGCGCTCTCAATTACTTCTTCCCCATATTATTGCTGAGGGAATGTGTCTAGAAACTCAAATTTAACATTAACGTGACACAGACGAAAGGAACATGCAATTTAATTGTAAACATGTGCTGTGCTGTTAAATATTATTTTTGTTGTGATGGTGTGATGCTTGCTGGGCACTTTCCAAGTACAAGGGAGGTGTGTGGTTCCGTGCCAGGCTTTCCCCAAACTAAGCCTAAGGCTTATCAAAGCGATATCTTTAAAGTCTGCTATGTGGGATTAAGGCCCGATGCTGTTGCAGCAAAACCAATATGCGTTTAGTTCAAGTACGTGTTGGCAGAGAGGGGGGAGAAGAGAGAAAGGAGGGATGGAGGGTACAGATGGAGGAGTCCTTCAGCCTTGGATGGGTGATGGGCAACATTTACCACACCAGCACGTTGAAGGGGAACATCCACACTTGCCAGCTCCTTCGCCGATGCCCCACGCTCTGTCATTAGGACTGGGACTAGGGAGACTCCTTACTGATGCCCATTCTTTTCCCTGTGCTTCTTAAGCATCTCTCTAGCACCTCTTTGGTTTTACAGCCCCAGCATCAGACACTACATTAAATAGAGGCAGTGTCACACCTACCATTAAAAAAAAAAAGGTATTGATGTTTTCCCAGTTTGCTTCAGGTGATGCAGATAAGCTGTACCTTTGGGTGGGGGTAGTTTTGCAAAGCAGCCCCAGAATACTGAGGTTATTTGTGGTCATGGGAAAGGCTTAAAAAAACATAGGCTCTTGGAAGGTGTCCCTGCTGCCTGAAGGCATGGAAGTTACTGCTATGTTCCTTGTGAACAAGGCTCCTCCAAGAGAAATGTGAGCCTGGCAGTGATGCTCACTCCTGTGGGCAGTCCCCATATCCTCTGCCACCCAGCCAAGGCTGTGCCATCTCCAGCAGAGCAAAGGAGAGTAAAAGGGCAAAGAACAGAACCTGATAATCTGGAAGGGGGGTCTAGCGAATAATTACGATTGCTAATATTCAGTTAAAAGTTACAAAGAATGAAGTGACTTCAAAAGCCACGTTGGAGGTGAAGCAAAGGGAAAAATACTCCTTTGGTGTTGCAGCTGAGGGTTGCTTTGGGCATGACTAGACAGATTGGTGATGCTCTGAAAATATGAAAAAATGATAAAACAATCACAGCTTTCCACCTGCTTTTTATTTGCCTCTCAACCAGTGCAACCAAAGAGGCAAAAAGAATTAGTAGATTTATGAAGAGTGTGTGGACTGCACTCCTGGGTGCTTGCTCTGACTGCATTTGGTTGACTAGATCTGGATCTGTGATACATTACTGGAAAGATTCTGTCTGATCACATGTGGCTTTTTATCAGCCTGACCATGTATTTGGTGCCTCTGATACTGTACAAAGGAATTCCTGACTTTTTCTTTTTTTCCAGCCAGGTACAAGTTGCTCTTGGAGAGCGTGAAGATAATCTGTTTCAGTCGCGTAGAGGATCAGACAGTCACATAAATGCAGGTGTGTTGGGTTCTGAGGTTTGGTTTTGTTTGTTTTTCGGTGGGAGGATTATGTTTGTAAACTACAGAATTGGTGGTTTGGGCTTTTGTTATTAACTGAACTGAAGTTTAGTAAAATGTGGAACACAGACCCCAGAGTAAATGAAGTCTGTGGTCACTTAACTCCTTTCTGCCCTTTCTGTTTAAGTACCAAGTATAAAAAGCTATGCGCCTTTCCTTTCGAGTCAGAGCTCCCTTGTATGCCTTCTTGGCAGTCTGAAAGATCTTTCATTAAGCCACATTTTCACCCTGACACACAAAGTATAAGGAGTTCAAAAAAACAAAGGGTAGGATGGGAGAAAGTTATCTGAAGTATTTAGCTGTTAAGATAGATTGTAAAAATAGAAGATGACTTTTTTTTTTTTTAAGGAAACGTAAATTGTACTGTTTATGTTAGCCAGCCTCAAGTATTGTTTTTCAATCAGTTAGATACTTAAGGATGTGAAAGTTATTCCTGCTTTACAGTAAGAGAAACCTTTCAGAATAGTTGTGGAACGACCAGAACTTCAGCTGAGGGGAATTATTTGAAGCAGTTACCAGAAACAGAATAACCATTGACATTTATTTTTTCACTTTTCCCCTCATTTATGAAAAACGTTGGCTTTGAATAATCAGGTTACCAATATGAAAAGATTGAGAAATGCTGTACCTAGCTCATCACAGTATTCAGTAACCTTCCTAAACAACACATTTGTGTACTGACAAATATTTTCACAAGAAATAAGGATGAGCCAAACTGAGCCTTCAATTTTGTACCTTTAAGCAATCTCTAATTTTATCTATGAATTGCATTTTATTTATTCTATGACCTAAATAGTCTACTTCCAGTCAAATTTTTATTTTTGTCTTTTTTTTTTAATATGGAAATTTGTGGTTTGGAATGTTTGCCACTGAACTGGCAATTAAAAATATGGAACTAAATCAACCAAACTCTCCTTCATCATGTTTTCTTTAAATACGTTTCCTCCACTTTCAGTATCTAAATGTAAAAGAAGATTGCAAAGCCATGGCTTTCTGTGCAAAAATGAGGAGCACAAAGAAGAGCGAAGTAAACCTGGAAGCTCAGCATCAGGGTTTAGAAATACTCTTCTACCTGCAAGATGAAGATCCCATTCGGTATACCAGTGGCGAGTTTACCTCGGAAGAGTTGTGCATTGAAGCCGCCCGGAAGTGTTGTGAGTATATGGATTTTGTAGGAGTTTTCAGTGACAAGGTGTGACAGCATTAAAAGTGATAATTCCTTCTCTGCACAACGGTCAGTAAGTGTAGAAAAAGTAAGCATGATACAAAGTCTGGGGTGGAAACCTTTTCCAAGGGTCTGCTCGGGCAGTTCTCAAACTGTTTAGAGTAAAAGAAGTGGAAGGGACTTTCTTGAGATTCATGTAAAATGGTGATCTCTCACCCTGGTTTCTGGCAGATACAAGTACTGATTCCTTTTAGTGGGATTGATTAGGTTTCTTATAGGAGAAGAGGAGACACAGTGTGCAAATATGTTACACAAAGCTGTTTTTACGTTATACTAGATGGTATGGCCGTCAAGATCTGTTCCATGTTATTTTGGAGAGGGCTAATTGGAGAAAATATACCCATTTGCTGCTTTCCCAGTTTTAATTTTCTCTTTTGTTGCCCGACACTCCTTTGCAGAATTACAATGTCTGTAGTATTAACAATTCACCAGTTAAGATTAGTGTGTATCTAGTTAAGATTACCATAACTGTGCACAATCCTGGTAATACAGAAATGTATAATGAAAACTTCTTGCTTTGCCGTTGTGTTCCTTGACTCAGCAAAATACTTGAATATCTGTATAATTCTATTGGGATCAGTCTATTTAATCCACGTTTAAGCCTCATGAATCCTAGGTGTAGTGTACTTCTGCATTTACACTTCTGAACTTCTGAGGTTCTTTTATCCCCCTGAATTTTCTGTTTCCCAAGGTTCCTGGAATACTAAACACTGCTCAGCTGATACGGGAGTAGTAAATCCAGCTGTATAAACATCTAACTGCCTGTTTGGGCATAAGCTTTCTGTAGTTTTGCAATATTTTCTTTTCCCACGCCATCTTGGTTCTTGTGAGATTGGGCACCCTCCAGTTCATTTACCTACTTACATCTCTTTCATTCTAAAGACAGGAATGATAGGAATCTGAAGGACAGATCTGATCAAATAAGTACTCATATTGTTTTTGAGTACTTTTAATGAGAATGAGGAGTACTTAAAACCTGTTTGTGTCAGCATGTAAAAGCTGTGAGCTGCTGCTCTTTGTAGAGGTGTGAGCCCGTATACTGTGCAACTGCAGCCAGTAATTTCTGTTAGAAAGTTAAAAACTTTTAAAGAAATGACTTTAGGTGAATTTTCCTTAAGGGAACTTCTTTCTGCCTTCTCTTGGTCTTTGCTAAGTCTACAACAAGTGCATGTGAAGGACAAAAACCTTACCCATTTCAGCAAGCCTGTGATGCTGGTCTCTGCTGTAAATCACTGCTTGCGTAGTTAAACCACCGACGGCATCTACGTGCTGCTGGTTGGCCGTCTGGAAGCAGTGGGTGTCCAGCCCCATCCTCTGTGAACTTTGCAGTTAGGTTGTTCAGGTTTTATTTCCTTGGTTTCTCTTCTTTTTTTCGCACTCTCTCTTACAAATTCGAAGCAGAATTGGTTTCACTGAGTTCTGTAGGACCAGAATGATGTGCTCGGCAGTTGACCCTGATTCAGAACAGCACTTAAGCACATGTTTTAGTGCTCTCTGGGACAGAGCTGCTTGCCTGGACGGGGCTTTTGCAAAAAGGTACTGCCTCCTATTGAACAGGAAGCTGAAGCAAGGAATTCAAACAAAGGCAGTCCCGTAAACATACCACTTGTTTTTCTCTGGGATGGTGTAAAGGCGAAGGTTAAAGCAGGTCAGCCCAGACCTACAAGTTAAAGTCTGTTCTTTGTTAGAAAACCCTCTGTTGAATTAGCAAAGAATGGAAAAATGATGCGTTATGCTTTCTGCCTGTCTGCTAACGAGAAGGGGATTTTGATCATTTTCCTCAAACCTTCTCCTTCAGCTATGGGAGCAAAATTTATTAATAAAGTAAAACAGAACGAAGTTGTGGTGTTGCTGAGTAGTTCTTTTAAAACACCCATTTCTGTGATTTGGAAAAGGTGAATTTTTTAAAGGCTTTTCCTCTTAAGTTCAGACCTTTGGCAAAATTATCTTCCAAAATAAATTCCACGGTAGAAATAGCTAATAGAAATGTCAGGCTGTTTAATACATAATGCAGTAAGTGGAGTCAACCAGTACACAGTTTGCAGTTCCCCTTTGGTCATATCTTTCTAATAATTGCTTTAAACTAATCCTTGTGTCAGTTTTTTTTTTAATGGTATATTTTGCAAGATCAGATAATTAATTGATGTATTTATATTTTGAGTTGCTCATATGTCTTGTGGCCTTGTGAATTCACGTGCTTGCTTTCTTTCCTCTGACAGCTATATCTCCTCTGTGCCATAATCTCTTTGCACTGTTTGATGAGAACAAAAAGCTCTGGTATGCACCAAACCAGGTCTTTAAGATAGATGAAAAAACTTCTCACCGGCTGCATTATCGGATGAGGTAAGTGTAAAACATCTGAAAAACGATTACTTGGGGACTGGAGCATTTGTCTTAACAATAGATAGACCCTCTAATTCATACTGAACTCACTAAAGAAACTAAAAAGTAAAACCAAAAGCAGCAGCTTGCTCTTCACACCATAGATAAGAGATTAACAGGAAAAGCTTTAAACGTCTCCTGATTTTTTTTCATCTTTGCTATATAACCCTGAAAAACACCCCAGAAGCTGAAAACCACAAGAACCCATATCCACGAAACAGTAGGTGACTGAACTGTATAACAGCTAAATTGAAAAAAATGGCTCAGAAATGTTTTATCATATCAGTAGTTTGCATGTTTCAATTTCCATTTGAAGTGTTCGCAGTGAACTGTACTCCTGCTGAAGTCAATGGGAATTTTGCTTTTAGCTTGAAAGGAGAAAGCCACACGCTGTTGCTTTTGAAATTCTCCTCTAGGACTGCAGGGGAATCCATGTGGCCTGACTGCAGGTGGCAGTTACTAGATGGGAGAAAGCATCAGAAAATCAAAGCCGGTGTTGGCAGGATCTTTATCCTCCACGCATACCAAGGGGCTGAACTTCAGGGGGTGATGTAAGAATAGAGCACGTTCCCTGTTGAGATCCATGGGGCAGAATGGGTGTACTGGCTCTCATCCACTGCAAAGTGAAAGCAGCAGAACTGACAGCTCTTGAGCACTGCCACATTCACTAGCTAAAGGAAAGATGTCCCTCCTTTTTGGTATATTTTTCGTTATTCTATTTTGATAGAAATCCAGTTCTGCACGTTATGCTGCTTTTTTTCCTTTTTTTTTTTTTATTTTGACTATTCTTGCATCAGTATGAGCTTTAAGTTTGCAGTGTAGGAGAGAAATATATAGAAAAAGCTTTGCTTTTAGGAATAATTAGTCTAGAAACTTTCTGAAGTTTCTGAACTTTCTGAAACTTTGCCCATCTTCCTGAAGGAAGCGCACTAATCATCACGTTTTTGTTGATTCTTCAAGGAACAACTATAAGAAAATAAGCTTCTGTGTAACACCCATCCTTGGCATAAAATGTAATACTCACATATACGGTCAGTTTAGGCTGCAGAGAAAAACATTTCCAAAATTGGGTGCTCATATAGCTGTATGCGTTGTGATATCTTTTTTTCCTGATAATCACTATCACTTGCACATGCTAATGAGGGAACTGGCACATGTAAGCCTCAGGCTGTGCATCCCAACTGTTTTCTAAGCTTGTTGGAGAAGAGCAGCCACTTTGCTTATGCAGATATGAAAAGAGAGCTTTGTAAATGGGATCTTTGAATGGTAAAATATTCCAATTCTGGTTACAACTTGTGCTATACTGGAATTGTTACTATTATTGGATGAATTGTTATGAGAAAAAAAAAGTACTGCCAGTTTACAACAAGATCTTGGCTTTTCAAAGAATCGTGGTACTGATACCTGTATTTAAAAGAGGAAGAGGGTACTGTAGTATTTTCTTTTTTCTGCAACACTGCATAAATGCTGTTATTAGCAGCATTAATGGCTTAACTTCAGCTAATCTTGGATTTAAACAGCTGTGATTAAGTTTGGCAGATAAACACCCTACAAGAGTGGAATTGAGTGACTCTTTAAAGAAAGCTCTGAGGACTCTAAAAGCTTGTTACAGGGCATTAAGTGCCTTTTCTTGATTTAAGAGATGAGTCAGATTAACAGTATACTGATAATAAAAAATAATAAATTATTCATATAATCTGAATCTGGGACATTTTCCCCTGATACTGGAATTCTTTGATGAGGTCTGCTCTTCTCTGCAGAAAAAAGAGGGTATTTTAAACATACAATTGTGGGAATTTAATCCTCTGATTAGAAGTTTGATGCTTTGTTGTTAATTTAATTTTAATTTAATTCTTAAAAAATATTTTCCACTCTGTTTGGTGTTTGTATGTTTCCACTTTGGATGGGTGATGAGGACTCACTCCGGGAGCTTCCCTAAATTTAGGTGCTAAAATCTAGAGATTCCCGTCTCCCCAGGAATACTGCAGTGCCTTGTTGAAGTGGGGTTTTCCTTTCTTTCATTTACTGTCTATTTGGTGTCTTGGCTTGGAAACCTGAACTGAGAGAGGGCTGAGCACTGAGGAATTATGAACAGCACAGGATTGTGAAACTCTTCTCTAAATAAATGTTTGTTCAGAGCTCTGCAAGAGGCATAATTCCTTTTGAAAAAGGAAAGTGGGCTGGGCTTTTTCAACAGTGCACTGTGTTAGATTGTACATAATCATTCCGAGACTAAATCAGTTTTATGTTGACCTTACTTCTGAAATTTCAGTGAATTGATAGGTTTGATTTTTCCTATTGAAATTATATTTATAGAAAATGAAGGTATGATGTGACTTAGTAGTTTGAGATGCTTTTAGATGTTAGATTTTTCTTCCACTGCTGAAAGCTTTGTGTTGCATTTCTGATAGCACGGACTTCCCATCTTCCTCTTCTCCCTGGAAAATCCATGCTACTTAGTATACTCTTGGTGCTATTTTGAAAGGACTTGCTTTTTACTAGAAACTTTGTAACAGGACCCATATTTGCATCAAGTGAAAAAGGAGCCTACAGCATAAGAAACCACAGTATTTTGTAATATCCTGACTAATTAGCTCACAAGCTTAACTATTTCATAGCTGGATGGTGTTTAAGCCAGAAGTTTAAAGTGTTTGTTGGCATGGCAAAGGGACCCAAGGCATGGGTTTTGGAAATCTGGAAAAGAAGAGTTGTCAGAGTCACCCACAGGTGAAAGAGAAGAAAGAGCAGGTGCCCTTCCAGCATTTCACCACTCCTTGGCCAGACTGAATGGATCTCCTTTCCAGGTCTTTTGCAGGACTTCTGAATCCAAAAACTTGTGCTCCCATTTCTGCCTTTGAAAGTGGAATAATAATCATCTTTCTCTCCTTGCCACAAATCAATCAGTCGCTTCAAGGCAGAGGCTCTCCTGCTTTGTTTATATGGTTCCACAAACAATGGGGCTTTAATTTTTATTGTAATTTATAAGTCTTGTTTTAATCATGGCAGTCTAATAGGTAAAGGAACAAATTCTTCACTCAGTTACAAACAATATGTGATACCTTGCCCATAATTGTTTTCAGGAAATAACAAAACAATTGGTGTTATTAATTATCAGTCATTTCATAAAGTAGCATGTGGAAAAAAAGTAATTTCCTGGAGGCAGAAGGATTTGCTTTCCTTTTGCTTTTTGTGCTTAAATCAAAGGATTTGGTATCTTACAGTATCTTACAGGATGTGTTGGGAGTTTTTACCGTAGTTGTGTGTTGGTGTTCCTACCCATGCTATGTATGGAAGCTTTTTGGGTCTTAAAAGGACTTATTAAAAAGAAAGAGAGGACAGAAACATGATACAGAGAGTATCTTTAAGACTAATTGATAATTTTTCATATGGGCAGTCAACTTACTGTGCAGATACGTGATGAAAACACGTGGTCCCAAACTAAGAACACAAATTTTCTTTTGCTCTTTAAGATCCTGAGTCTGCACTGAGGGTGGTACACACCAACCTTGACCACTGCAGAACTGGGACTCAATCCACGAGCTCCCATTCTGGTCAGAGACAAATCATGAAATTCTAGTCACATATTTCAGAACGTGCACACTTGCATGAGGGTTGTCCTGTCCTGTAGCGTTCGTAAGCATTTGCTGACTGATTTGCTGTCTGCTTGCTCTCTTCCTGTCTTCCAGGATACGCCTCTTGCAATTTGTATTGCGTTACATTCGAATTGAAACTGGGCAACATTTTGATTTGTTACTTAAACAGATCTGTTATTTGTGATTTTCAAATGTGCCTGTAGTTTATAAGGTACTTCATCTATTCCGCTTTTTCTTTCAATACAGAAAATGTGTATTTCCAGGTCAGGAGTTCGATATAACTTATTTTTTTTCCACTCAATTTTCTTTACTTCTCCTTTGGTGTGCAGTGCTTATTACCTTTCACATTCATTTGTCTTTTTCCTTTGTAAGTTGATCTCAATTTAGTGTTATTTTGGTCACGCAAGCTCCTTATGACTTTGCTGATGGCACATTTAGGCAGACGTTAAAACCTTAGCTGTCATGAATTTGTGGTAACATTCTGTGGAGCTCACTGTGGTCACTGTCCATCAGGGAAGCCTCCTTTTGCACCTCCCTTTGTATTAGTAAGTACTTCTGCATTGTTTGCTCTGGGTAGAGCCAAATGCTTCTCTGGAGTTAGTGGTGTATTCTAGCAGAAATCCCTCCTACTTAGCGGCTGGATAAATCTGCTCTCCTGTAACCTTTTAATTGTAAGTACGTCATGATCACGTGCAAGGCGTGAACTCTTGCAAAAGGCACATTGATTCAAACCAGATTTAACTAAGCTTTATGTGATTTACAATCTTAATAGAACTCAGAAAGAAATCTCTGCAGCAATTCAGACAAAGATTTTTCAAAAGCTTCTGACAGACTCTTGATCTCAACAATTTCATTCGCTTGCAGCAGATGCCAACTCTTTTAGCAGGTTTTCAAAAAGCCTTGTGTGCAGATAGAGTAAAAAGCTTATTTGTTAAACACACAGAAGATTGACTGTGTCCCTTTAAAGCTGGATGATTTGAATTAGTGTCGTTTTCACCATCTCCATCCAAAACCAAAGGGAAGCAGAAATTCCAGTGCATAACTTCCAGTGCTTCCAGCTGTGGCCTGGAGGGAGGCACTCAGCGGTTATGGAGGAGGAGGTCTGAAGCCATGTTAACCCTTCAGATGAGTCATTTTAATTTGGAATGCAAATATCAACTATTGGTTAATGCACAGCAGAGGCATAGCCTCTTACACTGAGGCAGAAGACTGAAGGTTTTTGGCATGTACCTCGTTTTGTTTTGCAAGTTTAGAATATGTATCTAATATAAATTGAGGATTTTCTCTCGGATTTTTAAAGTTTATTTCTCTTTTTCTTGCAAGATACTACTTTACAAACTGGCATGGGACTAGTGAAAATGAACCCTCCGTGTGGAGGCATTCACCAAAGAAGTCAAAAAACTCTTATGAGAAGAAGCATGTTCCAGAAGGAACCCCGATCCTTGACGCAAACTCATTAGAATACATCTTTGCACAGGTAAGAGGTTGCATGCAAGTGTCTGTGCCATTCCACTAACACAACAGCTATTTGATCCAGTAGAAATTGTCTGCTTTAAAGAACTATTTTCAAGCTTTAATGTGTGTTTGACCTTACCTGTTGGCATTGGTCATGCTTCACACTACATGGAGAAAAGAGAATTTGCTCATGGAGAACAACCAGGCCATGTGCAGAACATGTAACGAAAACTGTCTCACAGTCCAAAAACGTAGCCACAGGCTATGTTTTTACAACACAATTGCTTTATTATTGACTGTTTTTTTATATAAATGCTATAGCTTTTATTTTGTGAAAATCTGGCACATGATGCCATCCGTAGAGTCATAGAATGGCTTGGGTTTGAAAGAACCTCAAGGATCATCTAGCTCCAATCCCGCTGCCATACGCAGGGACGCCATACGCATTGTCACACAGCCTGCTTGCATGCAGTTTTTCTTTCCTTCTGTTGTGCCTCCCAGTTGCTGGTGGCATGCTGCGTGCTGGTTGTGGCAAGTAGGTGCAGTTTCTATTTCAGCAAGCTTGTGTTGCTAATCAAAAATTGCTCTGCTGTGAAACCACACTGTGAGAAAATGCCCAGGTAGCTACAGCTAGAAATACATCTTAATGGTACCACTTGCATTCTAAAGTAGTAAGAAGCAAAGGGTTTCTTTTGTGAAATCTACCTAATTTGTGCCTTGTTTTATATCAGCATATAACATGCTGCAAAGTGTTTTTTGTCTTTTTTTTTTTTCTTTTCTGATTGCCAGCAAAAAAGGTAAAAACAATGAGTAGGGACCTTAGTGAATATTGCCAGATGATAGAGACTGTGTATGGGATGGATGTGCTGTGATGATGTTTGCAATGATTCCACCTGTTCCACAAATCATCATTTTAAGAAACTTTTCTCAGGCACAAGTGTTGATGTTTCTTCTCGAGTAGGCAGGCTTTGTGGGATAACTAGTGCTTGCCTACATTCCTGTTTCATTGGTCTAAGAGAAGATGGCATCTTACTGCATAGCTCTTATCTTCTTCCTCTACCCCTTCTTGTCATGGCTTTCAGTTTTGGGTGACTCTTTTCTTGCTCAAGGAGAGCCTCTGATCTTGTGACTTTGGTTGCTAGCGTGACAAATGACAGACCTGATATCTTTTTTTTTTTTCTTCTCTCCTTGTTAAGGGTCAATATGACTTAGTGAAAGGCCTAGCACCAATCCGTGACCCTAAAAATGATCAAGAAGTTCATGAAATTGAAAATGAATGCCTGGGAATGGCTGTCCTTGCAATCTCTCACTATGCCATCAACAAAAAGTTGAAACTTCCAGAGCTTCCCAAAGACATCAGGTAAGTTGGGATAAATTCTTCCTTGCTGCTGGATATGCTTCACTTCTCTTCCAAAAGGGATCTTAAGCATTTTACTTTGCACTGTCTGAGTACATGGGAGTTACAAGCTCCAACACATATACTGCTCTGTGTCTTCCTAATCTGGTCAATTGGGATATGTAATAGAAAATTTTAGTTACTTCTTACCTGAAGATGATATGAAATTGATGCAGCTAGTGCAGCCAGCATACTGATGTGTTGAATACTTGCTGTAAATTCAGGATTCCAGGTTAATAAATTCAGAAATTGTACTGTTGTTAAGTGGCAACTTAATGTTACTGATTTGGGTGGGCTGTATCCGTTTGCCTCTAAACCTTACAGGTAAGGTATTATTTGAATTCTTGTTGGCTACTAATTCCATAAACTGCTTCTGCACAGTGGTTTACTGTGTCTTGTTCTCTATTAATTGCTTTCAAAGTGTAAGGCAGCACCACATTTTAGAGTTAAAAACTTAGGAATCAACTGTCTTAACTCATACTGTTGTTTTTCTTCCTAGTTACAAGCATTATATTCCCGAAACTTTGAACAAGACGATCAGACAAAGGAATTTCTTAACCAGGATTCGGATAAATAATGTTTTCAAGCATTTCCTTAAAGAGTTTAACAACAAAACCATTTGTGACAGTAGTGTGTCTCCACGCGATCTGAAAGTTAAGTACTTATCAACAATGGAGACTTTGACTAAACATTATGGAGCAGAAATTTTTGAGACTTCATCTCTGCTGATTTCATCTGAGAATGAAATAAATAGATTTAATTGTGGTGACAACGAAATCCTTCCACTATATGAAGTCATCGTGACAGGAAACAATGGAATTCAGTGGAGGCTCAAGCCAAATGTAAGTATCCCTCGATAAATGTGAATTTGAGATTACTTTTGGGGGCATAACAACTGCTAAAAAATGTACATGATCCTCAGACACTGCAGATCAGCTTTTTCGTTTTTAAAAGGGCTCTTTTCATAGATTGTAGGATAATTCAAGTTGGGAGAGACCTCAGGAGTTGTCATGTCCAACCCCCTGCTCAGGGTTAGCTCTGAGGCGAGACCAGTTTGTTAGGGCTTTAGCTATTTCGGTCTAGGAAAATTCCAAGGATGCAGACTCCACATACTCTCTGGGCAGCCTCTTCACCTGGAAGTTTCACCAGAAAAACTGAAGACCTCACTGTATCTGCCAGACCAGATTCAAGTCACAAAAGGTTAATGTATGTGGAGGCCCTTATGGTTTGGTGCTCTGTCTCGATACCAAGGTCTGCTTACGCTTTTTTCTGTATGTTTGGCAACCCCAGATGCCAGAATTACTCATACTGATAGACTTTTCATGAGTAAGTTAAAACACAGTGACATTAAAGCTCAGCTTTCTCATGCAAGTGTTACTTTATATGATGTCCTTTGTTTCAGTGCTGCTGAGCTCACTTTGTTTAACCTTTTGTATTTTGTATATATGAATATTAAATGTACTTTGTGCTTGAAGGGTTTATGGCATATTCTATAGTTTTTCTCCACATACAATACATGAACAAATAGACCTCTTTTTGCTTGCCTCAGTTCCCTACTGTGATGAGAAACCTACTGATAGCTATCTTTTGTAGCACAGAAAACGTTGTGCTTCGCTACATTTAGATGTAAGCTAATTATCTCTGGTGGAGAATTTCTGTTTGAAATGATAATATTAATGAGGGGGAGGGAAAGAAGAACGGATATTGAGAAGAAAAGCTTGCAAGAAGTACAGCCTGTTTCTTGTAAGGCTCCTGATTCTACTGATTTGTAGATTATTTTTATTTAAATGGCTGAACCAAACACTTCATCTCCGTGAAAAGCATTCAGTGACTGGCAGGAAGCTTTGCTTAGTCTGAGCGTTTATATTTTGTAAGTATGTAGTTAGTACTAGTTTTCAGTAATCTTTGATCTGTGAGGTGACCAGTGTCATTGTGGTCTGCATGCAGATTTCCAGCTGCTGTCGGCAGAAGTTCAGGCAGGCCCTGTGAGAAGAATGTTGCTCTGGCTTTGGGCTGAGCTCAGAAAGTACTTCATGTGCATACTTCAGAAATTTCAGTATCACTGTTTCAGCCCTGTACTATTATTATTGCTAGCATAGTGAGAGAGGTAACTTGCCTGGCTAACAACTGGTTTCTTTCATCCTCGTGAAAGTTTTCTTATGGACAGCTCTTGATAGAAGTAAGTCCTGGCAATACAGGCAGTGATCACAGAATTGATAATTCAGTGCAAAAGGCATTCAAGAATTAACTAGATGTAGAAGATCAATTTGTTGTGAATTTTTGTTTCATGCTGAAACACTGTGCTAAAAAAATGTTTTTATTAATATATTTTTATCCCAAATATATTTGCAGTCTGTACAGACAGAGAAAGAGAAGAAGAAAAAGTCTGATGGCAAAACCAAAAAGGAAGAAGAAAAACACAAAATTCGAGACTTATGGAACAATTTTTCCTATTTCCCTGAAATCACCCACATTGTCATCAAGGAGTCTACTGTGAGCATTAACAAGCAGGATAACAAAAGGATGGTAAGAACCAAACCTGGATAGTTTTCCCTTCTGTGGGTTGTTGTAGTGGCACAGTATTGTTGGGCAACAGGTGACAACCTGCTTGGGGAACATTTCCTAATGGGACTTTTAAATAGTAGTTAAATATGCTGTCTTCAACAGTCTTTAAATGCAAAAGTGCTAATTAGAAGAGCAGCAAGTTGAAGAAGACAGTTACTTCTCTACACTTGCTACTGCATACCAGTAAGAGTTATCAGCTCCCCAAGCTCTACTTGATCTCCCAGCTGTGCTTCTCAGCCCGTGGCCTTCCTGTGTACAGCCTGGGACAGCCAAAAGCAGCGTCAAGAAAGAGGAGCTCAGAGAGGGAGGGCAGAGGGACACTGGGAGAGAGAAGGAGAGTCAGGAGGAGAGTCACTAATTTCAGTGTCCTGGTTTTTCTTTCTGTGGGCTGTCAGCTGTTAGAATTTAGAAAGGAGCTACCAAAGTGCTCTTGGCTTCAAATCCAACATGCCTGCCCTAGGTACTGAACTTGAGAGGTTTCACAATGACTACTGCAAGAGCTTGCGTTACAGATCTCACCCAGGATTACAGCAGAACTAGTCATGCCAGGGAATGAGTTTCAAGCAAGTAATAAGTAGGGAGGGTGCAGAATGGTCACTGTTGGCCTCCTAAATGTGTATGGTTTTCTATCATGTGTTTCTGCACAATTTTTTACTCACTGTGAATGAATTGCTAGATATTTCTGAATACATTGAACAAAACTGTAAGAATTCTTGACTAAAATATCTGTTTGTTTTAGGAGTTAAAACTGTCCTCACATGATGAGGCCTTGTCATTTGCATCGCTGATAGATGGATACTTCAGACTTACAGCAGATGCCCACCATTATCTCTGCACAGATGTGGCTCCCCCACTGATCGAGCACAACATAAAAAATGGATGCCACGGACCCATTTGGTTAGTAAAATGGTTCGATTTTAATTGACCCACTTGAATTAGTCCACTAATTCTGCTGCATATTAAATCCATGGAGGAAATCTGGCTTTCTGGAAAGGTTTCTGTAATGGCCAGAATTAGTTACCAGGAGGTTGTAGGATAACTTTTTTCATGTAATCAGAAGAAAAAATTATATCCTAATTTCTCTCCTCATTATTGTAGGAGTGTTTTGAGACTTATTTCACTAATAACTACAAAGGTAATCATCAGTTGAGCAGATGGGAATATTTTAGGTACACAGAGGTAAACTCTACTCTTATCTGTGCTGACCCTGGGAGTCCCTGGGTGGATGTACAAAGCTTTGCTTTTTGTTTTTAATCTGCTGAATGAATTATTTTCCTATCTGTCCATGTTTCTGGCTTTTCCTTCTGTGTTTAAGAGAACTTACATGTGCACTGTGTTGGAAGCAGTTTCCCCACTAAGCATGCAAGAACATAATAAATCCTCCCTTGCTGTTATACAGAAAAATGTGAGCATGTGTAATGCACACAAATTATGTTTTAATAATAGTATAAATATTTGTAAGTTACGATGATACTGTTTTTGTTCCAAATTTAGGATTACTTTCCCGTGTATTTACTAATAATAGCTTTTGGATGCAACTGCTCTTTTGATGGTTTTATTCATTTGCACGTTGACTCTTTCAGCACCGAGTATGCCATCAACAAACTTCGACAGGAAGGAAATGAAGCAGGAATGTACGTGTTGAGATGGAGCTGCACGAACTTTAACCACATCCTCATGACAGTGACTTGTTTCGAAGGCTCAGAGGTACGTCAGGTGTGGCATTCCCAGCAGTAATCTGGTAATGAGCTAAAGACCAGTGGCTCCCTGTAATCCACGATGTTATATTTATCTTCTTTAGGGTGGTTCATCTTAGTTTTCTTTGACAGCTGATGCAGCAGGGGGTGGACACTAGTATTCATAGCTTTATTTTCCCCAGACTCTTGTGCTGTCTCTGACAAATATGTTTTGTTACATCCAGAACACTTCTGTTGATAGCAATAGAACTGTGCATGAACATGGTTCAAATTAAGCTTATTTAACTCGTACTCTGGGAGAGTGACATACAGAATTTGTCACTGCAACTTACTGAACGCTTCTTGAGCATGGAAGAAAATTTCTTCTGAAGAGTCAGGACTTCTGAATGCCCTCAGGCTGTGCAGAACACAGAAGCTGTAATTTGGACCTGTTAAAAGTTTGCACCTTTATGTAGCACTCTGTTTTTATGAGCCTCCTTGGAGCTGAAGGTTATGGGAATTCCAGGGCCTTCTCCTGCTTTGTTGAAGTTTGATTAGAGGAACCTAGCTAGCGTAGGAGCAAGTGTTTAATTACTTCCGAGAAAGTAATTTCAAAGGCTTTATGGCTTTATTCACTCCTACAAATGTTCTTCACTTTAGTGATTCAGTATTTTCCTTTCTTTTTTTTTTTTTTTTTTTTCGCACTCTCTCCAGATGATGAATAGTTCAATCCAGTACAAGAACTTCCAGATTGAGGTGAAAAAAGGCGGGTACTTCCTACATGGTTCAAACAAATCTTTCGCATCCCTAAAAGAGCTGATGGATCACCTTAAAGGACAAATACTTCGGACAGACAACATAAGCTTTACACTGAAGAGGTGCTGCCAACCAAAACCGAGAGGTAGTCTCTGTCCCTTAAGAAAAACTACAAACTTTGTTGTTGAAAGAAAACAAGCTTCAGTACTGGAGGCATTTTTAGTGTCCTCTGTTTGTTCTGTATTTGTGCGTCAAGCTTTTCTTTTACTTAAGAAGTTTCTTGCTTCTCTGTGTTTGGGGATCTTGTCAAAAAACAAAAGCAAAGGCTGTGAAAAAAGATTTTAGGGGTTTCCTTTTAGTGTTACATGCTCAGTACAGGATGCTCAAGGGCTGCTGCTTCTCAAGAGCTTTGTTTGTATGAACTTTTCTAATGACAGTGGTTTGCCTTTTTGCACCTAAACAACTGGCCTCTGCAGTATCGATGGCAGAGGCAGAGCGCTAGATTTGTTTAAAAAGAAAATGTCACAGCTGACTCGGAGTCATGGGCTGCGATGTTGTGTCAGAGCAGGGACCATATAAGGTTCTTCCTTTTCTCCACTGAGTCACGTACGCCAGGCAGTGCCGCCGTGCATCACGTATGTTGTTCCAGCAGAGGAGGTTTGCAACCTGCAGCTTGTTGCGTGGCAACCTTTGGTTTCAAGCTTATTTGCTGTCATTATGATGTGTTGTTTATTTTATTAATCTTCACAGAGCAGTGGGGAAAGCTTTGTCTGGAGCTGTTATCAAGCCGAGCACCCTTGAAATCAGTAGATTTGTCTGTGAGATCAGATTTTAGATGACTGGGACAACTGTACATTTGTTAAACTGTTAATGCCAACACTTATTAAAACAGCTGTAAGCTGTAAGTGTCTCGCAGCTGAATTTTTTATGAAAGGAAACACACAGTGGCGTGGTTGTGTTGATCAGATAATGGTTTCCTGTTAGAATAAGGGGAATAACTGAGCTGCATTCACTACCTGCTTGTTTAGAAGGTCGTAGAGCATTCTGTAGCTCGTTTGAGTTTTTCAGCACTTCTCAAGAATGTAGTTAATTGTCTGGAGCATGGAGAGGTTAAACATTTTGACATTTCAATTAAATTTTGGCAGCTGTATTTAGAATAAAATAAGTAAAGCAGATCAAGGAGTTTTCTGCCCTCCTCAGCTTTTGGCATGACAGTGCATCTCTGAACTTCAGTTGGACCCAGTGCGTTGTCTTTGCTGTTCCCTATTCTGTTTCTTCCCTGTTTTTTTTGGTTTTTTTTTTTCATTTTCTTTTGAATCTGTCTGTTTAATTGGTTATTCACAAAGATGCTTAGGGCCTGAAGAAAGAGGAGAGTATTTCCAGCACAGGGTCTGTTAACAGATTGTTTTCAGGTGCTAGACTGTGGTTTAATCCTGATGCACGTACATGTTATGCTGCCAGGTGCACACAGACATCTAAAACCATTGTATCATAATAAATAACGCCAGCTGTCAGATGCAGGAAGACAACATTAACGTGTAAGGCTTTTGGCTCTAGCGATGCCTCTCCCTGAACAGAAACAGGGGAAAGCAGCAGCAGACTTTTCCTTCTGCTTATTTCCCATTCCCTACTTTAAGTTTTATGCTTTGAAAACAGACTGTTAGTGTTTCCCAGAGCACAAGAAGCTTTCAAGGAGGTAAAGAGAGGAAATGAGACTCCAGCTGTCTCATACCCATCTGGACAGTGGAAAAGGGCCATACCTGTAGGTAGGAGGGAATGTGTGTTATTTCATTTAATCTGCATCAGAAGCAGTGTCTTTTTGGGCCCTGGATACTTCTCTGTGCAATAAGTACCAATGGTTTCTTATCAGCTGTGATACAGCTGATGTCAGATCTTGTACATAAAATAAAAAATATAGCTTTGTTTTGGTGAATTCTCTCTTGAGTGATGAGCAGAAGTTGCTTTGCCAGGAATGTGGTTAAAGTTTCTTCTTTTCTCCCTTCTCATTCATTTGGAAATTTACTTTGCAGTGAGCTTACAAAAATGTTATTGTTTGAGAAAGGTGAATGTGTGCAGTTATTTTTGAGAAGTCTTAACGAATATTTTCTCTCCCTGCCTTCCAGAGATCTCCAACTTGCTAGTTGCAACCAAGAAGGCTCAGGAATGGCAGCCTGTTCATCATCTGGGGCAGCTGAGTTTCCATCGAATCCTCAAAGAAGAAATTACGCAGGTGGGTAGCTGCTGAACACTGTTTGTCTCCTAAAATCCCAACAAGTAGGGCAGCCCTCCACACCCAGTCAGGTAACAGAGAATCACTGCATTATGGCTGGTTGGACTGTTCTTCCGTTCCCATTTCTCCTCAATAAAACTTTCTGAATCTTTATTTGTATTAACGCCTCTTACTGCAGAATCCAGATGTTTATGTGGCCTTGCATGGAAAAAGAAGCAAAGCTTGGGAGTAATGCCTTTCACTAGAAATCAAATGAATATTTAAGCAATTTTCTAATGCATGTGAAAAAAGATGCTTGTAAGGTCATTATTAAAATCATGAAAGTCTTAGGACCTGCTCTTGCTACCTGGTTTGTTACTAAATGTACTTGTATCTTTTAAAGCCTGGCCTGTTAGGGAAATGGGCAACTTGAGGTTTAAGACAATATCCTACAGAAAAAAAAAAAAGGTAAAATATTCAAAAGGTCTGCAGAGTCTTGGCATTCAGAATCTTGTTTTCCAAACTGATCTAGCATGTATGCTCCTAAATCTTGTGACAGTCACTTGCAGTTAGTGGTGCAGGTGACCTGAATAAACTTTAAAAAACATTTGTTTGAATGCACAGATGACACTGACCATTTCTAAAAGACTTTGTCTCTTAAATCATGCAGTTAGTTTCTTCAGTTAAATAAAGATGTATATTTTTTTTGTCTTTTTTAAAAACAGAAACAAAGCAAAAAAAATCATTACTGACTGGGGAAGGCAGATAGAGTTTGTATTAATTGTTTTTTGATTGGTAATTTGCAGTCAGTATGCAGACTTCCTGCAAAAATATCCCAAGACGGAATCCTCTGTTATTTAGGAGGAAATTACATTCCCAAACAAAGTGTTCCATTGAAATATTACTTCCTTAACTTCTGGAAACACATTAAAGATCGCCTCAGCAGCAGCTTATTGTAAATAAGAGTTACCATTTATTCATTTGATGTTTAGTCTAATCGCATTAAATCTCACTGAGCCTGTTTGATGTTAGTGGAGATGTAATAGCCCTTTAATATCCAATGAGTTTACGGGGTAAGTGTTCTCAGAGAGACTACTGAAATGAAGAATAACATGCTGTCATTGTTTTTTCCACTCTGTAATAATTTTAAGTACATGTGGCTAGATCAAGTGGAGGGCTAATTCTGAGAGGCAGAATTGAGTGCAGATTCGACTATTTGTGTAAATGTATATTTGTTTGCTTCATCTTCTGGTTTGAAAGTATAATGTGTGTTGTGTCTTAGGGTGAACATCTTGGAAGAGGGACAAGAACACAGATTTACTCAGGGATTCTCAACTACAAAGATGATGAGAATGAAGGATATCAAAATGAGAAAGAGATTAAAGTTCTCCTCAAAGTCTTGGATCCCAGCCACAGAGACATTTCTTTGGCAAGTCTTTTCTCTTTTTCTATTGTCCTGCAATACTGGGCCTCACCACGCTGTAACGATGCAATGCCTGAGAAACTTAGGGTTTGTGTGTGTGGTAGGGGAATGGAAGAATGCTGAAGATAGCTCTCACCATTCCAGGCAGTCAAATCCATCATTGATCAGCCCTTCGAGAAGCTGAAAAAGTTGATTTCCTTAGACAGGAAGCAGCACTGGGTTCTGGCAGGAGTAATCCACTATTCACTTGTGGCCTGTACGTGGACCCACACCTTGCAGTGGTGTGGAACACGCAGGCATCCCCACAGCCATGGTCTGAACGGTGTCATCTGAGAGCAAGGGAGTTCAGTGAGGGCACCACTACCTTCCAGAAACTACCTCTGCACTGTGCATGGGCTTGGCAATCTGTCGCCAGCTCTGTCATCAACAAGGCCACAGGCAAGTTATTTGATTTGCATTTTGCTTAGTCATCTAGTAAGAGAAGCTAATGCATCACAGATCAGACCTGGTATCGGTGTGTCTGTGAGAGTGCTGGGGAGAGCACTGGTTGCTTACATGACCCAGTGAACAACAAACATCCAAAACAGCTCTCCCCTGCACCATTACTGCAGCAGGACAGCATTTTCCTACTGTTGTCTATCCTTTATGCTACTGGAAAACACAGTGTTCTTTTGTAAATGTTTGTTATTCTGCTCTTTTTGTTAACGACTACCCCAATGATCAGCAGTTTAATATCGAATCTGCTTCACTTTCTAACAGGCATTCTTTGAAACAGCGAGCATGATGAGGCAGGTTTCCCACAAGCACATCGTCCTCCTCCACGGAGTCTGTGTCCGGGATGTAGAAGGTGAGTTCAGTTAACATCTCTTCGGACAGATTTTGAAGCAGCAGGTTTTGGTAAGGACAGGACAGCCATTCAGTTCAGAGCCAGCCTTGAGGGAGATGTGGTCGATTTTTCAGGGCAGACAGAAGTGGAATGGGAACAGCCAAGCAGTTGCCAAGTCCTTTTCACTAACAAGTTTTCCCTTCCAGTGCTGTATCTGAATAAATGTGTTACAGGGTGATTCCTTGAGGTCAGAAAGCTGAGTGCTGACAGTGGTGTCAATACAAACCAGCCTTCTCGCAGCAGTCATTTCCCTGGCAAGGCTCTGCCCTGTGGCCTTGGAAATGCTTTGTTCAAAGTTTACTGTTCTTTTACTGCGCAGAGCCTCTCTTGGCAGCCTTTTAGTTTGGACTCTTTGAGCACTGAAATAAACTTTAAGGAGGTAGAATAATGACATCTTACAACCAGTTTGCATCAAAGTTGGGGGTGGAAAGAGAAGTTGGGAACAGGCCTATTGGATTTCTCCAGACACTGGTCATTGCAATACTGACTTTATGTACCCGACTTTGTAGATGTCATGGTTGAAGAGTTTGTTGAGTTTGGGCCTCTGGACTTGTTTATGCATCGGAAAAGTGAACTCCTGACAACTCCTTGGAAATTCAAAGTAGCCAAGCAGCTTGCAAGTGCACTAAGCTACCTGGTAAGAAGGCACCTTGAGACAAGCATTGTCTATAGCTTGCTGCAATCTAGGGCTACGTAGATTTCATGTGTGTTAGTAACTAATGAATTTCCTCTCACAGGCAGTGGGACTGTGCAATGTATGGGATTAAAAAAAAAAATAAATCATTATATTGCTTTAAATAAGCCAAACACTCTTTGTGCATGTGTTTGCCACCAGTTCTTTGTTTGTGCTTGGAAGTCAGTGTTCCATTTCTGCAGTTTTGCTTGTCATGAAACAGGAGTATAATGTTGGTCTTTTTTCCAAAATATGTTACATCGACAAATACAAATGCTTAAGTGTGAACAGCATGTTCCTACTTCTCTTTTCCCTGTTTTTCTCTAGGATGATTTCTTCCAAGCTGTATTTTTGGATTTCAGCTTGGAGTATTCTACAGTGATTCCCCCCATGCTATGGGTGTGTTAGAGCACTTGCTGAGCATTGCTAGCTCATTGCACTCACCATTTTCTTTTCCTACCTCACTGTAGGAGGATAAGGATTTGGTACATGGAAATGTGTGTACTAAAAACATCCTACTGGCAAGAGAGGGAATTGATACTGAATATGGTCCTTTCATAAAGCTGAGCGACCCAGGAATACCAATAACCGTGCTGTCCAGACAAGGTATGGTACAGGAATCGGATTTGTCTCTTCGGTGTGGTGGGGAAGGGAAATAATGCAGTTTTATAGCAGCTAGAATTGGTTCTCAAATAACAGTAATCAGCTTTTATGAAGCTGAAAACTACACTGAACTAAAGGAGTGTTTGCTGATGGTCAGTACTTGTATTCATTTCTCCTAAAGTCATGTGAAAGTCCAGTGAGATAATACAGAAGGAGTCACAGTTTCTGGATGGCTCAAAGCTAGAGCTTATAAAAGCCACAGAAATGTCTGTATGAGAACAGGGATTTGAGAATCAAGATTTCCCTGAAACCGGACAAATACTGCAGCTTTAGTTTATTTTAGTTAAGCAGCTGTTAGGCAAGAATAAGTAAGCTGGAAGTCTTAAGCCCTTCAGTATTAATTCCAAAATGCTTTGGTTCTGTTTTTTATCTAAGAATGTGTCGAGCGAATCCCCTGGATTGCACCTGAGTGTGTTGAAGACTCCAAAAATTTAAGCGTTGCAGCAGATAAGTGGAGCTTTGGTACAACGCTGTGGGAAATCTGCTATAATGGAGAAATACCACTGAAAGACAAGACATTAGCAGAGGTAAAACTGCGTTATATTAACTTTACCTGGACATGTATCCTCTTCGGCACTTCAGTTTCAACACCCAATTTAAGTTGCTTTCAACTTGTTCCAAAACCAGCTCAGCTGTACTTGACCAGGGGCAAATCTTGTTTAAATTGCCACAGATCACAGCAGAAATTGCTGTCCTTACTACAAAGATGCTTCAATCTGACCTTGTTGGTGATTCTCAAAATGCAGCATGGTAACAACTGAACAGAGCTTCTGATGCTGTCACACCTGTCCTTTTCTAATCAATATGTCCACTTAAAAACTTACTCAGGTTCTGCTTAAAAGCACCTAGTTTTCTGTTCTTGTTTGTTCCTTTTGGACATTGGTTCATAAGTAGTCTCCTTGGGACTCCTTATTGCTTGCTCTGAAAGCTTTTAAAAAAAATCGTTCTGCTTTGCTGCTGGCAGCTTCTGTTCCTCACTGCCAGAGGCCCCCAGCATTGTTCCATATCGGCCTTTTCTCTCTGTGTTGGGAAGGTGATGGAGCAAGGCAGCTGCTGCTTGTCTGAAGGAAATGACAAGTACTGGTGTCACTGCCCGAGCTGTTTTAACAGGAGGTAACTGAAAGGCACTTGCTGCCCTGGCTGCAGGTTACCTCCTGCATGTGGTAGACTGCTGGGTAGTTTTGCTTTTAGCTTTTGCACAAGGCCACCCTCGCCCCATCTGTCCCATCTCGGAGGTCTTTTCCAAATTTAATGATTCTGTGACTCTGTGACTTGCACCTTACAGAAGGAGAGGTTCTACGAGGGGCATTTCGTGTTGGCAACACCATCATGCAAGGAGCTGGCTGACCTGATGAAACAGTGCATGAATTATGATCCCCATCAGAGACCCTTCTTCAGAGCAATCATGAGAGACATCAACAAGCTGGAGGAGCAAAGTAAGGCTTGGATTTGCTTATTGGCTGAACGGTTGGATAAAGAAGGACAGTTTTTTGGGCTAAGTTGGACACCTTACAGCAGCACTGTTGTATAGTGACGGTATTTTAGAATATCCTGAGTTGGAAGGGACTCACAAGGATCATCAAGTCCAACTCAATGAGGCAGCTTCATGCCATTCCCTCAGGTCCTATTGCTAGTCACCAGAGAGAAGAGATCCTGTTACTCTGAATCCTGCTTCTCTATATACCACAGATAATAAATTCTTTCTTATCTTTACAGCAGCAGCTATAAAATCAGTTGACATGATTTTGTTATATGTTCCATATTTGTCTATGTAAAAACAGATTTATTTTTAATAAGTCCGTTAACATTCAACGTGTGTTTTTTTTTTTTTTTAAATCTTTGAGCTTTAGAAACTGTTTATTGTAATGCATAGCACGTGTACAAAACAGGCTCCTTTCCACAGCGATCTTGCAGGTGGATACTTTGCCACTTGGCTGCTCCTCTGTGGAATAAAATCCCTGCCCTCATAGTTTGTAAACAAAGAAACTAGAAGGAACATGTGCTGACTCTCTTCTAAGAAACACAGTGTTTTAGAGCTTAGTGGGCATTATAAGTAGTTAAACAGCAGCGTCTGAGGAATGAGGAATCTCAGTAACAACGCTACGTATGGCTGTATTCATAGGAGCGTGTTGTGTCCGTCTGATGTGGAAGTGCCCCTTTCTATAGATAAGTGCAAATAGGATGCAAGCATTTAATTGGTACTGAATATGTGGCTTAAGTTATGCTGGTGGTTATATCTAGCAGTACAGAGCCATAGAAGGGGAATAACTCCTGCAGGGCGGGAAGTACTGCGGGAAGTACTGTGAGAGAAAACTGAGTCAGAGTCTGCAGAAAGACCCAGCAAGCAGATGATGGACTGGCACATGCAAATGGGAGGGATTCCCTGTCAACAAAGAGGCAAAGGTTAAAATAGGTTGGGACAGCAGGGAGAGAGGCACTTAGAGCAGCAGATTGGAAGTACCCAACGATACCTTGAAGTGTCAAGACCAAGAAGTCCCTGCAGAAGAGTCTACCTAACTTAGAACATTTTTTTCCACTCCCAGATCCTGATATTGTCTCAGAGAAGAAGCCCGTTACAGAGGTCGACCCCACGCTCTTTGAAAAACGATTCTTGAAGAGAATCCGTGATTTGGGAGAGGTAAGAGGAATGTCAGGTTGAGATCCCTACGTTGGAAAGCAGAAACACAACTTTTTCTGGACCAGGTTGCCCTTAAGTCCATTAGGGCTGAGCATGAAGGGCAGCTGCAAACATTTTTGCACAAAGTACAGGGGTGGTGGAGGCAACGTGAGGAGGCTTTTTGTATGCACTAGGCCTGCTCAGGGGCAAGGATGGCAGGGAATTGGTGAATCCAGCTTCAAGAAAGTAGGTGTGCTCTGTGTGGAAATTCAGGCAATCTTCTGGGGATATCCAGTTACCAGTGTTCCTGTTTGCATGTTTGTTACTAAGGGGAATTTCTGGTCTCTTGGTCTTCGTGTTTTTATAGAAATTATAGTGTGTGTGTGTACGTAGCTCCGCCTGCTTTCTGTGTCACAGCAGGAAGATGTGAATCGTAGTGCATCAGTGACACTATGGTTAGTGAGCATTGTGTTAACGAATGCTGTCTTTTCTTTGACAATTAGGGCCACTTTGGCAAGGTTGAACTGTGCAGATACGATCCAGAAGGTGACAATACAGGAGAACAAGTGGCAGTTAAATCTCTAAAGCCGGAGAGCGGAGGGAATCACATCGCTGACCTCAAGAAGGAAATAGAAATCTTGAGGAATCTTTATCACGAGAACATTGTCAAATATAAGGGAATTTGCACAGAAGACGGTAAATCTTCATAAAGAATGCTAAAACTATACACTAAAGTATAGAAGTTTTCCTTTAAAAGTTAAGCATTTCAAAAAGTAGAACAGTCTTAGTTCTATCTTACGGGTTCAGGTCTCTTTCTTCATGGAAGAAGCAGCAATTTCTCCGAGAGGCAGAAGTTGTCCTTCTGTGTCCTTTTTTGTGCTTAGCTAACTTTGATGTGACCGAAGTGGTGGATGATCTCACCAAATCCATTAAAAGGAATGAGCCACCTGGGCAGGGTGGTGGTTTCTGTGTTCCAGGAGTGAGCTGACAGAATCAGCCAGGTCATAACCCCATAAACTGCGGTATCATCAAAGAGAGCGCCATTGCCTTATACTTTGCATTTGCAAAAGTGATTATTTTAAGTTAATATTTAAAAGCTTTAAGAACTTTATATTCAGTAATTGTGCTGCCTGGAATAGATTCTCCTCTGTATTGGTACAATGACTGATGTGGGAAATAGCCCATAGGCTGGTCATGGTCGTCAGTATTATTCCAGAATAAATATTATCAGTGCTGTGAGCCTCGTACAAAAGGTGTTAATGAGATAAAGGGATGCATGCTTGCAAATTAAACATACACTCTTTTTAGGAGGAAATGGGATTAAACTCATCATGGAATTTCTTCCTTCTGGGAGCTTAAAGGAGTATCTGCCACGGAACAAGAACAAAATCAGTCTCAAACAACTTCTCAAATACGCAGTTCAGATCTGCAAGGTGAGCATGGCACCAGAGACTTCCTGCAACTCCTCTGTTTGATTACATTAATTATTAGTTTATTTCGTTTAGTAGAGTAAGGGAGAAGGGAAAGGGAGGCTTGCTTTATAAACAAAACCATTCTCATTGCTTTGTCCCCAAGAACCTGAATCCTAAAGCAGTCTCTCCAGTGTTGCAGATGCTATTGGCACAAAGATCAGCAAGGGAGTAATTATTTGGTTCGCTTGCATAAAAGATTACAATGAGAAGAAGTTGTTCCTACTACAGAATTGGAAGTAATAGAGAGGAGGGAGAACAGCGTTTAGAAATGGTGTGCAGGTAAGAGGGAAGGAGCAATCTGCACGTCTTGTAAGTGAGGAAGGGATACAAGTGCACAGTACAGTGAGACTGTGTGAAGCAACGCGCTTTAAGAGGCTGTGGCTTTGTAATTAGGGTGGACCAGGCAATTAGAAGAAGCATAAACACAGACATCAGTTCTAGCAGCGCACAAAGAAATGTGTCATGGAGAGGAGGTTGTGGACCTGGTGGTTGCTTGGCTGAAAGTTAAACAGAGTAAAAGCAGAAGCACAACTAACTGCCTCAACAGGGGGAAAACAAAGGCAGAGTTTAGAGGGAAGATGTGGGTCAGAAAAGGACCCTGGGAAGTGCCAACAGGAGAACCTGCCATTTGAATACCTGCCTGGAGCATCACCAGATGAACAAGGGAGCATTTGAGGGGGAAATTGGAAGAAAAACAGTGACATAAGCATTGGAGAAACTCATGTAAATGTCTTCCTTCTCTTGTAGGGAATGCACTATTTGGGATCCCGTCAGTATGTACATCGTGACCTAGCAGCAAGAAATGTCCTTGTTGAAAGTGAGAACAGAGTGAAGATTGGTGATTTTGGTCTCACCAAAGCAATTGAGACTGATAAGGAGTACTACACTGTCAAGGACGACCTCGACAGCCCTGTTTTTTGGTAATAAATTAGAACTAATTTTCATTAATCAGACTGTGCAGCAGAATAACCTGTCTGCTCCCAGAGATTTAGGCTTTTAGATGTCCGGATAATTCTTCCTATTTTGGTAAGAGGCCTCAATAAAGAGACAGTATCAGAACAAGGAAGAGGCACGTGATAGACTATACCTGAGATATGTAATCTATTTAATTATAGATATCTTGTGTTATTTATTTCTTCCTGCATTGAATGATGTATTTTTGCATTATTTTGCATTTGTTTTTGGTCTCCTTAGTCTTACAGGGATTTGCTGTGTAATGTTTACTACTTCTGTGGCATTCCAAGCCCTATGAACACTGTCATGTATAAGGACTCTACAAATGCAGAGTGCGCCTCTTCCATTTGCTTACTTTAGATGTGTGCACTTGTGAGTAAATCTGTGCAGCTGTGAATAAAATTTAACACTGTCACGTTGTGTCCACAGGTATGCTCCAGAATGCTTGCTTCAGAGCAAATTTTACACCGCTTCAGACGTCTGGTCGTTTGGGGTGACACTGTATGAGCTGCTAACCTACTGTGACTCGGAGTCCAGCCCCATGGCAGTAAGTGGTTGGGAAAGAAACTGCTGTTAAGGCTGCTTACATCAGTTGTGTTCTTTGTTGTTTTGAAACAAGAAATATAAAGAATTTATCTCATGAAAACAACCCTCGAGGTTGTCTTTCACTAAGACAGAGTTAAGTCAGGGTGACAGACTGCATGTCCTGGCGAGGAAACTCAATTTACAGATGTCACTCCCCGTTTTCTAATGCACGTGTGTGGTGCACGTTACCTGCATGGTAGTCATCTACAGTTTCTTTTCATTTTTTGAGTTTGAAATGCCATCTTGCTGTCAAATTGCAGCAGTCTGGATTTGTGCTGGGTGGGAGGATGCACAGCTGACTCTTGCTCTTTCCACAGGAATTCTTGAAAATGATTGGCCCCACGCAGGGTCAGATGACAGTAGCACGGCTCGTGCGCGTCTTACAAGAAGAAAAGCGTTTGCCACGTCCTCCCAACTGCCCAGAAGAGGTAACACAGCTACGCTTTTATAATTTTATAAACTAACACTCGTGAACAATTTTGCATGTCTATAATCTTCTTCCTTTACAGTGAAATAGCAGCAAAAGCACCACACATTTGGTTTGGATACACTCTCAGTGCTTCAGCTCTATTAGAAAGGCATTTACAATTTTTTTAAGTGTTATCTTTAAATGTTTTTCAGCACTGATTTTACCATGTTGCAACATCCCTGCAAAGGGGGTTAAAAACTTGGCTAAAGGACGTGGTTCCATATAAAATTCATTTGTCATCCTTGAGTTTTGCACTACAGATCTGGTTCCTGGATGTGTGGCAGCCCAGACTGCTGCCCCTGGCCTGCAATCTGCAGCCTCCTGCCCACGGAGGAGCCAGGGACTGGCTGCACTGCGCTGGGGATGGGCTGTGGGCTGTTAGAGGCAGGAGGCAGGATGCTGCTGCTGCTCAGTGTGGCTCAGGGCAGGGCAGTGCTGCAGTGACTTGGGAGGAGGGGAAGGTGAACTGCGGCTGGGCCCTGGGCTGGAGGGGCTCAGGACCAGCAGGCCTTGATTGCCAGCAGGCTCCTGGTGCCCAGACCAGTGCTACATCAGGCTGTCAGTCACCATCCCCTAGCTCCAGGTGCTGTTGGTTAAGCAGTGCCCTAGCCCCTGATAGGCAATTAGTAGCTATTTTGACTAAACAAACACTCCTGAAACTGTAATGAAGCTGTTACATTGTTTTCAACTGTTTTTGTTACTGTGGCATCTTCATACATACACCTTTGCATAGAAAAAACAAACAAACAAACAAAAAAGCCCTGCTCTCAAAAACTTGCCAATTCTGAGCAGAATCCTTGGCATGTTTCTATTCTGTGTTCTTGACTTCACAGCAGTGGGAATCAGGTCTATGATGTTCGTTGGAGAGATAAATTGTTTCACTCATCCTTTAAAAACTTCTCTTTTTTTCTGCTAGGTTGACCAGCTGATGAGGAAATGCTGGATATTCAAGCATGATAAACGGACAACCTTTCACAACCTGATTCAAGGATTTGAAACAATTATGAGCAAAATATAATTATTTTTTTTATAATGTCAGTGCTTTAAATGTGTGTCAAGATATAAATGCCCAGACCTTTCATTTTTTAACTACTGTAATTTGTATTCTGACTGTGCTAATGTGTTCAAAGGATTATTTTTCCAACAGGTTTCCTTTTTTATTTAGTCAACAGTTGGATCAAATTGATTTAAAAGGTATGGCAGAAACAATAGCTTCAACTCCTTTTACGCCGGTTACTGCAACACCGTTTCACCTCTATTTAATTTTGGTCTCGCTGCAATTTGAACTGTCCAGATAAACGTGAGCTGAAAGAGCAGTGTCAAAAAATGCTACAGTTCTCAGTGCATGGATCTCAGTGCAACATGTAGCATTTAAAACAAGTCTGTGGTTCACATTTATTCTGTGAACCTAGTGGCCATAATAGAACTTACAATTTTAATGGCGTTTTTGAGGAAGCTTTTAGGAAATTTTGGCTGAGGTGCACTTACATTTCAGTAACAAAAAAACAACTTGGGCGCAAAAATTCAGAGAAAGCAGTAACATAACTCTTCTTAAGCCATTTGCAGTTCTGCGCTCTCAATCATATTTTTAAAAAAGCTTCACCATCATGTTTCAAAAAGGAGAAAAAAAAAAGCATGAATCAGCAGGTATAGTTATGTGTTTCTTTGAGAACCCCCCATCATCTCTGGATAAATGCATTTGCTTTTCCTAACCCGTCTGCCCCCCATTACCCATTTCTACCCCCTGAAGCTTCCACCAGTTATGTAGCTGTTAACCATGCCAACATGTTGATCTTCAGCTTGTGTTGCAAGTGAGCCACAGTGCACGGTGTGGGGAAATGTATGCAGGAAAACCTATAACTACTTTGGGGATAGAAAAGAAAATTAAGCCATGTACAGATGGGGGGGAGATATTCCCCCAGCAAAGAATAATTTTGTAAAGGAGAGGATTGAACAAGAGGGAACTGTCCCTAGGAGAGGGAAAGAACACCTCAGGCACAAAAAATAGGTGTCTTGTTATCAGCAGTGCCATCACGGGAGTGCACACTGTACTCTTTGTTTTGTTTTTTTGTCAGTTTTGGCCAGCACGTTAATTCATTTTAGCAGTTTTTCAACAAAGCTGCTCCCTTGATGTAAGGTGATTATGCTTTAAATAATAGCACTGGCCTTTGTTTAATTTGACGTAGTCTCCAGCCATATGCTTGTGAAGTATTTGGTTGACCAGGACTGCCAGAGCCCAGCTGGGGCAGACTGGGACCAGGGAAGTTTTATTGTCAGGACCAGATCCAGCATTTAAACTGTAATTGAGTCAAGTGAAGGAGCGTAGTCTCGTTTCGTACATCTGTCAGTCTTTGATGAGCAGTAGTTTAACTGGAAACCTATTGCTGACCCGCGTCCTAGAACTTGGGCAATACTGTTTTTCCACCAAACCTGGATTTTGAAAGTGCTTTGAGGAAATAGTTCTGGCAATAACAGAGAAAGATGTCTTTAAGTATCTATCTATATATATATATATAAAATTGTAATTATGAGCGGCAACCAGGTCAGATTTATTTTTACAGTATTACCTGTTTTTTCTGTATGTCACGTATGAGCCCGACTTAAATCTGTAAGCACTTTGTTACTCTTTATACGAAGAAGTTAATAAAGGTTTTTTTTTTTTTCCTCCATGTGTTTCTTTTTACACAATCTATTAAAGATTTTTAGTGTATATTCCATAGTAGTGCTCAGAACATGTCCTTAAAACAGCCTTCCCCTACCTTACATGCTCACTTTAACAGCAGTCCAGCGATGGTTCTGTTCCACAGGACACCACTTTAAAGGTGTACCAACAATTTATTTTAATTGAGAAGGTTAACAACTCGAACAAGTTCCATATATAAAGAGTTTGAACAAAATATTACAAGTGAACTTATCAATACATACAGAACCCCAGAATAACTAAGTCCATAAATTGCATGGCTAGGTGGCTGTCTTAGACTTTCCTTCCTGTGTGCCCAGTGCAGACTATCTTATCTAGAGAACACAGTGAAGAAGGAGAGGATTATTTTTTTTTAAGCCTTGAAAATACATATCCTGGTCACATCACAAAGCTTGAGCTGCCATTTTAAGACTTTATTTAAAAAGAAAAAAAAATCTGTATTGAAAAATGGCTTCAGTACTGTCTACTGAGCTAGAGCAAGAGTAAGAAGGCCTGTGCTGGTGCCGTCTTAATGGCATCATTCAATTAACTCCAAAATCATTTGCAACAGGATTCTAGGGCAGCAAGCCCACACTGTCCATCACAGTTGGCCAGCTCGTAATTTGTCACAGACACTGATATACAAAAAACAACAACAACAAAAAAGCTTTCTAACACTTCTGCTACCAGGATTAACAGCTGGAAACAAAGCCTCTACCAAAGGTGCTTAACTAATAAGCCAAAAACTCCAAGTCTTTTTAAAAACTGAAAATCAAAAAGAAATCCAATCAAGCTACCTTGCTCAACGAGCCTGCCTACACGGGGCTGAGCCAGTACTCTGTGCATGAGGTGAACGAGTAAATAGCTTTCCCTTTGAATAAGAATTCCTTTGTGCAAAGGGCAAGCTGTAAGAAGGAACAAAAACTGGAGCCAGGATGCTGTGCTCTAGCAGGCTTTGGGTTGCAGCAAATTTCTAAAGACACTTGAAAAAAAACAAACCACACACACAAAAAAGGATGGAGAGCAGAAAGGCAGGATTGAAGAAGTCATCTGAGCCCATGAAGAGTGCTTCTGCTCTACGTCTGGCTCATCCAGATTCAGAAACATCCAGAAAGAGTGAACCAGACAGTGTACGCCTTCTTCCCCTTGTGGTTACCCCTAACAATCACCTACCACGTCCGTGTGTTTCCAGCAGCCCTACGGTCCTGTTGCGAGGAGATTTTTGGAGACTCCACAGACACTGTTTTACTCTCAGCTCCGTTCACAAACTACATTACTCCAAGGAAAAGCTGTGGATTCTTTGCCTAGAAGCAGATAAAGGTTACTCCATCGTTGAGGTGTCACCTATCCGAACACAATTTAGCATTTAGGCAGCACACAGCATCGCATCTTACTTAAAACAAACATTTATTGAAAACATCACAGCGACTCTAGCGATACATTTGGTATACCTCCACTCCAGGATTAAGAGGAAATATTAAAAATATAAAGGTTGTAAATGCAGAAGTCTTAATCCTGGGATAAGTAAGCTTGAAAAAAAACCCACATTCTGAGTTAAAAAAATAAGAAAAAAATTACTATTAAGACTTTGTCTTTTAAATTCCTCAGCGTGAGGACTAGAGAAAGGACCATCACTCCCTCCTCAGTATTTTTATTGCTTTCAGCTGATAAGCTACCAACAATTACCAAGTTACTTCTCTTGGTCAGTTTCAGCCCACTGTTAATTTCAGTGGTAGACACAAATGGAAACACCATTCCATCCTTTCACAAGGCAAGGCAGATTACGGAGAAATGGCTAACGTCAGACCGATACGTACAGGTTACTTGGCGAATTTGCCCATTACACAGCGTTGTTCCTCTTGGGATTATTTATAACCCACGCAGAAAGAAATTTGTCTGAAGTTAAGGCAGCAATAAATAGGAGAGGTATGAGAAGCCTGCCTTCGCACGCCGAGGCAGGGCGGATTAGTTGGGTCTCAATAAACGCGTTTCTTTTTCAGAGAGGATTCTGTGTAACGCATGGCTGAGCCCTGAGCTTGCTGGCCAATGTACTCCACCGGGCCAGGTTCTGGGGAGGAAATGAGGTACGAAGAGCCTCGCTTCTCACTTCTCGAGGGAGCCACCTAAGGGCAAGAAGAAAATAAGTTGACACATGATCCAGAGCAACAGCGTCAATAAATAAAGCTCCAGTCTGTGAATTACCACGGACCAGGAGCCAACAACGGACTCCGAATGCCCGGCTCCTGCTTTACAGCCCAGCTATACACAGCGCATGAGTCAGTGGTTGTGCCCTTTCCCTAAAAAAACAACCATAAATGCACCGGTGCCCTGCTGTGCATGCATTTTTGTGAGGGCAAGGGGCTGGCTGGGCCAGGTGGCCGTGCTCCACCACACGCGTGCACAAAGCAGCAGCTCGGTGGCCATGCTGTCAGCCTGCGGCGTCACGGCAGCTCCAGGCACCGTCACCCTCTCAAGCAGGTCCCCAGTGGGCCACCCGGTGCTCCTCTTGCTTTTCCTGAAGAGCTGAACGGGTCAGCCTGTCCTGGCACGGCTGTTGTTGCACGCAGGATTTTTAAGGACTCGTTTCCTGGCCATGCCAAAGCGTCTTTGTGTTGGGGAGCACGGGCAGCCAGCTGCCGCTCGCAGGCATGGATTTACACATGGTACTGATGTGAAGGCAAGAGCAGTAAAGCTGTGTTTCATCAAAACTTCAGCAAAATGCCTCACACCCACACACAGGAAGTCCTGGTGACCCCGAACAGGGTTTCTGGTGAGGGCACAGCTCCCCTAATCCTGCCACAGTGCCCTGCAACAGGGGCACCCCAGGGGCACGCGAGACTCACGTTCAGTTCCCCTTTGGGAGGCATCAGAGCAGGGAATTACAAAATCCCCAGCACCTACAGCAACAGAAGCTACAGAGAGAGCTCACCACCCTCATCGGTGAGCGGTAACCACTTCTCTCTTCCCCCAGCGTGTCCCCTAATTTCATTACCAGTCGGCTCAGATGCTCACCTTGCTCTCCAAGCCTGCCCTATCTGCCCTAGCAGCACCGGGCCCTGACCCGCTCGCATCCCGCTCCACCACAGCGAGCAGTCTGCATTCGGTCTGGCTCCTGGATCAGATGATAGGGGTTTGGCTCACGTTGGGATGAATATTTTAGGAACCGTAACACGCCACACAAACCGGGAAACTCATTCCTTTATCAAAGGAACAGCCAGGCTGACCGAGTGCCTCCGAGCCAAACATTCCCCAACAAACCTCTGAGGCTCCCCTTACTAGGTCACAGCGGCAGCTCGAGTTACCCTTTGCAAATGTCCAGCTCCATTTTGGAGAGCGCTTGTCATTATCACAAACAGGAATTTGCTCGAGGAAAGGCTCCGGTTTTCCCCCTTCCTCTCTCCTGTGCTTTCAGCAGCTGCGGGGCCGCCGGCCACGAGCTCTGCCCCTGCTCACGGTGCTGTGGTTCCTACAAAGCCCGGCCCCGCAGCTCAGAGCAGAGGGAGGAAAACGCATTGCAGGGCTGAGGAGAGAAAATGCAAAAAGCACAGCGGGCCCCTCGGCCTGCCCTCCTCGCTGAGATTTCTCTTTTAGCTCTAGGAATGAGCGCAGTAACTGGCGTTAAGGCAAATGCTGCTGCTGGGCAGCCCGTGCCAAGGGATTGCTCTCCTTCTGCCTCCTGTGGAATCTGGCACTCAGACAGACGGCAGGGCAAGCTGCTCAGCATCACCCTCACACACAAGCTTTCCTCTGCAGACTGGAAATGAACTGGAAGGCAGCAGCTAACTCACACCCCAGACTTCTCCCTGATGCCGTTACCATTCCCCGGTTCCCAGTCGTGTCAGAGCTGCCGGGGAGCTCAGAGCCCGGCCTTCACAGCACGCAGACGGAGGCTGCACACACTCAGGCCTTGCTCACCTTTATCCCCAAACACCTCAAAGCCAGGTCCAGCCAGGCCTCATCTGCTCCCATCCTGCTGAACCAGCCTCCAGTCAGTCTCAACCCTACAGCCTCCTCGAAGCTGGTCCTCACCCCCCCATAGCCTTTCTTCACCCCTCAGCAGTTTTATCGATGGAAACCAGGTGTCTGCTGGGTCCAACACTGCTCTGCTCGTGGAGTCTGACAGAGGTAGGCTGCATCTGACACGTTACATACTTCAAGTGCAGGCTATTTTACCATGTTTTCCCTCCCAGGATGCGGTTCACACTGTTACGGAGCGCTGCCATAACCTCATCACTCCACTCCACAGCTTTCACCCCAGGGGCACTCTGCAAAACACGGCCCTGTCTGCACAAAACAAAAGCCCAGACAAAAAAAAAAAACAGACAAAAACCATCTGAAAACAGCAGGAACCCTCCTCACCCTCTGTCGCCTCTTCTTTCACCTGCCTACTTCAAGGCACCTCTGCAGGTTGGCCCTCACGGACACGATCTATCCCAGGAGTTTGTTGACAAATGTCCGAGCTGTCCCTGCCCGTGGGTTTTGGTGCCTGGTGGGCACTGATCCTTCAGGTGCCAGAGGCTCCGAAGGGATCTGCCCCCCTCAGATTTCATCCATCAAATCCACCAGGAGCCGCGTGTGCTCCTCTACTCTGGATCCTGCCTTAGTTTGTCACGGGTCCAAAGTCTACAAAAAGCATTTTATTTTTCCTGTCGAGGCTGGGGAAAGGACTGGGCACAGCTGGGCCTCCGAAACCCTCTCGTTTACCGCTTATCCACTTGGTGGCAGCATAAGACAGAGAGGAACGCCTCCACTGCATCTGCAACCGCTCTGCTCGGGATCTCCTCTCACCTTATTTAATGGGTTTTGTGGAGGAAGCTGCGAGCTGCCTGGCTGGTATGATCCCTGGGCTCCACTGTAAAATGTAGGCATGACCTGCAAGCAGGTACTGTAGGCTGGGTAAGATCCACCTGAAGATTCCTAAATGCAGAATGGGATCCGTGATAAACCAGCACGTGAAGGAAAATAGGGTCAGGCATTCATGTTTACTCGATACAGCAATGAGCACTCAGCAGACAGAAAAACATCTGAGTCCCACTCTGTTGCTAAAACACGAGTGCACAATTCACAGCAGCTCAGGCATGCAGCAAAACGGAGGATTTCTTTTTTTTTTTTTTTTACTTTACATAATTCCCTTCTTTCAAAAAAAGTGTCCTCATTGCTCACACAAACCTAGGGCTATAAAATGGCCTGGGGCAGGCTTTCAACAGCCACCCTGAGAAATAACGTTACGGTGTCCTGTTTCTTGGTAGAGTATTTTAATATCCCCCTGAAGGGAGTAGGTAACTTCAGATGGAGGGATTTAAGGATCCTGGAGCACGGATCCTGGAGGGTGGCTGTGCTGGGACACCCTGCAGAGGGAGCGGGGCAGGGCTGCCCTCCTGGTACCAACACGTGCAGCAGTGTCGGCAGTCCTAAAGCACCCGTAGGGCTGATGGAGCAACAGCCAACGGAGACACAAAGAAAATAAAATTCGTTCTCACCTCAGAGGCTTCATTTTCAAATTCATCGACTCTTGCCTGGGTAGAGTTATATGCCTGAGCATAATGCTGATACCACTGCTGAGCAGCCTCCTATAAAGGAGGAAAAAACCTCATCCCATTAGCTGTCTACTAAGATCCCCATAAATTAAAACAATTTTTATATGACCTCAAGGGACATAAGAATAAATTAAAAGCAAAGCTCTCAAAGAAGCTTAAAAACAGGGTTAATATCAACAATAAAACTCAAACCAAATATTTAAAACTGCATTAAGTGCGTAAAAGATACCCAAGTCCTTGGTCATTGCTGTGACACGGGAGGAACAGGCAGCACAAATGGAGGTGAGTGATGGCAAGAGGCATCTCTGCACCGCAGTGACACCACTGGAGCTCTTCATGCCTCCAATACTAAAGGTGATGTTAAATACTCTAACATTGCAATACTACTAACTTTTTTTTGACAGCACACTTCAAGGATTCGGGGATGCAAACTACCTCCAGGAAGCACCAAAATGAACTTAAAGCCAACAATCAGACAACAAAAATATTCGAGATGACGTCAGTGCTTGCATGATACACACGACAACCACCCGCGGGTCACCTCTGCTGCTCCTCCGACCCACACTTGTCACCAGACCCGATCTCAGTGGGAGCCTGGCCCACACCCAAGGTCCCCACGGCAGCCAACGCCACGCAGTGACCCCGTCCCTGCCAGCCCTCCTGGCTGAGGGGACACCCTCCTAACACAGAGCAACCCCGTGCCCACCTGCACGCCTGCTCTCTGTCCTCCAGACCCCACCGAGCCTCACAGCAGCCCTGCTCTACCCCCAGAAGTCCTGGAGCAAGGCAGGGTTCCTCACCACCAGCCCAGGAGGGCAAAGGGGAGCACAGCGTGTTTCTGTCTGCCTGCTGTAGGATGAGAGATCAGGAGACCCTGGGGAAGAGGGAACACTGGGACAGGGCAGGAGGAGAGCTAAACACGGTCAGGATGGGTGTCTCAGAGCACACCCACGAATTTTTACTACAGTCCAGTTCTCAGTATTTGTTTTGTGTACAACTGCATTTCTACACTGACTGCTGATGGCTAACAGAAGTACAGAAATGTTTCACAAAGCGTCCCAATGTCTGTGAAAACCTTCTGGAGGATCTTGAGGAGGACTCAGGGGGATCTTCCTTTGACCACCAGCACCTGACGGAGGTGCAGGGAGGATGGGGCCGGGCTTTGCTCCGTGGTGCCAGGACAGGAGGCCCTGGGCATGGCCTGGGAGGTGCTGGGGGTCCTCGCAGGGAGCTCTGGGCTGCCTGCACCTGAGCCCTCACCCTGCTCAGGGGGTCCCTGCTGTGATTCTGCATTGCTTGCTGTATTACCACAATTCTCCGGACCAGGGGCAGCCCATCACCTTCATGGCCGCGCTCTGACCAGCAAACGGTACACACGGTGAAGAAATCCCAGGCAGTGAATCCAGCTGGCAGAGGCTATACAAATTCCCAAAGCTACACAGGAACTTCTGGTACACAGAACACACTCTTCTCTGGGATCTAGCCAAAGCTCAAGAAAACTTTAAAACTGTCTTGGGAAGGGAAAGAGAAAAACTTCGTGGTTTTGAAGAGAGACAAAAGCCAAGCTGGAATGTACAAGGAGAATCATTATTTCAGCTGACTGAACTGAATTCAGGTTCAGAGGAAGCAATCTTCCAATAGTTATGACCCCACAGCAGGGAACTGCACCAGGGTTTTTTGTCAGTGACATCAGGTAAACTTCGTGCTACATCTGTTCTGTACCACTGAAGAGATGAGCTACCAGCATAGAGGACTTTCAAGGTTCAATCTGAAGAAAAGGGTGGGCTTTGGTTGTAGCAAAGCCTAGGACTCCTTACAAGCGGTTCATGATGTTGGGCAATGCTATTCAACTGCATGCAGGGCTATCAGCCCACGCGTACCAACAGGTGCATCACAGGTATAGAGGGAAAACAAGGAGCAACTCAGGCAGGGATCTCCGAGCAGCCTGCCAACAACCCTGCTACCAGAGCTCTGAGTGGCAAACCAGTCTTCAAAACAAAGTGCTGCAAAACGACGTACCTGTGTGTACTCTCCATGCTGCTGGGAGTAATTAAAATAACCTTCCATCCCATGTTGTGATGTAGCTCCCTGAGAAACAGCAGCATCCACGATGTTGTTCGGAAGTCCTGTCTGCTGTGGTGGACTGGAGGCTTTGCTGGCAATTGCTGTTTGTAACATAATGAATACACACGGTTCAGTTAAATTCCATAAATTAGGATGCACTAATGTAATAGCAATATCCTGGGATGACAACAGAAGTTTGCTAATTCAGATTAGGCTGTGCTTAAAACAGTGCTACAAATAACTGAAAGGATTTCTGTAAGTCTATCTACATCAAGCTAGCCCATCAGCTCTGAAAATCTACCCTTCTCACATAAAATAGTAGCCATGAGGATACTACATTGTGATTTTAAGACAGAATTCAATATTTGCTTTGAGATAAATGCTGTGGTCACTGGAATTACCTGCTGAACAGAAGAATGATTTGTACATTTGGATTGAGGAAATTTTCAGCTAAAAGTGATGAATGTTTGCTTACCTGGAAGACATATACCAGGCAACACACTTGCCAAATTCAAGTAGGGGTTGGTACTAAGACGTATTTCTTTTGGCGGTTCTCCTAGTAGTGAAGTCTGTTTTTTCAAAGGAGTCTGTGAAATAATTGGACAGATCAGTGTGCATTATGTTCATACAACATTTGTGGAAATCAGATAAGTATCTCTGCATGATTTTGAAAAAAGTCTAGCCCTATGAAATATAACAGGACAAACTTTTAAAATAAATACTGGGGACAACTATCTAGACATGTTGCCTACACTTTCTTTGACAAATGATTTTGTAGGAATGTTTCTCTTTAAACTGTAAGTTACTGAAGGATATTAAACAACAACAAGAAAACCTTTTACATTCAATAACCACCATAATGCCTCCAGATGCAGGTAGTCAGCATTTTGTACATGGCCAGGACAAAAACAACTCTAGTCCCCCTGACACAAGCAAATGAAGGGACAAACTGAACCCTGGCCTGGAGAGATGACACCGTCTGTGATCTGCCATTATAACACATCTTACCAATCACTCTATTTATAAACCCTTACTTAAAAGAGGAAAATGTTTATGAGTGGAAATGAAGCATCAGAACTGACTCACTTCTCCAAACCACCAGAGTGTTTTCCTATGAGGGACTAGGAAGGGTACACTACCCGCTTATGTCCCCTTGACAGGGAAGAGCTCTCTGTGGAAGAGAAGAAAATCTGTAGCTATAGACAGAGTGTAATGGGAGAGAAAAGCAAAGCTCATTCCAAGGGAAAAATCATTGCCAACAGCTGCTGGTTTCAATAACCGAGTGGCTGGGTAAGACAAAACATTACATTACGCGTATGAGCAAGAGATTTATGCACAGCATTAGAAAAAACACCAGAAATACAGAGGAAATAAGTAGCTATGGCAAGTTACATAGCTTGTCTGAAATAACAGAGCTCAAAGATGTTTACAAAGCATTCTACTCGACGTTTAGTCTGCTCGTTTTTTCTAAGTCCATTAAAGAAAAACTCCATTACTTTAATGGATTAATGCTATTTGCAGTAAAATAGCATTAAATCATCAACTTTTCAAAAACTGTGAGCAGTGGTTTTTGAAGACAAAAAACTTCAGAGTGCTGAAATCCTTTCTCTCGATGCAAAAAAAGGCATTTGAGATAGTACGACAGTACGACTGTTCAGTATCAGGACAGGGCTTGTGGACGTCTTGCAAAGGAAGTGATTTTTGCTAATTGGGACATCTGTCTACTGCTGCAGAAAAGGAGACAATTAAAACATCTGCCAGGATTTCCGAGAAGAACTTTTCCTGATAAATAACATAGGTATTCATAGAAATAAACTGAGTATCTAGACTTCTAATGGTTTAATTACATTTCCTTTTAACTAAATGAAATGCAGAAATAAAACACTGATTTTATATATTTATACACAAACACAGTGTGTATTTTATTCAAGTGTATCTACCCATAGGTAAAATCCCACTTCATTACAGTGAGAATTGATTTAAGAAGCATACTTTCTAAAGTAGAATCAAAGGTGTCTAACAAACACAGACACCACTGCTGTGTATAATCTGATCACTTCAGGTGCTCCAAAAACATGTAGGGAAAACTCAGATCTGATACCAATTAATTAAAAACTTGTCAAAGAACTTCTGCATATTATTAAAAAAAAAAAAAGTAAATGCATAGATCAAATTCTGTTAGTAACAGCACATGCTGAAAAAATTTCAATAGATCATTTTAGTCCAACTTTAGTCCCATCCCATTCCCCTCCTGCCTTCATGGGAATAAATATTAAAACTGATTTTAGACTAAGAAAATGTCAGCTATGCCTAAGTGTGTACAGATTAAAAGTGGAGAATTTACACACACACAACATGCACCATCTGGAAGCCCAAAGGTCCTATGTGCCAGAAGAATTGCTCCTGATTAGTCATGTCATTCAACCACAAGTTCAATTTTCAGTCTTTAAAAGGGACACTGCCCTTGAGATAATTTCATCATCAAATACTATGAGGCATACACAGGGGAAAAAAAACCCCTCTAGCACTGTAAAAGATTCCTTTGTTAATTCATTTGGACCACCAAAGAGCATTATTGTTCTCTCTCTATAATTCATAACTGAAATGACCTTAAAATGTCTCATGAATGATCCTGTGATCTAACAAATTTTAGTGAAGAAACACAATAAGCAGTCACAGTTAACTCTAAAGGTTATTCAAAAACAAACAAACAAACAAACCCCCACGCAAGAAAAAAACATGAAAAGTACCACAAGAAAAGGAACTGATTACATTCAGTATTCCTTACCCCCAAACTTGTATCAGTGCTTTTGAGTTGATTTTGCTGTTTGGCATGACCAGCCCGCAAGGCTCCCGCAGGAAGATTTGTTAAGGTCTGATGATAAGGCTGTGATCCTGAGACAACCGCTTCGGTAGTTGATTGTTTCTCTGGAGCATTATTTTGCCCTGGTAGAGCTTGTCCAACAATGTGCTGATTCGGAAAGAATGGCAACATGCCCATCCCTGCTGCTGCTGCTGCTGTTTGAATTGTAGGCAGATTAGATGTTGCAGTCAACCATAAATGGAGAAACTTTTCTGTTAGACAAGATTTATCAGTACATTTTGTTTGTGGTTTTTAAGTGATGCAAAAAAACACTTAGAGATCTATTTTACAGCTGTACAAGAACACTGACTTCTGATGATAGTTTTTGTTCTTTTACCATCCTAGGAGCAAACCTTGTTTAAAGGTAATTCTATAAAAGAAAACTAAAGAAAACTATAAAAGAAAGTTACTTTCAGAAAAGCCTCTGAACAACATCTTTAGAGGGTCCAGTGCTGGAAAGCTGGGAAAACCCCTGACTTCAATTTGCGTTAGTAAAATTCTTTACAAACTAAACAGCTAGAAAGTATCCTCTACAATTAAAATCTAGACATTCAGAACAGGTTTCTTTTTTTTTTTTTTTTTTTTCCCCACAAGAAAGGTTTTCCTTGCTACTTGGCTACTACCATTAACTTAACTGCATGTGGAACTGCCGAATACACATCTCTGTGGAGGAAAGAAGAAAGATGCTCTAAGCAGTATCACGGCTCATCTTGCTTCATAGAAATTGAGGGCATCACTGACACAAGAATTTGCATTCAAAATTGGTATCTGTCACAGACCAGATATTAATGCTTAATAAACTGAATGCTAAGAAACTGTTTTTCCAGTACTTCTCCAGCTACTCAGATTTATCTTCGTTGAAGTAACAAACCCCAAAATTCTGATCCTAAATATAACATATTCCACATGTACGAGCATGGTAGTAACTGAGCAAGCAGAGTTTTAAAAACACCTGCAAATATTCAACAAACGGCACAGAGTGCTTTTTCTTCCTTGAGTATGAGGTGAGAGAAGTCAGGCACAACAAAGCAAGGCATGTCAAGTTCGAATGGCAGTAGCAGCCTGCTAGATCAGCAGGCTATAGCCAGTTATATAGCTATATGCCTCGTTAACTTGCCTAACTATATAGCTACATGACTTGCTTTATTGTCTAGCTCTATGCCTACCTTCCTGTGCAGTAACAAGGTTCAAACACATTATTGCTTTTGGTAAAGTGGGAGAAAGTAAGGCGTTTAATTTCAAGGTATTTTTACTGATTTGGTATGAAATAAAATGTCATTTACACTTAAGAGCTTCTCCACGGGTTCCCATGCCTGAAGTCACTGATGGCATCACTCCTATTCCCAGTACTGTCTGAAGTAGCATTGTTGGAGGTTCTCCCAGCAAACCCGGTTTCTATAAGGAAAAATAGAAAACCATGTAAATTATTAACATGTCTGTAGCTATTTCTTACAACTTTCACATTCAGTTACTTTTTACATATGCTAAATAGTTAAATTATACCAGATGAAAATAAAACCCACACCACTACACAATTATTTATCAGTTCTAAGAACATCCAAAGACAGCCAAAATTAAAGTGATGACCTTACACTATTGGCCTGGACATTTTCAATCTTCATCAGTTGCTGCTGTGGCAATGGCAGGTGAGCAGGGCTCTGCAGCAGTAAGTTAGATGCACTGCCCAGAACTGAACTCTGAAATTAATAAAAGAAGTGTCAGCTGACAGTCATGGAAAACAATATATTCTTGAAACATTTTCAGATGATACCGCTTACAGAAATTTAAACTAGTTTCTGAATTAATACAGCAAAGGAACATACCTATTTCTTCCACATAATTAAATTCCTGATTCGTTCACAGCAAGTGACTTTAAGTTCTTTCAACCTCTTTCTCCTAGCGATTTTTTTCACCTCACAACCACAAATATGTTCTCTGATGGCTTTTAAAGGATCAAGAGTATAGTCCAAATATAATCCAGACTTCACTGAAGCCCCTGTGTCTAAGCCAACAGGGAAAGTTAGATGTGTTTGAAGCCTCTGCAGACAGACTAGGCCAGGCAGAGATATGGGAGTTACCTACAGCGTGCCAGTAAGAAAGATGAGACACAAGGACTTCAGTGGATTATGAGCTGTATGAATAAGGACTTCATCGTTTGTTAATGTTTGCATTGTGTCTTGCATTGCATTTATAATACATAATCTCTGTCAAACATCTACACAGTTTCCAGGACTGTTATAACTGGCAGGGACTCTCAACCCTTGCTTTGCAGTTGCCAAACAGTATCATTACTTTCAAAGAGGAATATCCACATATGTTTTTATCCCCCCTTCTATTTGGAATTATCTACATGAACCTCTCTTCCAGAAACATTAAAAAGCTGACAATTGTTGGCACCGTGATTTATAAAGTCTACCAAATACTAATAGTTTTCATTCAAAGTTCCTGGACCATCGGTTGCCATCACAACTGAGACACTTCATCAACAACCTTGGGGGCACCGTGGTCAGACTCTGCCACTGGTATATTCAGCAATCTGTGCTCGGGCTTAAAAGAAGACTTACGTCCACCTCTGTATCACAAAAGCATGTTGTAATTCATGCAGCTGAACACAGGCTTGAAACCGTTTTTCTGGCAGCAGCTCCTGAGAGTGATTTGCCAGACAAAAAATGAGTTGCTCTACAAACCTTCTTGTACGGCAGTGCACTGACCATGTCAAATCACAACCAGTAGAGCCTTCCTTGTGGTTTAAAACTTCCTATACAGGAAAGGTCACCAAAGCCAGGTAAAGAAGCTAAAAAGATGGCAGCTCTCAGGATGTATGGCTTTGCAGATCTTATGTTCTCCTGCAACACGCCTCACACATATTTTCATGCCTAAGTATCTCTGTGTGGTAGGGTCAAATTCGTAAGGGTAAACCCTCTCTAGGCCTTTAACAGTGGTATTTTCTTAAACAATTCCTTCAGAGCTTTTCTAACTCTTCAAAACCTAACACAATACACCAAATCAGAGTGTCGCAACAAAATCTGATGAGCTGCAGTGCTGGATTCTGGACTCAGAAACAAGCAGCCTAACACAAAGAGCCATATATACATCAGTTGTGCCTCTGCTGTTTTAATTGTATTAGCAATTTCTGGTAGAAATTAGCCATGGCTATTTATGGTCACTAATGCATGTTCTTTCTAAACTTCACTATATCAATAAAGAGAATATGCAAAAGTTCACCTGCAAAACTTTCAGAAATAAAAGACTGGAAAATCAGACTGGTTAGATTCCTCAGAAGAAAGTCTCTGGGTTAATAAAGACTTAGCTGGATGACTCAGGAAAACACCACTGCAACAGCTCAAAATGCATTGTATTGGCACATGATAACTGTAACTAAGAGAAATTAAAAGAAAAAAGTTAAGTCATGCTACCTCCAGAGCTGAAAGAGTACTGGATGAATAACCACTTGTTCAAATTTCTCTCTGTTGATTTTTTTTTTTTTAATCAGTTATTTCATAATGTTGTGGCACAGTTATTCTAAAAATATTGTTTATACTTATTAAATTACTTTACAAATCTTTGAACATAAAGCAGCAAAAACAAGACACACAGGAAGCTGAATCAGCGTGTGACTGAGGAGGTAGTGGGGAGAGTTAAGCTAAGACACTGTTTGTTCTTGAATGCTCTATACTGAATTTCGGGACAGTAACAGCAGTGACCTGGTTCTCTGGCTTTAGAGAATACTCTGAAATAAGTCACTGAATAACAGAAAAATGTGCCTAATAGAAGGATCTGGGATAATCAAATCACTGTCAGTAAAATTCAGGTTATTAGATCAGGTTTGGAGCTAATTAAGTGACAGGAGGCTCCCTGGAAGTGAATTAGACAAGTAAGTCCATCCAAAAAGAAAGAACTAAGTTGTTTGGCTACAGTACTCTAAGCCAAAAACACTGGATCATCATCAATCACAGTTAGCTGTGTAGAACATGCCTCTCTCCAGCTGTGATTAGAAAACATTCACATTGCCTTCCAAGGAAGCATAGATTCTCCAAGAGAGAGCCCCAGCAACTAAATATACCAATTGAAAATGTCATTTAAATACAAGAAGTATAAGCAAATGATGATATATTTTTTTCATTGCACAGGACAAAAGCAATTCATTTGATGGGGGAAAATTAAATAACATATTTCACATTCATAATGGATATATTCACCCTGCGGTTTTTTAGCACAGAAGAAAGAGAAAAGCTAAATATACTTAATATAATGAGTAACTCTGTATTTTAATTTAGTCTTTTTAAAGATCTATTAAGTCTATGTTTGCCAAAAGAACAGCACAAACAAGAACTAATAATGAAGTGGATTTTTAAATGGGAATTTCTGAAACATCAGAAATAGTAAGTCAAAACAATTGACTAGTCCCTCAAGGATACTTAGGAATATCCCCCTCTGTTAACATTAATTACACATTTTGGCTCCTGGCAGAGCTGGAGAAATCTCTGACAGAACCTCAATATAAGGTGGAAGCTACACTGGTCAAATGAACTGCTACGGTTATGGGCGCTATGTTAGCTTGTTCTCACTACTTTCTAGGACAAGTTCATGACCAATATCCCTTATAGGGTCTTTCAGAAATTCTGGAGTCCATATGGAAGTCCCATCAACTTTACAATGAATTACAGATACTCTGAGAACACTTGAAGCAGCCTATAGACCTTTGTTTTGTTTTGCTTTTGTTGTTGTTGTTTATTATTATTATTATTTTACTAAGAGCTAACGTTTGCAAGTTACTATTTTTATGGCATATATAGCACATTTTGGTTCTTTAGAGTTTTAAAATGAAAACATTGATGCTAAACTTCTTGGCTTGAATAAAATAAAAGAATTAAGTCTCTGTATGACATGTAAGTAGCTTGACTTTTTTTTTTCAGTTATTGCTACATCAGCAGATGTTAGCAAATAAAAAGCTAGGCTAAGGTAAAATATGTCACTTGTGAATAGCAAGCAATCTCCTGCTCTTACATCACCGTAGGAACCTCATCATAGAGTGTGTTTTTTAAAAGACTGCTTTAGTAAGCTCACTTGATCTTAGCTGCAATTTTTTGAAAATTTTAAAATATTTTTTTCATGCTGAGATCTCCAGAAATAACTGTTTTGACACCTACCTGATGAACTTTATTCAGCTGTAGAAAAGGAGGGCCAACTGCTGTATTTATAAGGTGAGGAAAACCTGTTCCAAGAACTGTTTTAGAAACAAGAAAAAGTTGCAGTGACTTTATAAGTTAGTATAAGTAATTACTTATCATATAAGTAATGATCTTTATAATAGTTATTCTATATTTTTTAGATTTGGTATCCACAAAACTTTCCAGTATATAATGGGGCATTATAACGAAACCTTTCAATGCAGCCAGCTTTGATCTGCAATTAACAACACATTAGAGATCAAAAGTACTTTCATGGAGCTCCTCTAAAGCTGGCAGTTTAGCTCCGAGGCAGAAATGCCTGCAGCTGATTGCCAGACCAGGGCATTAGCCAAGGTGCTTTGAAACACATAGTCACTTCCCACACCATGTCTTTGTATCTTCTGGTGTTATTGTAAATACGGAGAAGTGAGAAGCAATGTATTGTACTTGTAAATAAATGTATGGTATATGTAAATACTGTCGTATTTACATCACAAACTTAGCTGTCCTCCACTTTCCACTTGAGTCTTCAAATTATCCGTCTCCACTCGTGTTCCTAATACCTTCACTATCAGGAATATGATGATTGCTTAAAACATTTATTCACATCCATCCTAATGGGAAGGCAGAGAATGCTTTGGGCTCATGCTGTTCCTACTGTTGTGTACGACAATGGTAGCATACAAGTGAATAATGACTTTAAACTGCAATCAAGAGGAGAGACTCTTGGACTGCAAATTCAGATCCCAGATCAGATTTAAAGTTGCAATTTTAATTAAATCTGCAAAAGACATTTCATTTTAAGCCTAATTCTGAATGACACTGAGAGACCACAGAATTAATGTAAGAACATTTCTATAGCTAACACTATATTCTACCCAGACACAATAACCTATCAAATCATCTTTTTACACTGTATAAAATGTAATAAAGCATCTACACAGACACAGTGTCTACACGGATTTTGAAAGAGTATGGGTGCTTCTCTCCTTATCAGAAAGCCTTGTCTCACTAAGAACAGGGTTTCTTTATTAACCCCTTTGTAAAACAACTTACCAGGTTTAACAGCATGTCCACGCAACTGGGGCTGCAGTAGTATTTGCAACATTGCTGGATTGTTAAAACTTTTCATAATCTGCACTGCATTCGGCTCTGGAAGCAATCCTTTTCTATTGTTTCGCATCTCAAATTGAGAGATACAAAAATGTTACAAACAGGAGATAACAAAGAATGCATTTACATCCCTGGAAAAAATCTATTTCCTTGAGTAAGGAATCATAAAGATCGAAGTTCAAACATCCAGATCCCAAACCTAAACAATCAACTCCTTCCACTTTTGTTCTCTAGAGCTAACTGGCAATACCTTCCAGCACTACCTCTCCTCAGGTAATATGAGTGTTGTCCTTCTCACCTTTCTTCACCTTTACTACATTTCTACTTTCACACTTTTTCTGTTGCTCCCTAACATATTTAACAGCATCTCGATGTTTCCACCCCCCCTGCAAGATTTTTTGGAGTAGCTAAAGGCATAAATCACAGGTCAACATGGCAACTTACACATTACAAATTATTATTTTTTGGATCACAAAGAGCTGAAAGTTGTGTAACATTAATGTACATATTTTATTTTACACAAAAAAAATAATCCAGTCATCTGCTTCCCTCTCCCCTGCTCCTTTTCCTTCAAATGAAACGACTAACAAACTACTCCTCCAGAACTTCAAATGTATCGTTTTCCTGAGAGGCATTTCTTTTTTTCCCTTTTAACCAAGAAAGTGTTATCAATAAAGGATACAAGAGGCAGTGTTAACAAAAACTCATGCTATCTTGTAATAGCACCACGCATCTCTTTTATGAAGATGTGGGCTAAAGCTCTCAGAAGTAACGAAACTGTTCTGCTTCTACTTTTAAGACAGCTTCTTGTAACACTTATCAAATCCCATTTTCTAGGAAATAATTTGATATGACAAGTGGGTATAAAAAGCTTTCTTCTATATTGAGCATGAAATTAAACTATTTCTCCTACCCTGAAATTTATCTTAAAATTGACAAATTCTCGTCTGTTTTAAACCAAAACTAAAACTCTGTTTTAGCTCATCAAATGTCTCCACCTCAATTTACTTTTGTTTTGAACTAGAACAACTTCTCTTGCAGAAAATTGATTTTAATAAAATCCCAAAGCTATGCAAGTGTAACTTTGTAATATCTTCTAGCCATATTTCACCCTTCCTCCTTGCAGTATATTGCCTTCTTTAGTCTAGGAAACAGACTGAGTTAGGCTGACCAGATAAAAAACAGTAACAAACAACCAAACAAAAAACCCAAACAGCTAAGGTTTCCAGAAGCTTGGCTACTTTTTGTAATGCAAAGCAGTGAATCCCTTTCACACAACACATGTTGCTCAAGGTATAACAAACTCATTCTGAAAACAGATTTGCAAAATCTTACCATCCTTTGTGCTGCTATAAGTGCTGCTAATGTGCTTCTGCCTGGCGCTCCTGGAGCACAGTAGGACACCTGGATTCTCTTCCCTTTGATAATCATGCCATCGGTGACTTCTTGCACCTTCTCAGCCTGCTCTGCAGTTTCATACTCAACCACTGCAAAGTCGCCAATACAGCTGTCTTCATCCTGAGCAAACTGAAAAAACATTTCACAACACACTGAGCGAAATGGAGAATTTCAGGAACCGTCTTGAAATACGTTCACCTATCCCCTGCAAAATACTTTGCTAAAAGTTGACGTACTATGTTAATGCCTACCCAAATTAGTATGTTTCTTTTTCAAATGTGCTAAATATAAGTATCATAGCTTCATATTAGCTTTGGCATGCGTGCTGTGTCTACTTGAATTACCACCTTAACTTCCATGTAATCTCATGGAGAACCTGAGTTGTGAAATATATTTAACAGTTATTTAACAGAATAAAAAGGGTGAGAAGAAGAATTTAAATACAGCAGTGTTCTACATTTTTATTTTATTTTTAATTTTTATTTTATTTATTTATTTTTTTTTCAGGATAAGAATTATAAACTCTTTACTGTTCAGCTTTCAAGCCTACAATAACACAAGTGTCATTCATCAGACTGCACTGATAGCTGTTGAAACATACAACAATGCAAATTCTACTGCTATATACTGCCTTTTAGGAGAATCTGAAGTCTGTGGCTGTATTTAGTGCCAACAGAAGATGCCAGACTGATCAATCAAGCAGACTGGAAACAGGCTTACTTGTCAAACAATGCTCTGTCCTTTGTTTGCAGAGTTTTATAACAGAATGAGCAGATTTAAATCAAACAAAAAAATGGGAGTGAAAAGGGAGGGAGTAAAGCTTAGGCAAAAATATCCACTCCCAAAATGATCAGAAATGACCCACTGACACTGGTTGTGAAGCAGAAAAGTAAAAACCTCTCTAGATTTTAACTGGAAAAAAATCCACAGCCTATTCCCAACAGTTCGGCTGCATAAAGTTACAGTAACAACTGAAATAAAAATCTCAGAGATTTACAAGAAAAGAGAGGTTATAAAATCTTCAATGCCATTGCTAAAGACTCACCTCCAGCAAGAGCTCTAAAGAACACACATACCTTGATAAATATTGCTGGGGAAGCTGATAACAGCCTCTGGATTATCTGACAGCTGGAAGAATGCCCCAAACTATAAGACTTTAAAACATTGATGTATTTAGCTAATTAAAAAAAAAAGATTAGACAAGTGACTTCGTTATAGCACGCAATACCTTATTTCAGAAGAAAATACTGGGGAGCACAGGCTGCTCACCCTAGTAAGCAGTGAAGTGAAACAGAAGTCAGAGACATTCAATCCGGGAAACAGACACGAGTACAAAATAACAAGGGATGGGCAGTTTCTGGAAGGAATTACTTGCAATTTATTCCTCTCCCCATGTACTTGGATCAAGCTAGTATAAGGATATGGTGCTGACAACAAATTACTGGGGATCCAAAATAGCACTAAAGAAAATGTGCTGGCCTACAGGTGGATCAGGCCTTACTTGAAGCTAATCCCTAAGCAGCCTTCCCAGATACTTAAGAAAACAAAAAACAAGTGAAATCATACCCAACTGTGACTACACACAAAGCTTTCTTTTTACTGTCTCTCTAGGTATGTTTGTCTGCAGCGCTTCTACAAACGACATTTTGTGTGGTCTAGCATCTCACAAGCCATAGAGACAGAAAGGAAACCTTTATGCATGCAAAGGCTAGCAAGGATCCACCTCTTCTGCACCTGCAAGCTTTCCAAAAGATGCAGCACTTCTATCCCCATCAAGCCCAGTGACTCATTTTCCCCAGTTAAGGAAAAACTCATTAAATATTTGCAGAGGTTTCTTAAATGTGTTAATTTTATACATTTATTCTTCCTGATCTCCTTGAACTGTTGCACTTACAGTATTCACACACTCTGGCTTGCTTTACTGAGCAATAAAACCATCTGCAACATTTACTTTAGAAGTTCTCTAAAATATTTCTAAAATCATTTTCCATAAAATACATGAGAAGGGGATGTGCTATAAACATTTTACTGGTGCTTAAGGGGAGCGGTCTCCTGCAGAATTCCCAGATGACATGTAACAATCACTGTGAACCCGGACCAATAAAACGTTTGTACCACAACATATTTTGCAATGCAGATGCATACTCATTCACCACTTGAGTGGAAAATAAAAGGATAAGACAGCAAGCAGTGAAGTACACCAATACAGAACTGTTTAAATCATGACCTTGATCTTCCAAAAGATACATATTCAACATACCTGGCAGAATACAGGTTTATATTTCAGTGAGAAAGCCTGCATCAGTTCTTTTGAATCAGTGTAGTCTTTTTGCAATTTATCCACACAAAGGCACTTGGAGTGAATAAGACTTGTGGTCAGCTGGTTCACATCCATCCACTGCGCGAAGAGAGTGCTCTCGTCTAACTGTTTCCCCAGAAGTTCCAGTCTCGCCTTCGCAGCAGAGTCCTTCTTCATATATTCCACAAAACCATAGCCCTTGGAATGGCCAGTAACTTCATTATACACCAAAAAACACCTCTCGACATTGCCATAAGCACGTACAAGTTCTTCAAACTCTTCTAACGTAAACGAAATGGGCAAATTAGTGATGCACAGCAAAGCATCCGTTGGTTGGAGTTGCACGGATATTTCTTTTCCCCGAAGAGAATACTGGTGAAATTTCCGAATTGCATTTTGAGCCTGCTCTCCATTTAACAGAGTAACAAATGCTGTAAGAGACCAGAACAAGTTACATCGCTTATTACTCTACAAATAAGCACTATAGCCCCCCTCGCCTCTAGGAAAAAACAACACAAAACCCAGCAGTAGAAGTTAGAGGAAAAATAAGAGTTTGGGATTTACTCTGAAGACACAGTACATAAAAAGAAATGCTGCAATATATACTTAAAAATCGGAGAAATGTAGATACAAAATATACAAAACCTCACTCCTTGTAACACGTCAGTATTTTACATCGGGGAAACAAAAAGTAACTACGTTTTCTACTTAGGTCAACATATTGGTGATTCAACTACATTTCTTTGAAGGCAGCATCCATACATTCTCACTAGGGATTTACCGCATCTTTTCTGCATTTTGAGTCTCTAGGATATTTCCCAAAATTGCAGAATCACAGACCGGCAGAGGCTGGAGGCCAACCCCTGCTCAAGCAGGACCACCAGAGCTGGGTGCCCATGACCATGCCCAGCCGTCTTTTGAAGACGTCCAAGGACAGAGACTGAGCCACCTCTCCGGGCAGCCCGTGCACAGCACCAAAACGTTTCCTGATGTTCAGAGGAAACCCCCTCCGGGTTTTGCTTTGTGCCTGCTGCCTCTTGCCATCTTCTTCCCACCCTCTAGAGAGGATGTAACAGTCTGCAGTGAATCAAGCAGGTGGAAGATCATTTACGGGTTTTGTTCTTGAGTCCCACTCGAGGGTGCAGCACAGGACAGCCACTGGCAAAATCTTTGGTTCACGTAAGAGAAAGAACAATGCAAGTCGACAGCTCTGGCTGAGACACCCTCAGCACTGTCAGGCACTTGTGGACACAGGGTTGGGCACTGGACATCTTTCATACCCAAAGTGTGAAGTATCACCTCCAGACAGCAAACATTTTTCTGCTGCAATTGAGCCTTCAAGCCCACAAATCTCAGCAGCAAGTACCACACGAATCTTTAAAATGTGGCAGTGGGTAGGTAGTACCTGCAGGATTTGATGCTCTTTTAACCTTTGCTGAGCTGCTGATCTTCAAACCGATCTTACAGCTGCTGAATTTCCCTCCCCATTATTACAAGTGGCTGTTGGTTGTTGTTATATTTTTATTTTACTTTATTTTATTTAACTGCTTCTTCTGCTCAGTGGGCACGGGTCCTGGTGATGCCATGGCCAGTGTAACAGGGGACAGAATGTTGGCGGTGGCCGTGTCACAGGGGGAGCAGCTATAAAAGGGCCGCAGCAGGCCAGTCCGGCCAGTCCGGCCGAGGAGCAGCCAGATGAGTGTGGGCTGAGGAGGGAGAGGAGAGGCCCCCCATGGCAATGAAGGGCGGCCGCTCTCCTCCAGCTGTTTTTTTTTTATTATTTATTATTACAGATAGAATCCTGGAAAAGGACAGAGCAAGACCATGGCTACAGCCTTCTTCCAGCACTCCGCTGGAAGTGTCAGCTTCTACAGGAGAGATCCCTGGACTCCATGGCCACATGATAAGGAAGGTCAACTCCCAGCCCCTTCCCATATTGTGCCGCTGGCACCAACCCCATTGACGTTTTGTTGCCCATATTTGCTTCTCTCCTAGCCTCACCGCTGGACACGAGCCCAGGACACAACATTCTACAGGAGAGATCCCTGGACTCCACGGCTAAGGAACGTCAACTCCCAGCCCCTTCCCATATTGTGCCGCTGGCACCAACCCCACCGATGTCATGTTGCCTGTATTTGCTTCTCTCCTAGCCTCACCGCTGGACACGGACGCAAGCCAATGACACAACATTCGACAAGAGAGATCCTTGGACTCCATGGCCACTTGCTAAGGAAGGTCAACTCCCAGCCCCTTCCCATATTGTGCCGCTGGCACCAACCCCACTGATGTCTTGTTGCCCGTACTTGCTTCTCTCCTAGCCTCAGCGCTGGACACGGGCCCAGGACACGACAACATTCTACAGGAGAGATCCCTGGACTCCATGGCCACATGCTGAGGAAGGTCAACTCCCAATCTTCCCATATTGTGCCACTGGCACCAGCCCCACTGATGTCAGGCCACATCAGAGTGGGGCTGGTGACAGGGTGGGCCCAGGAGAGGCCTGGTAGTAGACATGGAGGTTCTCTTGTTGCCTGTACTTCTCTCCTAGCCTCACCGCTGGACACGGACGTGAGCCCATGACATGTCAATATTCTACAGGAGAGATCCCTGGACTCCATGGCCACATGCTGAGGAAGGTCAACTCCCAGTCCCTTCCCACGCTGTGCCGCTGGCACCAGCCCCACTGATGTCACGGCCACATCAGAGTGGGGCTGGTGACAGGGTGGGCCCAGGAGGGGGGTGTCACAACACACAGGGGTTCGCTTGTTAGTGCTTTTGCTTCTCTGCTAGCCTCAGCGCTGGACATGGACACGAGCCCATGATGCCACGCTCCTGGCCGCCTCTCCTTGATGCACCGCTGGAGACGCAGCAACATCATACGGGAGAGTCCTACAGAGGAGCAGATGGTGCCATCAGCTGCGGACGAGAATTCTGCAACACCTAACACTTGCTATATGAACTTGTCTATATGTAACCTTTTCTTAATAAAAGAACTTTTCTTAATAAAATGTAATTTTGAGAACCACCATGAATTGTGATGAAGTATCTTTTAGTCGTTTCCTGCTGATTTCCTGTATGCTGTTCTCCGTTAAAGACCAATGGAAACTTAATAATACCCATTGTTCAGCCATGAGGCCATACTTACACGTCAATCCCTTGTATGCATAAAATATTAAACTGCTCCTACACATGTCTAGAATTAATTCATTTGGGAAGAACTCAAAAAGCTAGAACATTCTATCTTGAAAATAAAATGAAACTGGAAAACCAACCCACAAAAGGTATTGTTATCCCTTCACACTTTCACAGAATCACAGAATTTCTAGGCTGGAAGAGACCTCAAGACCACTGAGTCCAACCTCTGACCTAACACTAACAGTCCCCACTAAACCATATCCCTAAGTTCTACATCTAAACGTCTTTTAAAGACCTGCAGGGATGGTGACTCCACCACTTCCCTGGGCAGCCTGTTCCAATGCCTCACAACCCTTTCGGTAAAGAAGTTCTTCCTAACATCCAACCTAAAACACAATTATCACTTTTGTAAGAGTCAAAAAGCACACAATATTCCTAGCTATCCTGAACCTAACAGCAGCACAGAATTCTTTGTCGTAAATCAGATGTCCTAGTACAATTACTTATACAATGCTTTTTATTTTTTCCCCCTTTAGAAGCTCTTGTAATGTCCAGTAACTTCATTATACACCAAAAAACACCTATCGACATTGCCATAAGCACGCACAAGTTCTTCAAACTCTTCTAACATAAACGAAATGGGCAAATTAGTGATGCACAGCAAAGCATCCGTTGGTTGGAGTTGCACGGATATTTCTTTTCCCCGAAGAGAATACTGGTGAAATTACCAAATGGCATTTTAGCCTGCTCTCCATTTAACAGAGTAACAAATGCTGTAAGAGACCAGAACAAGTTACATCACTTACTACTTTACAAATAAGTGCTATAGCCCCCCTCACCTCTAAGAAAAAACAACACAAAACCTAGCAGTAGAAGTTAGAGGAAAAATAAGAGTTTGGGATTTACTCTGAAGACACAGTACATAAAAAGAAATGCTGCAATATATACTTAAAAATCGGAGAAACGTAGATACACAAAACCTCACTACTTGTAACACGACAGAATTTTACATCGGGGAAACAAAAAGTAACTACGTTTTCTACTTAGGTCAACATATTGGTGATTCAACTACATTTCTCTGAAGGCAGCATCCATACATTCTCACTAGGGATTTACCGCATCTTTTCTGCATTTTGAGTCTCTAGGATATTTCCCAAAATTGCAGAATCACAGACCGGCAGAGGCTGGAGGCCAACCCCTGCTCAAGCAGGACCACCAGAGCTGGGTGCCCATGACCATACCCAGCCGTCTTTTGAAGACGTCCAAGGACAGAGACTGAGCCACCTCTCCGGGCAGCCCGTGCACAGCACCAAAACGTTTCCTGATGTTCAGAGGAAACCCCCTCCGGGTTTTGCTTTGTGCCTGCTGCCTCTTGCCATCTTGCCATCCTCTATAGAGGATGTAACAGTCTGCAGTGAATCAAGCAGATGGAAGATCATTTACGGGTTTTGTTCTTGAGTCCCACTCGAGGGTGCAGCACAGGACAGCCACTGGCAAAATCTTTGGTTCACGTAAGAGAAAGAACAATGCAAGTCGACAGCTCTGGCTGAGACATCCTCAGCACTGTCAGGCACTTGTGGACACAGGGTTGGGCACTGGACATCTTTCATACCCAAAGTGTGAAGTATCACCTCCAGACAGCAAACATTTTTCTGCTGCAATTGAGCCTTCAAGCCCACAAATCTCAGCAGCAAGTACCACACGAATCTTTAAAATGTGGCAGTGGGTAGGCAGTGCCTGCAGGATTTGATGCTCTTTTAACCTTTGCTGAGCTGCTGATCTTCAAACCGATCTTACAGCTGCTGAACTTCCCTCCCCAGAATTACAAGTGGCTGTTAGTTGTTGTTATACATTTATTTTACTTTATTTTACTTTATTTTATTTAACCACTTCTTCTGCTCAGTGGGCACGGGTCCTGGTGATGCCATGGCCGTGTAACAGGGGACAGAATGTTGGTGGTGGCTGTGTCACAGGGGGAGCAGCTATAAAAGGGCCGCAGCAGGCCAGTCCGGCCAGTCCGGCCGAGGAGCAGCCAGATGAGTGTGGGCTGAGGAGGGAGAGGAGAGGCCCCCCATGGCAATGAAGGGCGGCTGCTCCCCTCCAGCTGTTTTTTTTTTTTTTATTATTTATTATTACAGATAGAATCCTGGAAAAGGACAGAGCAAGACCATGGCTACAGCCTTCTTCCAGCACTCCGCTGGAGACGTGTCTGCTTCTACAGGAGAGATCCCTGGACTCCATGGCCACTTGCTAAGGAAGGTCAACTCCCAGCCCCTTCCCATATTGTGCCGCTGGCACCAACCCCACTGATGTCTTGTTGCCCGTACTTGCTTCTCTCCTAGCCTCACCGCTGGACACGAGCCCATGACACAACATTCTACAGGAGAGATCCCTGGACTCCATGGCCACATGCTGAGGAAGGTCAACTCCCAATCTTCCCATATTGTGCCACTGGCACCAGCCCCACTGATGTCAGGCCACATCAGAGTGGGGCTGGTGACATGGTGGGCCCAGGAGAGGCCTGGTATTAGACATTGCCGTTCTCTTGTTGCTTCTCTACTTGCTTCTCTCCTAGCCTCACCGCTGGACACAGACACGAGCCCATGACAGGACAACATTCTACAGGAGAGATCCCTGGACTCCACGGCCACATGCTGAGGAAGGTCAACTCCCAGCCCCTTCCCACACTGTGCCGCTGGCACCAACCCCACTGATGTCTTGTTGCCCGTATTTGCTTCTCTCCTAGCCTCAGCGCTGGACATGGACGCGAGCCCATGATACATCAACATTCTACAGGAGAGATCCCTGGACTCCATGGCCACTTGCTGAGGAAGGTCAACTCCCAATCTTCCCATATTGTGCCTCTGGCACCAGCCCCACTGATGTCGCAGCCACATCAGAGTGGGGCTGGTGACATGGTGGGCCCAGGAGAGGCCTGGTAGTAGACATGGCGGTTCTCTTGTTGCCTGTACTTGCTTCTCTCCTAGCCTCAGTGCTGGACATGGATGCGAGCCCATGACACGACAACATTCTACAGGAGAGATCCCTGGACTCCATGGCCACATGCTGAGGAAGGTCAACACCCAGTCCCTTCCCACACTGTGCCGCTGGCACCAGCCCCACTGATGTCACGGCCACATCAGAGTGGGGCTGGTGACAGGGTGGGCCCAGGAGGGGGGTGGCACAACACACAGGGGTTCGCTTGTTAGTGCTTTTGCTTCTCTGCTAGCCTCAGCGCTGGACATGGACACGAGCCCATGGTGCCACGCTCCTGGCCGCCTCTCCTTGACGCACCGCTGGAGTCGCAGCAACATCATACGGGAGAGTCCTACAGAGGAGCAGATGGTGCCATCAGCTGCGGACGAGAATTCTGCAACACCTAACACTTGCTATATGAACTTGTCTATGTGCAACCTTTTCTTAATAAAAGAACTTTTCTTAATAAAATGTAATTTTGAGAACCACTATGAATTGTGATGAAGTATCTTTTAGTCGTTTCCTGCTGATTTCCTGTATGCTGTTCTCCCACAGAGACCAATGGAAACTTAATAATACCCATTGTTCAGCCCTGAGGCCATATTTACACTTCAATCCTTTGTATGCATAAAACATTAAACTGCTCCTACACATCTAGAATTAATTTCTTTGGGAAGAACTCAAAAAGCTAAAACATTCTAACTTGAAAATGAAACTGGAAAGCTAACCCACAAAAGGTATTGTTATCCCTTCACACTTTGTCTCAGGCTTTACCCTCAACTCTTCAAATGCCACCCTAAGTGTCTGCCACACCGAATAAATATCACAGTTCTGCCTGCAGGTAACTTAATGCAAGGCAGAAACACCCCAGGAAAGCTCTGCTTGCACCACATAGGCATGCCAAGCACAGCCCAGTGCTCACACACCACAACCTCCCTGAGCACTCAAGCTTTGCCATAAGGAGGTTGGCCAACGTAACGCATCCAAACAGGGCAAAATCAATTCTCCCTATATCTCTTGAAGACAGAGCAGGAAGTTTTTCTCCGTTTCCACTTTGCCTCTCCTGACTTCTCTCACAGTGGATACTCACAAACAGGATAGAAAAATAAGGAGCCCAGTTAGAAAGGTCCAAAGGCAAAAGAAGCAAGTTGGCAGCAACAATACTGCTCAGCGCAAGCAACTTGTTTGAAACCACAGCCTGAAAACTGTGCTAACCATATTTTCTTATCCTACACCCAAATTTGGAGTCTCAGTTGTCCAGAAACAAGTATAAACAATGCTTTCCTCCTCACTACACAATTATCACTTTTGTAAGAGCCAAAAAGCACACAATATTCCTAGCTATCCTGAACCTAACAGCAGCACAGAATTCTTTGTCATAAATCAGATGTCCTAGTACAATTACTTATACAATGCTTTTTATTTTTTTCCCTTTAAACACAGCATTTTTTTTTTTTTTTTATTTTTTTTTTTTAGCTTTCTGCCTTCCTCGCTATCAATTACCACACCATGACTACGGGTAGATTTGTGCTAGTCACAGCAAAAGCTACCATACTGCAATACAATCGCTTCCTGAAATTCAACTCCAGGAAGCTCTGGTTGCAAGATTATTCTTTAAACAGAAAACATCTTTTATTCCAGATCACCTATTAATCATCCGTTTCCACTAACATCACTGCACATGTGAAAAAAGCAATGAATTGTAAGATGACACCATTCAGAGGCAGAAATGCTAACATTTTCTTTCATGTCTAAATAACCAGAAGTTAAAACAGTCTAAACGAGGATTTCTAAATAAAATATAAATATTCACAGGGTTCTTAAAGCAAGTTCTGGTCTGTGCTGTAACTGTAACTATCCTGTAGCAAAGTAAAAGAAGCAAGTAAAACATGTAATATTTGAGATCTCAGTTCTGCTGGTCTAGTTAAAGGGGATGTTGTTACACATCCTGAAGCAATTAACTTGAACAAACATACAAACAATACATTCGCAGTGGATTTTACAATTTGTAGTAACGCAAGAGATGTATCGATAATCAGATATAGATGAGAAGGCATGGAAATCAACAATCTGGTTCTCAGACAGATTAAAATACTCCTGGGCTACCTACATTACTTACTTTGCAATCCAGCATTTTGACATATTTCTGTAACAGTATAACACTTGGTGATTTAGGAATACTTACATAGAATATATGGATAAATGCAATGAATTTTAAAGAAACTCAATCTTTTTTAAGATAAAAATGCATTTTCAAAGTGTTCTGAGGTCATGTAAGGCTTCTTCTTTGTGTTTACTGCTATTCTAAATTAGTTTGTGTAATCAAGTGAAAACATTGTTTTTACTCTGGAAAATTTTACAAGATCTCATTGGGAAGGTCTTCAGAGCTCTACAAGTTCTGACCATCAAACTAAAAAGACATTAAATGTATCTAAAAAAAATCAATACAAATGGAGTTCCTTACACAAGTAGTTCACACTATAGTATCTACGTCCATCACCACAGAGAGGTGACTGGTGACAGCCAACATGGCTTCACTAAGGGCAAATCATGCCTGTCAAATTTGGTGGCCTTCTATGATGGGTTTACAGCGTTGGTGGATAAGTACTGTTTTACATCTCTGCTGGCAACATGGACAGTGAGACTGAGCGCACCCTCAGCATGTCTGCTGATGACACCAAGCTGTGTGGTGTCGTCAACATGCTGGAGGGAAGAGATGCCATCCAGAAGGACCTGGGCAGGCTCGAGAGGTGGGCCTGTAAGAACCTCCAGAACTTCTTTGTGTATCACACAAGTTAAGATGGTGTAACCCAGGAGATTTTAATAGTTGTATTTTTAAAAAATTCCCATTACAGCAAACACAGTCCTATGAGGGCAGGTGTCAGATATCTAAGCAAAATCCTGATAGCAATCTGCCACAGTCACATTTGTCCTTCAATCCAAGAGTACCTCCTGAGGTAATCCAGACTTTAATATCTATGGCAATCAGGATGTACAGGAACATTTGTCCATCTCTGTACCTCAGAAGTGCTAAAAATCTGTGATTCCCCTACACAGAGAATTGATTTGTAAATGGAAGATCTGAGTTAGATAATAAAAGATTTAATTCAGAGCAACGTTTCCTTCAAAGACTTAACTATTCCTTTAAATTGCTTCAGGCTCATGTTACCTGAAACAAATGCATCTGGAGCTAGGTACATTTTCCTCTGATCACATCATATGCACATGTGAAGGTTTGTGCTAAAAGAAGCCTCAGGATCAGTTGTTCAAAGGAATTTGGACAGTTGAGGTTAGATTAGGCTCAAAGAGAAACTGACTGAGGGGAATATGCCTGATAGATACCATGCAGGGCCAGCCTATTTCTCACTACTATCAATAGAGTTTCCAATTCTCCACTGGCTTCAGAAGAGGCTGGCAAAGTGTACAGCCAAGGGGCATGCATAGCAGATGATATTCCTCACTCATTTCATCACAGAACTGGAATGTGTGACACCGGAAGATTTTAATTTCTTACCTGTTCTTTTATTTCTGTCCACATAACAATACTTTATTTCATAATCTTTAAATAAGTCATGGATTTCCTGAAAGAGAAAAGTACAAGTAACATCAGAGAAATAATTCACCAGACCAAATAAATAACTGTATAAATTTAGCTTCACTTTTTAAACAAAAACTTTCCCGATAAACAGAAAACTTTACCATAGAAACACTATCAAATATTTGTTTTTAGAAGAGCTGGTTATACTGCTACAGCAATGTTTTTATCTCATGTAAAGAATTGGCTTACTGAATGTGATTAATTTACTTTTCATTATACAACGTCTCATAAGCACAACAGACCGTCTTGCTGGCTGTCTTTTGATAAAGACAAATAACATCACAGTTCATTAAATAGCAAAAAAAACCCCACCACTATTTCTCAAAAGCACAGCTAGTAGAGTTAAAATGCCACACAGATGAGATATCAGCAACATCACATCATGCAATTTACTGAGGACAGGCAACACTGTAATAAAATAAAACAGCTGCTTTAGTTTCCTCTAACCGCTCAAGTTCACTTTAGCAGATTTTTGATCTTTTAATAATGAATATTCTTTCAAGCAGCAGTGAATCCTGCCCAGAATACCCCACAGAAAGTATCATTTATCAATTACTGCACAGGTGTCCAATGAAGAATCAACCCCAACGGCATTATTTGCTCCCACTAATTAATGGAGAAAGAGCAGGAGAGTGGGAGAGGTGGGGTAGGAACAAGTGCAAGAGGTGTGCTAGTTTGCTAAAGCTGTTCCCCAACAAAAGCAAAACACGTGCCAGTGCCCCACAAAACCCATGAACTATCAGCTCAGTGGCAAGAATGCAGAGATGGACATTAATCATCCTAGGAAGACAGCGATGCTTTGGACGTGTTTATACTTCAGTTGGGGAAGTCCCATATGTGCTAGCAAAAGACCATTTGAGTATCAAAATAATCAGCAAACTTTGTCTGAAAGTTTCAGTGCAGCCAATTTCCAGCAGCCCAGCCAACCTGCCAGCGGGCTAACTCAGCGATATACAGCCTGGGTTAATTGGGCTCTCTGCGACTGGTATCAGGTGCACCCCTTTTAGTCGAAGGGACACCAATCTCTAGTTTCACTAGCTAACAGCTGTCAAATACTACATTAATAAAATATGGCTGTTTCTCGATCTACCAGCCACCCTCATCAGACGTGATAAGGATATGGTTTCTGAAAAGCAAAATAAGCCAGGCACACTGCGAAGACCCGAGCCGGGAAGGTGACTTGGCTGTGGGCAGCAACGAGAGGTCCTCGAGGTCCTTGATACTGAGGAGAAATGACACTTTCTGTGAAGTCGTACAGCTCAAAAGTACAAAGTTGCTCCTGTCCTGCTCAGAAAAAGGGGCACATAGTCACCCATTTTTATTTCATATACTACAAGAGTAACATTGAAAGTTTGATCAGGCGGTTAAGTAGCAGGAAATACTATTTCAAATGGTTCATAACACTCTCTTGAAGGTCTTTTGTGTGAGCCAGATGATTTCCCAGCAACTGTTTGAAATTTTAATTGAGAGGGAAAATAGCCTGTAGCAAACTTATCTTCATGGGATAATCATGAGGTCTTCATGTTAAAAATTACGAGGACAAAAAGAAGATTTAAAACGATACCCTAGTTTAAGCTAAGTCACTCCAAAAGGCCACTGTGAGGATTTTAACAGCGGTTTGCCCAAGTCGTAGCACACACTGCTAGTGTCTGGTGCTCCCGCGGTGGGGCTGAGACCTGCAACTGCCTGACTGCGTCTGGGTATTATTTTGGCGAGGGCATTTTTCACATAAAGACAGCTTGAGACAATTTACGAAAATAAAACACAGCACGCTGACTCTTAAGCAAATATATACTCCTTCAAATTAAACAGATATCTACATATCTGTGTACATTAGCCTAAGATTCTTCATAATATTTTCAGAAGTACCAAGCCAACTTTTGAGCTTGCGTCTTATTTAAAAGAGCGACTCGGGCGCTTCTGTAAATCTCCCCCTCACCTTCCAACGCTGGTGCCTGCTAGAAAAGAATGAAGACATTTCCATTTTAATTTATTTAATGGGGTGTGTGCCTGGCAGGCTCTGACCCCACGGGATGCAGCCAACGGCCGTGGCTGTCCCCTGAGCATGGCAGAAGCAAATGTCCGTGGCTTGGGCCCTGCTCCTGGCAGCCACCAGGCTCAGGACTCCTGAATGCCTCCAACCAAACTGCTTCTCCTGAAGGATTCCTCCCTCTGCAGTCAGAGATCATTAAGGTTGGAAAAGAAATCCAACATCTGGTCAAGAGCAAGGCGCGCTATCATGGGAAGGCCTCGCTGCCACCCCAGCGCCAGGCCAGGTTACAAAATTTGGGCAGCACGAGCTGGAGGCTCTTACAAGGAGAGCTACAGCCGTCACGAACCCCGTGGCAGCTCCAGTGCCAGCATCCCAATACCCCAGTAACCATTACGAGTCCTCAGAAGTGGACTTCAAAAGCTAGTTAATCGAAGAACTAGTAAAAATTAAAATCTTAACCAGACAGTAATCCATTCATACTTAAGGAAAGTACTGGGACATACTTAAGGACATACCGGGCAGGAAAAGAAAAACCAAATATATTCAAGGGGAATTAAGAGAAAGCACAAGTAAATATGGGCTGGACACCCTTCCAAAACGTATTATTTACTGTCACAAGAAACGTTGTCTTGAAATACTTTAATTCTTGGCCTGTCCTGTCTTGTCTTGGGTAGAGAAGCGTCAGCGTGAGTTTTTACCACATATTATCAATTTGAAATTTGCATCTCTCAAAGGGAAAGAATGCCTTCCTCAGAGACAATCTGTCTTTATGCTTTATGACCTGGATTTTTTATTTTTTTTTTAAACAGCAATGTGAGTCATTAGCAGGCACATTTGCCCTACATACCAAATCAATAAAGCTCAGCTATGAATTATATTAAAATCACCTGGTCACACCAGGTGACCTAACAGCAGAAGAAAAAAAGCAAAAAATATTTAGTCATCACCTGGATCAACAAACTATATACAAGAGTACAGCACCCCAAAACCACGTATTTTTTTCTCTCTAGATGTAATACTGAATTACGTTGTTCTGGCAACAGAAGCATTTAACAGCTCTAACCGTGCCTGGTGAGATTTGCACCATGAGTGCAGGAAAGAGGCAGAGCATTAAGTTTATGAATGATACAGTTCATTTAATTCAGTTTTAGACCACTAGACCGAGTCCATGACATGCCACACAGACTTCACGACAGATATATCAAGTCTGTTGTGGAAAATAAAAAAAATAATAAAGAAAAAGTTTTAAGCAAGAGAGCTGCAACACACTTTAAAATAATTATCTGTTATTGAGGAAAAATCACACAGAACCTGCTGGAGAGTAAGAAGTACAGTGCACAGCACCAAGGGTTGGAGAACAGCACGCAAGGACTGGTGCAAGGTGCAATTTTAAACATCCCCTGTCTGCTAGTGACTCCTGAGGTAGGAAATCCCCAAATTTTCACCACTTGGGCATCAACTGCCAGATGAAGCCTCCCTTGCTCCGAAGAAGTGCAGGTGCAGACAAAGACTGGGCTCACCATGCAGGCTGCATGTATAAACTCATGGTGACCTATGTTCTCTTCTGTGAAAAATCCTCCAGTTTTTAAATTGTTTTAAATAAAATTCTTCTTTTGTGAGCGATGGCTGTAGGATCAAGCCCAGGACGTGCAGCAGATCTTTACCTGGCATCCAGGGAGGACAGAGGTTGGCCCTGAGTCTTCTGCTCAGCGCGTTCCTTCGGCACTGCCCCAGGGTCACAAACTATGGAACTGGAAATAAAACCTAGCCTGGGATTCTAGACCATAAACTGTCTTTAGGGCATGCTAAAACAATGGTATCTTTTTGTTTGAGAACTGACTTCTACAATTGTAAAACCATACCCTCCGAAGATCACTCATACTATAATTTAAGAAAATATTGTCACTAAGACAGAAGAAGAGCAATTTCTTAGCAGAACTGTAATGGAAATGAAAAAGGTAATTCTCTGGTCTTCCAAAGATGCATTAATGTGTTGAAAAGAGGAAGATTGTGGGATTGGAAACTAATTTCATCATCCCGAGTATGCCAGGGTTGTATGGAAGCTAAATGAAAGATGACAAAGACATTGTGGAGGTAATGTCAGAGAGGAAGAGCACAAAACAACAGAAAAGCAATAAAGAAAATCAAAAAGCATGTACATCCTAAGGCATGAGGGCTGCTCGCTATCCGGGCAATAAGCCTTTCATGTGCAGTCAGTGTGACAGAGGACAATCTGAAACACAAAGGCCCCTTCCACTTAAAAGTCCGGCATACAACAGATTGGGAAAGAGCATTTCCTTAAATCACCACAGTTCATTAAAGGTTTTTGATTAAAAAGGAACATGGAAAAAGCTGTGGCTAATCAAGACAGAAAGAAGAAAACCACTGAAATAGCATAATTTTAAGTTGTATTTTTTTTTTTAATCGAGAACAAACATCAGTGAAAAACCTGGACATGCACATGAGGCCCCCAAACACAAAATAAATCCGTGTTCTGAGTGAATTGCACCAGTTTCCTACGAATACCTAAATGTTTCATCTTTCTTTAGAATTGGTCACACCACAGAAGAACGACAGGGCATTAAAATAATCAGCCCTAATTTACTTTATGACCTACATTTAAGTAGAACATTCCCTTCATTTTCTAGTCTCAGATATTGAAGGAGAAAAGCAGAACTGTGACTATAATACAGTTGCATTCAAAGATGATAAGGGGCAGAAAAAAAAGCTTATTGAAAACAAGCACACCTTCTACACCACAGGTTCCTTATCAAAAAGTGAACAGCCCTTGCTAGTCATCGGATCTTAGCAGTGAAGACTGGAGATTTTGCTAAAAATCCAAGCAATGATTAGCAAGAAAGAGAATCCAAGTCCTACTGCTTCTAAAAACAACTCCATGAGATCCTAACTGGTATGCCAGAGAACCAGACTGCTGTCTTTCATCGCATTTGTGAGCTACAGCTCCTATGGAAATTCATCAGACAGAGATGACAAACCACTAACTCTGAAAAATGAATGACTTGGGGAAATCAAAAACAATTCTTCTAATCTGTTGGGATAATCGCTAAAAAAAAACACCCAAACACACAGAAGTTCATTTGCCATATGATACTCCCACAAAATAAAACTTCCCCGGTTTAGTATGGTACCAACCGCACTTACACATCGGAAGTTATTGATATCTCTTTCAGTGACAGAGTTGTTATCACTTCCTTCCCTCCCAACCTCCCCCCAGAAGTCCTCCTGCCTCCCAGGGCACTCGGAGCAGCTTTATGACAGTTCCAGGAGCTTTCAATCTGCGATACCTAATTTTCGACACTGCATTTTCAACATCATATGCAACTGTGTTCTTTGCTACTGAAACGTATTAACCAACTCATCAGGGAGGCACTGGCACAAGGCAATTGCAAGAGACATCCAACTGTGGGATTGCCGATTGATTACCAAACATTGACCAGAGTGAAACAAACAACCACAACCAAGCGTTGTCTCTTTACAAAGATCCTTGATACAAATATCAGTCTTACCACAACATTGCATCAGACTGATATTGATGCTAAGAAGGACAGACCCACCGGCTGACATTTCAAGAAGACGGACAGCAGTGGGACGATCTTGCCTGTCTTACCATAGAACATCACATAGCACTGCCCCGCTAGGGATTCCTTGGATCCTGCCTAACACCCTTCATACTAATAGGAGATACAAACTGATGACTCCGATGACAGCACTTCCCCACTACTGCAAGAAGAAATAGAAGGCAGCAGAGTATGCTCTGCAAGGGCTGCAGGAGGAGAGAGGACTGTGGTTTGGAAAGCACATCCTGTACCCGAAGGCTGGTACACAGCGCAACATCCTTGACGTGAGCAGGTAAGCTCCACAAGGAACACGATGGCCAACTGAACAGGTTTTCGACTTAGCTTTCATATAGCTGCAATGATAAACACTTGATTGAGGGAGGGAGGAAAACATTAGTTAAGAGATGTTTTGGCAAGTTGTTTTACTGACAGCACCAACCCAATGGACAGAAATCAGTCAGCCCGATAAAAGCGCATTTCTATCTAATTTTATAGTTCCAGCAACCTAAAAAGTAGCATGGATATAGCTGCACGGCTCTCCACGTGCTTCATCTCAGCCCCAGAGAGGTGACAGCACTAATGCGTCAGGCTGCTGAGCCCCGTGGTTGATGGCGTGTGCGGTTCAGGCGCCGCGCTGGGGGAATTGGACGGGGATGCACGTGGGTGCTCGCCGGGACGCCTGGAAGGCTTCACTGCGACAGGGCGCTACCAAGTTGAGTAACTTGCCAGCTGAACACTAAGCGGAGACTTTGCTTGCAAGAACGGTGAAGGTGGTAATAAAAACGCTTACCACAGGTCTGTTGCAAAAATACCTTTCTCTATGGCTGCAGCAAGAGAATTGCTTGTAGCAGTATTAATCCTGCAAGTACGTATTTGCAAACGGAGCTATAAAAGCCAAAGCAGAAAGAATATTCTTGGGTTAATTCTGACTTAATTTGTTCTCCCATCAGATCTATCACTTACTGCCACTTGATGAAAAACGTCCCAAAGGGAATGCTGATTTCGTTGGCTCATGAGACTGCAAAATGCGTTCTCCAGACTGCCCCTCCTCCTGAAAACAGGCTCTGGATTCCCTTAGCAGTACAGGTGTTGCCAAATGCATTTTGAGGGAAACCCCACTTATCAAGATTCCAGCGTGGGTTACCTTTGCCCCCTCGTTACAGCCACCCAGCACCTGAAGTGCTGAAGGCTTCTGACACTTCCAGATCTGTTTGTTTGGTTTCTGAGACAACAAATCTTCAGTACTCTGCTTTTCTGTCAGAAAACTCTAAAGGTAACAGAAGATTATAACTCCGATAACAAATAAATAAGTTAATATGTAGCTATAATTGGCAAAGGAAGATGTTTATGAAATCCTATTCTGGAAGGCTTTGCATTTTCGTGATGTTCATCTCTTTCTTCTTGGAGAATAAACTGGCCAGGGGAGCAACATGTTACCTGATTTTACTTGTCTAAGCAATCATTTCAAGAAGCAAACAGCAGAGAGAACACCTCTGCACAGTTTACCGAGGGTATTAGTTTGATTCAAGAACCGGTAAGCTTCATGGTAATGTTTGGAAATAGATGACAGCCAAGTACAAAGGTGTACTTAACGTGCCTGACCACAAACATACTTCTCCTTTCCAAAACTGCTCCAGGACATAAACTTCCTCTCTACAGCAGGAATATTCTGCCTATACACATGAACACCAACAGCTCGATGATGTTAAAAATCACACTGGCACCTTTTCCAAGTGTAATTCAGAATCTGGATGTGATGGTGCTGCTTCCAGCCTAGCAGCAGGGGAATGTTAGAGTGTTATGTATGGAGAGAAAGCCACCAAGGCGCTACTTTTAAGTTGCCAAAACAAAATGGCAAACTCCCACAGCACTGCACGGTTGCCAAATTGGACCTTCATGCTAACACTTCCTTGCAGCGGTCTTTGTGTGACCGAGCAGCATCAAATTTGATGGTTTCGGTGCTTATGAGCCATATTTTTAACCAGGCCACTGGCGAATTGAGGTGAATTCACGAAGCACCTGCCGTGTGGAACAAGAGGGAGTCGTGCACCCGCTTGGGTGTCTGACAGCGATGCCGTGCCAGGCAGGGGCAGCAAGCAGCTGGGGATACAGCAGCAAGCCCCTGTGCCAGCAGCCGTGCTTGGCAGCTTCTTGAAGAGAAGACGAGGATAAGCGAGGTTTTCCAAGTCGTGAGTTATCAAGAACTTGTAATCGATGAGCTCGCCAGCTCGCCACACATGGCAGCGAGGCTCTGCGAGTGAAGCACCACCTCGGATCACGGCGAAATCATCCTTTCTGAGCGGGTGAGCACCTACGGCCACACAAACCGAAGGCACCCGGCATGCAGGCATGGCGGTGAGCACGCTGTGGGGCGAGTTACGCGGATCTTTGGCATTTTCTCCCCAAAATGAGCGGCCCTTTGGGAGCTGCCGAGAACCCGCGAGTCCTCGCTGCACCTCCCCGCGGGCAACCAAATTCCTTGCGCTCGGGAAAGGAAAGGGAAGGGACGCGGGGAGCGGCTCGGAACAAAAGCCCTAACTCCAGGTTTCACCTTGTGCACGAGCCCAGCGACCCCCCCGCCCTGCAGGTGCCCCAAAACCCGACAAAGCGATTAAACCAAGCTGCCCCAGAGCCCCCTCAGAGGGGATGCAGAGCGGGGCCGCTTCCAGCGGTAACAAAGCCCGGGAGGAGCAGCCGGGGCTCCCCTCGGTCGCGACAGAGCCGCGATGAGGCAGCCCCAAACCTCACGGCCACCCCCCCCCCAGGGGGAGCAGCTCCCACCACAGCCCCCCCCTTCTCCCAGCCGCACCTGGCTGCTGCTCTCGGCCGGCAGGTTCCTCAGCAGGATCTTGCGCCTGTTGCTCAGCTCCCTCCGGGTGCTCGCCAAGCGCCTCGCCACCTCCTCAGGGCTGGGGGGCGGCGGCCGAGCCCCCCGCGGCAATGGGGGCAGCGGCGGCGGCGGTTCCTCCGCGGGCAGCTCCGCTCCCCGCTCGGCTGCCGCCGCCATCTTGCAGCGCCGCCCGGCCGAGCTGAGGGGGAGCCGCCGCGGCGCTGGGAGGGCGGCGGGGGAGCCGCGGGGCACGGCCGCCGGTGGGGCCCCGGCGGTCCCCGCCAGCCCGCGCCGTGCTGCCCGCCCCCGGCCCGGCCGGGATCCGCCCCGCTGCTTTCGCCCTGCCCCTGGTGGGGGAGGCCGAGAGCGGCGGAGCCCTCGTGAGGGGCAGCCCCGTGAGGGGGGGAGCTGAAGCAGCTCGCCTCAGAGCGCGAGCCCCCCCGAGCAGCGTTTGTTTCCCTCATTAACTCCCCCATTAAAGGGTTTGGGGATGGATGTGAACACTCCTGGGGTGCTGGGGAAGCCCCCAAGAGCCCCCGAGGTCTGAACAATAGCCCTGGCATAAAGGGGCTCGTCCTTGCCTCCATGGGTTCATCACCCCAAAGTCCCTCTGCTGCTGCCTTCCTTCAATCCAACTCTGCCTTTGGCACCGAACTGCAGGGCAACAACAAAATAAAGCAGATGTTGGATGGGCCCAAGTTCTCCATAAGCGGGTAGAGGGGTAGCGGGCGCGCTAGCCCAAGATGATCTCGTTCTAATTTTGTTCTTCATCAGAAGCATACCAAACAAATTACAGAACATCCAAATGGGTAAACCAAACCCTGGGCGCCGCGCTTGTGGCACAGAAGTCACCGTCTGGTGGCAAGGCACGCTGTGATGAGGGCCATGCAGGCACAGAGAGGGCAGCGGTCACACAAAGAAGCAAAGGGCAACATCCCTCCTGGAGGAAAGCAGTTCTGGAGGAAACCCTAAAAGAAGGTTTGCCCTCTATGAAGCCTCCATCTTTAAAAACAGTTCATGGTCTTAGTTGGTGCATCAAAAAAAAAATGTTTTCTTGGAAACCTAATTTCTCCATAACAGTTACTTGCAATGCCATTTACAATGCAATAAATTTAGCTGTTTAACGTTGTCATCGCAGCTATAAATGAATGAAGAATAATTTAAATAGTTGTACCCATTTTTAGATACAAGCCTGACCACAAAGAGCAAAAGAAAATCTCCAAACCTGAAAATCCAAACTGAAAAACAGTAGTCTTAAAAAGGAAATTGGAAACATGCTTTGAGTTGAAATGGGTATGCACGAACACGTCCTTATCAGAGAAGAATTTCATCCAGAATTAGATTTTCCTAAATTTGAAGTGCCATTTTACAGACTGGATTACCAGCTACAGGAAACAAAAACCTGAAATTTGCTTTGGTCTAAACCAAAGCTTGCAAGTTAAGACTACAAAGAATATAGGACCTTCATTACTTTTAAAAATTAATTTTCAAACTACTGAGCAATCAACACTCGAGACTACTTTTTTTTTTTTCTTTTGCTGTTGTTGCTGACAAAAGAAATGGTCAGAGCTAACAAGCTTCTGTCAAGAGTTTCCTTTTTCCCTGTTTTCTTTAAACAGGTAGTGTTCCTTTTCCTTCCACATCTGCATTCTGTTTAACCAATTGTTGGAAATCCAAAGCACGAAGGACAGTTATAAACAGTTCATGTATTTACCATGGAAGCGTTTTAGAGCTGCCAGATTCAGTCTTAACAACATTAGCTTAGCCTTCATACTTAAACCACAAAACAGGAAAAAATATTTTAACACATTATTAGTGTGAGAACTGATCTAGAGAATCAGGTGAGGCTGATGAGTATAAGCTGAAGTATACGTTTCTTATGCCTATGGATGTATTAATTATTAATAGTACTATAAAATTACCCTTGCAAAAGATTAAAAAAAATAAAATAAAGAAAGTAACGACTGAAAAGGCTGTTAGTAAGTGTTTACAAATTGATTTTCAGGTCAAGCTCTGAAATTAAAGACGTGATACCATCGTCTGAAAACATTTCCAAGTCATATCGTAAATTATGCGATATAAATTGTTGAATCATTTTGCTAAGAATACTGCAACACGTAACTACCTCCTCAGAAACACCTGCCAGATTAAGCAACCAGAGTATAAATTATGGTTCTGCTCAAACATTACACAGCTTAGTGAAGCTGAATAGAGTAATTAATTATCCCATTAATTCTTGAATGTGGGCACACTGAATCACCTGTGCGTTACTGATAATTAATCCTACCTACAGTGATTACCTTCTCAAAAGTTGTCTGGCCTTTTTTTTTTTTTTTTTTGATAGGCTGCAGGTGTACTTGAATGCAAGTCAAAAGTGCATTGCTAAAAGTATTTCAGAAGTTAGTAGTTCTAATGGCAAAAATAAACCTACTGCACTATTAGTTCTGAATAGCTCCAAGGAAAAGCAAGCATTTTTCTTACCTAGAAATACATATTTAAAAGACCACATCCGACAGCTAAAAATGTTCACTTTTTTTTTTTCATTTCCTTGCAGTGCTCAGTTCATTCTGTATGCAGGCAGTTCGCATTGCACAGGCAGGCTACGGAGCTGCCTGCACTACAAGGCTGCTATGAAGTGCTGCAGGACGAGAGCAGAAAAGTTTGAAGATGTTGCCATCGCCCATGGAGATGGTCCATGAAAAGAGACAGGAAAGGAGGCCAGTACAGCACCTTATGTGACAGCCAAAATCAGCTAAACACGCATCAGCAGCAACAACCAGTTTGACTCAAGAAAATATTCCTTTTTGAACACAAACACAAATGTCATGCCTGTTTTGAAATACAAGACACTATCCAACAGGTGCCTGGAGAATTAAAATGGTATTTGATGTAAAACTATCCAAGTAAGTAAAACACCCAGGTCCTTTGGTGCCCCGACAGAGCACCTGTGGGTATGTTAACACAATAGAGATGGTGCAAACCAACAGCTCAGCCTCCTCTGAATCTCCACAGAAATATCAATGTATTAGATACGCAATTATCTTATTTCACAAGTTAAACTTCTGCCCTTGGGAATCCTCCCATTTCACCATATAGTTTCTGCTGTAAGTGCCAAAAGACCAGGTGGGCGTCACAGGTTACTGTCCCCTGAATGGATTTTGGCCACGGCCTCTTCGGATCAGCCATCGTAGCTCTCAGCTTTGCTCTCTATAACTGCTAGCACAGAAAACACACTGAAAGGTTTACCAGTCCTTGCTAACCCTTGCCATGAGAGCTGACACGGTTTAGGGAACTGTACTGGGTCTGGCTGGGATGTGTTTCCCTGCAGCAGCCCATCCAGTGCTGTGCTCTGCACCTGGAGCTAGAACAGCAGTGGGATCACACCAGCGGTGGCACAGCATCGGGACTCTCTCTGACCCTCCTAGGGGGTGGGCAAAAAAAAAAGTGAGAAAGAAACATCCCCAGGGCAGCTGACCTAAACCAACCAAAGGCTATGTGGTGTCAGCAATAAAAGGTGGAAACAGGAAGAAGAGGGGAGGGGTGGGCTCTTGTTGGGAAAACGTTGGTCCTTCTCCCAAACACTGGCTACATGCGTTGAGGCCCTGCTTCAAAGACTTGGTCAATCATTGCTCATTTGTGGGAAGTAGAGAGTAATTTATTTCCTCTGCGCTTCCACATAGCCTTTATTTTTTTCCCCTTTCCCCCTCTCCCTTTTTTTTCCCCTTTTAGTTAAATTGTTTAGTTAATAATAATCTCTCCTTAATAATTATTTTTTTTGTTCCCTTTAATGAAATTATCCTTATCTCAACCCCGTGAGTTATTCTTTACTGTACTTCTTCCCCTCCTCATCTAAGGAGAGGGAGTGAGAGCACAGTTGTGGTGTTTAGCTGCCCAGCACGGTAAAACCACCACAGGAACCCTCTGACGAGCCTCTGTGCTGCTGCATCCACAGGACTGAGAAACCTCTTCAGGAGGGTGGTGCTGAGCAACCCACGATGAAATGCAAGTGGTAAGAGCCTCCACCAATACAGCTGTACTCAGCAGAGGATGCATGTGTGTATTTTCCCTAAAGAATTTCCTGCTGTTGATTACAGATCATCCTTCTACATGTATGCAAATATTTGTATGAGTATAGTTACATTCTGTTGCTTTCAAATCAAAGCCCTACGTGTTGTTTTGCACTCTAAAAAGTCCTCAGATTGCTAGGGAACTTCCATTTGGTTTCAGGTTCGCTGCATAAGCAAAAAAACCCTAAATACTGGAAAAGTAGAGTGATCTGCAAGCATAACACTGGTTGCTAGCTTGATGCTATTAGAGATAAACCACTTTGCAGTAATTTATTTGTAGCTCACTAATTCTTAATTAACAAGGAATTTAGTGAGCTACATTTCCACAGGAGTTGCTTTTGTAGCTCTTCTAAGCTGAAAATTAACTTACCCATGCTTTTATAGCTTTTAAGAAACACAAGCCTTTTATTTACTTATCAAGGGATGAAAGCATTAAAAGAGAATTGTGGCACGCACATCCTTTCTGAATTACGGCTGCATTCAGATGTAAGCGTCCATGTTCAAACGTACAAACAGGTTCAGATGTCTGCAGATAAAATAAAAGCTGAAGTTTTAATATCTGCTAGGTTCTCAAGAATAGGTTATACCGGGAATGTTTCCATAAGCTGTTTGGAAAGTTGGTTTCTTATACAAAAGAGAAATACAAACAGTCTTCCAAAACCTGAAATGATTTGAATCATTTTCTTTCAACAAGGGTCTGGAATCCATCAGTTGCTGCAAATTCCAGCGTCCATTAAAATCCATGATTGCTAGAACCATTTCACGTAAGCAAAGTGTAAACAATGCTGTTCTCTCTAGTCTATATTACCCCCACGGTTTCAACCTCTAGATAGTCCTTTTGTTTCTTTAGGAAACTACAATTTTGAAACCCAAAGATGTAGATTTGAATGTCAACAATATTAAGTAGTTCAGCCACGATCACGTAGGCACTCAATTAACGTGTTCATCTCACAGCCAAGTTACCTCCAACACACACCAGAGGTGCCCCAAGGAGTTCCTTTCACCCTTTTCCTTACAAATTTGAATACATTCAGCATTCTCAGTGTATCATTGTCCCACAGTAGCTGCGTGGTTCATTAAGCAACAAATTAAATTTCTTATCAAATTACCAATTTAGCACAACAAGCAACCGATACCGTCAGTATTGTGATGAGGCAAAAACTTCATCACACTCCCCTGCAGCATCGTTTCGAGCTTCGCTTATATCACCTGTACAATTCATTCACCAGTTCACCATTAGGGTAACTCAGCATGTCTAGACTGCAATTTTGTTGAGACAAGCATTATGACATGGTCAGTCTTCCCAATTAGCTGCTAAGCTCATTGTAATACCAGAGGTATTTTGATTAAAGTATAGTTCTCCGAGCACTTAGGAATTGCAGTAATACAGGATCAGACTTCAGGTCCATCAAATCACATCTCACCAGTTGTGACAATCTCTTGTCTAAGAGATGCCAGATGGGCAACAGATTGCCTCAGCGATCACAGCAGCCACATGCTTCATTCAGAGATGCAGACAGCAAACAAGTATTTTCAGTATTTTGCTCTGCTTCTCTTGGGGTGCCTTGTCTGTACCATATGGAGCTCACACGTTCAGAGGAATTTGCCAGGTACTGCAGTGTATGACCAAAAATGGGATGTTTCTGCACTCCTGAAACATTCCTCCACACAGACACAAAAACACGCCGAGTAACTCTGCCTGCAGCTGAACATTTTCTTTTTAAGTGGGACTTGATAGCTATTAAACTTGGTAATAACACTGCTCCTAAGTGCGTTAGGAATGATGGATTAAGTCAGTAACAGAACTGGTTAGCAACATCTCAGTTTCCATTCTGTAACAGTGGCCTGCAAATAAACAGTAAAGATAAAAGAAGGAAGAACTATAACTTATAAAGCGAGTAACTGTTCCGAGGAAACCATTACACTGACGGGGAGTGTAATGGGCTATTTTCGGAATCATGGTCTTTGCAGTAGAATTTATAACCTTTGTTGCTTCATGCGTATCATTAGCAAATCACCGTGAAGGTTATATTTAAAGATAGTAAAAGCATAGTAAAACTCAAAATAAGCCACAAAACAAATCCAGCTTCTTGTATAATAACGGAGAATGAAAGACAGTAGGATCAAGCAACTGTTAGTCCAGTCCTCTTCCATAAATGGCCCTGAAGGCTGGAACCTCTGCAATACCTCCTCCTAAAACAACTCTCCTCCTGCTTTAAATCACCACTCTTGCCTTCATAGGCTTTGTTTTTCCTCATTCAGACTCAATTTCAAATTCAGCTTATTGACAGAAAGTATATTTTGGCAATTTTAGTTTAAAAATAGGTGACGTTCTTTGGGTTCCTAGTAAAAGCAGGTACAGCCCACCCAGCATTCATTCCTGGAGTGTTTTTATGGGCTGACCTGTTGATATGCTACAAACCATAGTTTGGACTCATTCTGCTTCAGCTTCTCCGTAAGCACCTGTTTTCTAGGAACTGGAAACAAATGCTGATAATTCACAGGAAAACGTGAAATCATTTCATATTAAAAAGTAGTGCAATCCTAATACCCAATTAAAGCATTCACTAGTGTACATGTAAATGAGTACATCTCCACACTGTCTCTCTTACAGCCCCTACAGACCTGGCTAATTATAAACTTGAAGAAAATCTTCGAGATGAATGACTGAATTGCTGGTATGTATTGAGAGTGAAACAGGCATCATATGAGCCATTTGTTTTGATGTGGTAAAGCAGCCAGTGATTTATCCCTGCTCGTAGAGGTTGGAGACTTGAACCACCACCACAACATTTTGTCCTAAAGAATGCTGCAACCTGTTAAATATGGAAAACTGGCATGGAGGCTATAACGCAAGCTAAACTTTCCTAACATGTTCTTAAAAAATTTATGAGCGTTTAAAGTGTTCTGCCATTCAGTTATAAAAAGGTTTCCATAGGAACTGTCATGCAACATGACTATCTGCTATAAACACACCAAAGTGTCAAACTAACTTCTCCGTGTTTATTCTGCTTTCATAGGGAGCAAAAAAACCCATCCGCTTCCTGTTATCTGGGTTCCCTGGCAGGGGCTGGAACAGTAACATGTTTTGGCTTGCTTGGAGAGATTTCCTCAGTTAAGCTGCAAATGAAATAAACACACTTAGAGAGGTTAATATTATTTTGCAGGGATTATCTAGTTTAATTACTCAGCATTTAATCTCTCCCAGTTGCGTGTGATCTACATACGGTACATTAAGAGAACTGATACCAGAAGCTAATTAAATGTTGAAAACTGTCAGAAAGTTGGAAAACTGAAAATAAGTATACAAAAACCATCTGACCAAGGTCCCAGTTTCCTGCTGTTCTCAGTGCCAACCTATCTCAGTGCCTGACTTTTTATTACCTCTAGGTGTGGCAGAAGAGTTTTAAAATTAGTAAAACCACCGATGTTGACCAAACTGGAAATATTTAGCAGTCTAATCTAAGGCCAGCCCATTGTTATGCTGCCTGCACTTACAGAGCAGAGCCTGCCAGTTTTATAAGAGCTTTTGTATGGCATGGCAATACCTCTTTCTTCACATTTTTTCATGCAGACACACTGCTTGTAAAAAGAGCTGGCTCGATGGATTAGGAGACTGAGGTTACTCACTTTAGCAGCAGAGCAGATGTTGTACTCATGCCCTCACACTTCGCTGCCAGGTGCAGGGTGGGGTAGAAAGGCTCCTGGACTATGCTTTTTGGCCAACAGTCTCCCTTCCTTGCTATCATTATTTTTGTTCCATTAGTGGTAATAACAGTGGAGAGCAGTTCTTCAGGCAGTGCTCCAAGAAGCTGGTGGTTTTGCCAGTGTCAACTATAAAAACGTAAAATAAAAACAGAGCAAAACATAATGGTAACTGCTGGCTCCCACCTTCTTAGAGCAGCACTATTTACTGCTACCACTGATGAAGCCAGCCCAGGAATAAAAAGTTATTTTTTTTTTTCCACAGAATGTAGATGAGGCCATTATGATTTGTCTTTGAGCTGAAGGTAAAAATTCCAGACCTAATGAATATTCAGCCTGACACCAAGTTTGTACTTCTCCACTCAGGCCGCCAGTCTGGCTAACTGCTATCAGCCGTCACTTTCTGATGGGCATAAAAGTGCCTTGGTTAAAACAGAGTAGATCTGATCATTTGAAGGAAACTCTTCCTTTTGTACAGATGCTTTTTTTTCCCCCTGAATATATTACTAGATCAACTATTCACTGAAAAGTCTTGTGGAAGTTTGTAGAAGAGGTTTACCCTGTGCCTGGTGCAGGCTGCTATGCAAAGTCAGTAAGTCACTTTGGGAAACTGCTGTTCACATCGTGCTGGATATGCTCTAAATTCCTGCCAATTCAGGCTCCTTTGAGTTCCCAAGCAGAGATTTTGTGTACCCCAGCCTCGAAAAGCACCATCCGAAGCAGGCAGTGTAAATCGTGCAGGGGCAGGGAAGCATCAGGCTCTTCTGGCAGCAATTCTGTGCAAGCACTGGCCAACATACCAGTTATGTTTGGCACTTTGCTAACGAGGCAGGGTTTGGAGGACTTCACTCTTGGACTTGAGTGTCTGAATTCCACTGTAGCCTTGGCTTCAGGAACACAAGCCCTTCTGGGCCAAGGTCCTTCCGTGACTCAGTTCAGAGCACATCAAGGAAACAAAATAATTACGTCTCATCACAGAGACACGCTGCAAATAAGTAGCTTGAAACACTCTGACATTTCTATTATTTCTTCATAGTTAGGATCAATGGCAAAGGGGACATTGTACAGAAAAACAACCCAACAGTTACCGAATTAACTGCTAGAGGGATTAATATTCCAAACATCACCGAATGACAAAAGAGTTGAAAGCTTAGTGCAGGCTCCTTCGAAAATCCCAGCCAGAGCTGGGATTCATTTTTGGAAAACAAATGAAATTGGTATGTAAGAGCTCCAAATGCTGCAAACTTAATCTTTATACTTGCATACAGCCTTTTGGATTACCTGCACTCTCTTAACTCGACCCAGGACTTTTGCACCCTATTTTTCTCCCCTCTTCCCTATTTGGTGCCAGCTGTGTGATAAATTCTACTCTGACAAATATACTTTCCCTCCTCATCACCATTTCTGGGTTCCTTTACAGAATAAAGTCTTTGAAAGCTAGAGATCTCATTTTGTCCAGTTATAGTCATAACTACTGCCCATGTGAACATCTGATGAATTCTTGCCTGTCCTCTCTCATTGCAAAGGGCAAGGGTAAAGATAATATTTCATGGTGTAAGTGGCCTTATAAAGTGTTTGTGAGCCAAATGTAACATACTCTTCTTTCCAAATCACATTTTTATCAAGGCAATAATGTAAACAAATTACAAAAAGAGTCTCAATTCATTTAGAAGCAGCGTATTCTGAACACGTGAACAGCTTCCATCTCTATGCAGGCTAACTGGTTTTGTAGATGGATAACCTGCTTGTTACGTATAGGAAAAGTCAATACACTGCAGTGCTCCCAGACTGACAGCATTAAGTCTATTTATCTCTAGTGAATACAAACCAAAGGCAAAACTCGTTGTAATAAAAAAAAAAAAACTTCAATTTTTTTTTTCCTGGAAGAATGAAATAAAACATACAGGAAAATAAGATAATTACGTTTCAGATATGAAACAAGTAAAAAAAACAATGGCCATGATATCTACCGGTTATAGGTAAGGAAGATACAAGATACAAATCCATGTCAGGCAAATAACTGCTCGTTTTGTTCCTCAGTCAACACAATAAAATAATTACGGGGAGGGAAGGCCATGGCGGCAGTACCTGCAATAAAACTGGTGGTGCTATCATGCAGCTTCTTAGAAACCTTGACTACATCAACGAACAGCAGTGTCTTTATCAGCGTTAAATGTATTCCTGCTGTAACAAGGTTAGCTGTCAGCACTTGAATTTGTGACCCGACACACCTCTAGATGTGTATTTTTTCCTTAATTACTCCTTAATAGCAACAGCTTCGTCTCTTCTCATTACTTCAGGCATAAGCAAGGCTGTCCAGACCCCATGAATCAGGAACAGTCTGTGTGTCCTAGAACAAAAGCAATGAAACAGCGATGAGATGCGGCTCATAAAAAAATAAAGGTAAAATAAAAAGCAAGATAAAGGCAAAGGGCTTTTGATGGCTTGGACTTTTTGATAACTGTTCAAAGAGCAACGTTACAACAGATATATTTCTGGCAGGGCTGCAGAGAGCACTGCACACACTTTCTGCCCAGCACATAATTCTAACACCACCACCACCACCAGAATCTCTCCACTGAAACAGCATTTTAGGCAAGGAAGTAATTAATTTGGTTTTGCTTGTATTTTAAGAAAGGTATTTTGACCTATTGTGTTCTACACTTTATGTGCTTGTTTCCATACTACTTTCTAACATTTTGAACTACTGTGGTTTCTTACACTTAAAAAAAAGTACAGAATACGCCCATGTGGCTGGGTATGGACAATGCAAGGTTAATAATGTAGTCAATACAATCTGAGAACACTTATTTAATTAGATAGGGACTCAATGATTTGTTTTGCACTACAGACGTGCTCCATAGCTTACCTGGTGTAAATTAAGACTGGCATCAGAGCAGGCAGGCAAGTGCAGATCTAGCCAAAGGTGCACTTTTCTTTATTTTTTTTGTTATAATATATGCAAGAAAACAATTCTAATGCTGCTAGCCCTAAAAAAAAAAAAACTATTACTGGGGAGCAAATACTTGATTTCAAGAACTTGCACAGCACAGTGAGATTCCTTCACATGTAGATGGACAAGATAAAATTTAAATTCTGTTTTACAAGTCGGTAAATTCTGGGGACACTTCTGTCACGTAGCAACTTTTGGCTGAAAGTCTTCTTTTGTTACATTCATGGATTCAAGCAGATAAAGTCCTGGCTAGAACTTCAAATCTCATTTACCTCTGAACCTTAATGAAATCACCTTTATGAGTGCTGCAGGACTAGGACGCATCAACAAAGCATTTTGCCTGGTGTTTTACACAAACTTCTATTAAACTTACACATAGTTCAACAGTTTCCACATTGAAAGTTATTTTCCCTTCATGCTTACAAATTTTGCCTCTTGGCTGTGCACTGTTTTTGTTTGGCCAAGCAGTGACATTAAGATAATCCATTTTATTTTAAAGTCAAACCTGAAAAAACAACCACTTTGTGCACTGCCCAACAGCCAGTGTCATTTTAGATTCAAAATTGGAGATTCTAGCAAGTTGGGTCTACAGACTGAACCATAAACTGTTACAGGACATCAGATTCAGCCCTTTGAAAACATAAAACGGTGCTTAATAGATTTGTACAGCTGTCTCATCAGCAAAAAAAACCAACCAAATGAAAAAAAAAACAAACACACAACCCCCTCTTACACAAAACACAGCAGAATGACAAATCCAATGCATCTGACTTTTCAGTAACACATAAGAAAAAATAAACAATTAGCTTCGGTGAGCCTACAGAGTCACTGACCACTTCAAAATTATTCACTTCCCAAACAATAACAGGCTAAAAAAAGAAAAAAAACAACTTTAAATCATACATCAATACTGTCATTTATATGTAAAGCTTAGATCTTTCAAGATAAAACCAAGAGGATCCTGATAAAATGCTTCATTCCTGATATAGCACTCACTCAGCCAGAAAATTAAAGGAAATTGAGACCGAATAATATCAATCTAGCCAGTTATCCACAGAACTATACGTTATATACAGTTTATTTCACTAGAGATTTTAAATTTATACATAGTATAAAGGGGTATCCTGATATCACACATATAGTTATTTTACCGTAATGTTTAAGAACCAATTTTTTTTTTTACATAATACAGTATTAAGTACCATATTAATTAAAACAAGTGATTTAAAAAAACTACATATAAATGGATGTTTATCATATGCACAGTGCAAGAATGTTTTTATATCACTGTAATCACAAAATGTGAATCTAAAGTACAACACTGTGATTTAAAACTAATTTATAATTATGATGCCCTGTGTTGTAGACAGATTGATTAATCTTCGTTTGAATTACCAAGCAATGTTAAATTCCAGACAAACAGCAGCAGCTTATAATTATGATTTCAAAAAGATACCTTCCACAGTAACCCAAGTTGTACAAAACACTGGTTTATCCCTACTTCTGATCCTGACAGTTTCCTAAAGAAACACAAAAATGGCACAGATTTCATTTGGAATTCTCCGGTAACCAAAGCTAAATAAACCCTTTGTTACTTTCAAAAAGGAATCCTTTAAGGATGACCAAAGAGGTTAAGATGGAGAGATTTATGGGCAGAATTCTCAGAATTTTAGTAACAAAGTACAGGATTTCTCCTCTGCAAATAGGAAGAAAATACTGTAATGTAAATCCGGTTGTAAAATTTACAGAAAACAATTGTGGAGAAGAAAGCATTCATAATGTAAACATGTCAGAGACTACTTCTTCATTTTCCCTTTTGCAGAGTGGGGCAGTGGATGAATATCAGCTAATAAGAAACAGACGTCTTCCTCAGAAGAACCACTTCACCATCAGAGAATATATGTGGTAGTTGTTGAAAATTGCTAACATGTTTTCTCCTCTCCCTCCCCCCAGAGTTTCAAGTTCAATAAATAGTAGAAAAATAATCCTTTACTTAAAAATCTTGAGATGCATTGTCCCAGGTTCCATACAGCAATTGTCTGAGCAACGAACTTTCGACAAGCAAAAAAACTGCAGAGAACCCTGACAGGCTTTTCCCCCGCCCTCTCTGTCTGGCACCTTTTTAGTCAGCTGCAGAGTTTTCTGCTCTTCCAGTTAAGGAAACCAAATCATCTCTGGCTCTTTTAAGCTCTCTCTTCTCTTGGCTCAGCATAACAGGGCTTCCAAAGCTTCAGCTGCTGTATAAACTTGCATCCCTGTTTTTGGAGGTCTAATGTGCCTCCTGCTCCATTTTATTAAATGTTATGGCAGGTCCATTCATCAAGCACATTTCCCTTCCAGTTCTGAGCCAACCTTACATTTATAAAAATGTAAAGCTTTATGCCTAACAATTTACTCAGGAAGTTAGCTAAATTGTTCCTGGTAAAAAGCACAGAACAAGGCTGCCCAGTGCTGCATGGATCGTTGTTCACCAGTTTTTCTTTCTTTTGTTGTTCATTAGCATTCTGCATCCACAGTGTGTACCGTGACTGCGGCCTGTAAATGGTGGCTGTGGTGAAGAGTTGGGTGGTGCAAACGGTAGTGGTGAAACTTGTGACTCAACAGGGCAGCTGTTTGAGGTGGGGTATCCAGGTCTAAGTCTTCATCATGGTTTCCAACATCAACACCAGCTGACAACGGATCGTTGTTGCATGGAGGATTTTCACTGTCTTCCTGAGGACTCATAGTGCTGTAGCCTGGAACATAAAACAGCAGGGCTGAGAATTCAGAGCAGACTAAAAGGTCAACATCCACAGCGCTGACTGCCACATCCTGCATGGAACCAGGCACAGCTGGTGCTTTATAGAGAATAAAAAAGTAGCTGCCTCCATTAAAAGAAAACAAGACAAAAACCCATCTTCTCCTGTAATTACAAAATGCACCCCTTCTCCTGTCACCATGCTTGGAACCCATCGCCTGTACAACACCTAGCAGCAAAACCAACTGTGCATTCGACAGTTTGTTATGGTAGAATGGCTAGCACCGAATTTAAAACCAAAACATAGTAGAAGGTTTTTTGGGTGTGGGGCAGGGATGGTATCTTTTAAGATATTACTTGGATTTTACAAACTGACAAGAAATAAGGGGGCTCTACTACCACTACCTCTGTTACTATCAAGCTGCACCTTTCCTAGTAAGGACCCCCAACTTGTGTGTCTGGAAGTAGCAAAACTTACTCAGATCATCTTGCTGTATTGTATTGAATCACAACACTATATTTTTTAAAAGTGAGAGAACACTTATCACCTATTAGTGGTCTATTTGCAGAAACCAAGCATGTTTTCAATGCTAGTGATCTTTCTACACGTTGAAGAAATCTACCGAATCCACATAGGAGTGTTTCAAGTCCCATTAAGCCAAATAGTTCTGACTCTTCCAGATAAGCATGTACACACAGCACAATTAACTTGAGGCTTTTCCTTGGCTAAAATAACCTGCTACCGAAGCCTGAGAAGTTAAAACAAAAACAAACCAGATTATCCATGTTTGTGAGTGAGGAGGCACTGCATTCAACAGGGTTATCCTAGGGAAATTACATCACTAGAGAGTTAGCTAACAGCTAGCTGTTGCAAGACTGTGCTTTTGCAGTGGGGAAGCTGTCTTGTAACAGGTCCTTTGGACCTGCCCCTCTCTTTTGGAGCAGGTGCTAGTAGTTACTATGAGGTTTGCATTTACCACTGACACCAGCTGTTACCACTCAAAACCAGTTTGCAGTGTCCTCAACAAAACACCTCAGTATTTCTACATGCAGAAATGCAAACAAAAGTTTTCTTCTCTGAAGATCTTGCTTTAATTAGAATAATAATCCTTCTGAGAAAACTTTGGCTAAGAGATGAAGAACTTCTAGTGCTTCTGAGCATGTCAAGTTTTCAGCTTGAGCCACCTAGAAGCAGCGTGTTACGAAATACCAGGCTAAGTAGCTGAAGTTGGTTCTCACTTTGATGAGTCACCATCCCTGGAGGTGGTCTTCAAGAAACGTGTAGATTTAGAACTTAGTAGCATGGTTTGGTGGTAGACTTTAGTACTAGGTTAAAGGTTGGATGATCTTAGAGGTCTTTTCCAACCTGAACAATTCTACGATTCCATGGTCTGAGTCATGGCTTCTAGCTGGCAGAGAAGAACTGCGGGAGAAGACTGGGCAGAAGACTTCAATCTGAAGATTACAGACTAAAAACAGAAGTGCATATTCCAGAGGCAGGTAGACAGCAACCCTGCTAACCCTCACATGTTAACGAGGAAAGATGGCAAGGATTTGCTGGGAGTACAAGAAATGGAGCAAAAGGAGCATTAGTCTAGCAAATCTGTCTCAGCACAGCACAGGTAATCAGACCCCAAATCCTGGATAATGCCTCCTAAAGCAAGATTGTCTCTCAGACATCTGTTCATTCACGTTGCACGGTTTTGGCAATGAGGTTTCCTGTCCATCAGTAATTCCATTAGTGCAACCACTATCTTAAAATTGAATGGGTCTTCCAGAGAACTGACACCCTCTATGGCAGGCTGTTGTCTGTAGCAGACTGCCTTGTCCAACCTTCTTTTAACGTCTATTAAGCCCTCATGAGTCAACAGCACAACACTCTTCTAACTGCTTTTATGACTTAATTAGCCTCAGGGCACGAGAGATGTATCAAAATTCTCTGAACCTTAACAGTGCGTATGTGTGGAACAGCCACACAAGGCTGAACACCCTTCACTGCTACCCATGTACACAGTTAATGTTGATATTTGCTTAACGGTGACGTAAGATGCCCTCTGTGGTGATGATATTGACTGAATGTGCAACAGAAAGGCTGAGGAGGCATCTGAGTCACTGACCTCTAATCCACGCTTACTTTACCCTGGCAAATGCAGGCATCCAGAACGTTGCTAGAATTTTATGAAACGCATGCATGTCCCAAAGATAAAAAGCAGCAGAGATGCTGACTTGATTGCAAGGGATTTGTTTCTCTCATTGAGTAGGAGAGGTTTATTATCTCACCTGAACATCTAGATTGTTAGGGTCAGCAGTGGAAAACCAGTGTGGTAAGTGTAGCAACATTTCTGTTAGTCTGAATTCTGGTCACCCAGTGAAGCTAGCAGAACCCAAGGATCAGACAGGGAGAGCACAGCGTTTAGCTGCTCATACACAACTGCTCTGACAAAAACAGCTCCTTCGCTGGACAGCATCATTTGCTGAAGGGTGTCAAAACTGTTTAACTGTGTAGCAATAATGTGCAAAGGTGTTTTTTTTTTTTTTTTTTTTGGCAGTCTTATCTGCAACATGCTAGACATCTGAATAACCACAACCATTAACCTGTAATTAGGATGGTGATTTTAAGGTATTACCGTGGTCACTCTCTGTTCCTGATCGACCCCAGTATCGGCGTCTGCGTTCCGGGCTGTGGGCGTGCCGCTCTATTACCGCTGCGATGAATCGAGTGTTACTGACTGGGGGAGAAAAAGAAATGGAACTGACTTTTATGAAAGTATTTTACCACATTTTATCAGTGGGACAAATCAGGCACAGTGAAACAGGCTTTCTACAAACTAATTCTACTCAAATACTACTATTAAGACTCAAGACTGTTAAGTGACAGAAGACTGGAAGTAAAGAGATGGTATCTAAATGTGGGATAGATCAAGATCCAAACTCATCAACCTCATCAACTTGAAAGAAATTACAGTATTAACTTATCCATGCTAAAGAAAGGACTTGGAAAAACAGCAGATGCAAGCCATGAAGCTCAGGTATTTTTATTTTTTCAATCCATAAGTGTTGACAGAGTTTCAAATCTTAGGTGTTGTTTTAGTGAGGGATCAGAGGCAGGGATCCAGTCTGAATCTGGAGCTCTCCCAAAATGTACAGGTACACCTGTGATATTTTACAATACAGCAGCATTACATTCTAAGTGCCACTTTTACTGACAAAGAAGAACGAGCACCCCAAATTCAATGCAAGTGAGATTTGCTGACACATTTGTCGAAGGTACATGCTAGACTTGGCCGCTCCTTGCCAAGGCTGAACAAAGGTAGCAGCTTTGCATACCTTTTGCATATTGTCACAATTGTAATTTCTAAGTTGCAGCTCAGCTGCTGCTGGAACTGGTCATGATGGGGGGGCAAAAGAGAAAAACCTCCTCCACACAGTTGAGATTACAGTCTTTTAAAAAGAATAAATGCAATTTTTCATCATGAGACTGGAGGAACACTGGAAGTTACAACTTAGTTAAAACATTGTCCAGCCATTTTCTACTGCTAATCAGTATGGAGTTTCCTTTTTAAAAATTTCTAACTTGTTAAGAAAACAAATAGGCTCATTTACTTTAATATTTTTGACAGAGAAGTGATTTGGTACTTACTGATTCCTCTGTCTTCATGGCTGTCATCGTCTCTCTCGTCCCTATCATTTTCCAGGTTCGACATACGCACTGACATTTCTACACACCATTACAAACAGAAAAATGCAACTGTTAAGAGAAAAATTTTGGATCAACTTACTAATGGCTGTTACCCTGGTATTATAGTGGAATCACTTTGTATTACTGTTTGAAGAGATGCAGCTTGGTGTGCTCTGTTTCCAAGATAGATGGGGCATAGGGATATCAGGAAAATGATACACCCCACAGCCCTGAATGGAACAGGCTTTATAGAAAGCAAACTGATTCAAAATGTAGACAAGGTAATCAAATATACAGGTAATTAGCACCAATCACACTCTTCTCTCTGTAACTTTCTAACCACCATCACTTCTCAACAACATTTCTCCCAAATTCAGTTTTGTCTCTCAGACTTCAGTGCCTTCGTCACAAAAATATCCTCTCATCACAAGTTTAAAAGGGCTCTGTGATTCCAGAAAAGCTTCTATGCCCTGCCCAGGCAGCCACAGAAGAAAGGATTTTGCTCTGTTTGGCCTCTTTGATGTCTGTGATCTCAAGAACATCACGTGGAACAGAAGCAGGGATACAAGTAAAAAACAAACACATTCCCAGACAGCCCAAACAGAATGGGTATGAGAACTGTAATACTCCTCAAATCATCAGCTCCAGTGCAGAAATAAACATATTTGACCAGCATGCTGTGACGAGGCCCTCAAAGCTGTGAACTTGGGCTTATCATTTTAACTCTGGAAAAATCATAACTTCAGCTTCCTGATAGGAAATGCTTTTGAGTTTTTCGGGCAGCATTTCCTCTGGAGGCAGCAGGTTGGACTACACCCAGAAGAGGGCAGCAATACACAAGCACCCTGGATGTGACCTTTTACAGAGGCTGGCAAGAGAGAAATACAATGGTGTGAAGCATTGAGGGGAGAAAAAAACAAGAAAAAAGATTTTTTTTTCTGTGTGCATTTTTGTTGTTGTTTTCAGGTTTCAATTCCCGTATCTACTACTTCTCTCAACAGTTATCAGCTCACCCTGTGCAGCCAAAGGTGACATGTGCTGGTGACTCCTCCGATGTATCTGGTGGCGATAGGCGTATACTGCTAGGACAAGCACCATAATGCAGCCCATAATGCCTCCAGCCACTGGCCCGACTGGTGCACTTTTGATCATGTTCAGAGTGATGACCTCATCTCCTAAATCAAAAGGCACAAAACATAGGGGGAAAAAAAACATAAATGCTCTGCAGAAAGGTTTAAATCAATGTCTTGTGACTAGAGATGGAATCGGATGATCTTTAAGGTCCCTTCCAACCCAAACCATTCTGTGATTCTATTGACTTGAAGCATGCTCTGACATTGAAAGGGTATGCTACCGAACGAAAAGAGTTAATGCAGCGACTGTTCAGAAGGAGAGTTACCTATTGCTCCCAGGTCATCCACATAGGGGCTCTTGGCTCCCACAATGCCACCGAAGCATTCCTTCTGCGGGGCACAATAGGACTTATCCAGATGGGTCTTCCCATCGCTGTCTACCATACACCACTCACAGTCCAAGACACCAAAGCAATCCCTGAAAAATAAGAATGAAAGAAAACGATATTTACTGCCAAGTCCAGAACTTTTCATTTGACACAGCTCAGCCTATTTTAGAATCATGAGACAAAGGGAGGCCGAAGGCATCTGTAAACTCTCCTCTCACATTGTGTAACATTTGCCCACAAGAATTTCTCACTAAAATGGTCAGGTAGGACAAGGTTATTTATACAGGGAAGTTGTATCTTGAGCTTCCAAGCCTGTTTGATTTGTGTTCTTTTTTCTCCTCCCTCCCTCGCGTCGAGCAAAGGGAGAACTTCCTATTTGTAACTCCTCCAATAAGACGCTTCTCAGCATAGTGAAGTCCTGACTACAGATCCACCCCTTTTCTGCAATCCTTTAGAAGACAGAAGAAAGGATTTGGAAAAGTCTGGTCAGAGCGTGATGTGTTCTAGCAATCTCAGTTCCCTAGAGACCACTCAAAACTGGCAAAAACTAAATAAGCCCTCAAGCATCTCCACAAAATGCCAAGAGTAGAACAGAGACACAGGAAGCTGACAGGCAGCGAACATTGCTAGCATGCTCCAAAGTCACCACTGTTAATGTATTGTCTCCTTTCTGTGAACACTTCAGTCCACATAGCCCTCCAGAAGGCAGACAAACATAGCAGTACTATCTGTTTTGCTAAAAAGAAGAATTTGTCCTTTCAACAGCAAATGTTGTACTTGCACAACCCTCAGTTCTTCAGAGTCATGAAGTGTGACTGGAAAGCCATTTGTTTGTTATTAATGGTGTTATGTGACTCAGACAGAAAGAGTGAGGTCTTGTGTTCCTGCACTACAACATAATGTCATCCTTGGTGTTTGCTACAATATCTCATTCTGGTATCATATTTCCTTTTTTCTTCCTTCAAACCATGTAAGGAGGAGCTATTTTCACTTAAAGGAATAATAGTAATTATGTCAAGAACACTGTATCTTCAGAAAGGGAGAACTGCACTTTACCCGCTCTCTGTCCTCTGATTGCACTGCGTGTTAATGCACTGCGGGAGAGCATCCTGGAGGCTGGGATCGATTGCTGTGAAAGTCATTGGCTCCTGATGCACTTCACAACTAGGATTCCTATATTGGGGCAAAAAGTAAAGCATTGTAACATAAGAAGTGATCAAGTAACAATCCATGAAAACCATCATTTTACCTACTACATTGTCATTTGCTTAAATCTACTAAAACATACTGTATATTCTCTCCTGTACCACCTGCTAGTTGCATGTACAAACACTCATTTTTGTTAACTTTCGTCCCATGAGACAGAACATTTGTCCTCACCTGCTTTCGGCGTTGGTGAGGTTGCCAGTACACTCGTTTACCTCCAGAGGGCACTCGCACGGGCATTCGCATTCGTTCTGCTCCATTCTTCAGAGGCAGAAAACAAAAACAATGCATCAGGCGGCTCGCGAATTTTAACCCCACAGTGCAGCTGCAGGACTGCTCGCCACTGAGAATGCTGTTCAGTGCCCCTTCTTCTCTTATCCCCTCTTACAAACATGGCAAGAACAAACTACTCTTAATACAGTGACACTATGGATTAAAGGACTAAAGGAATGCTAAACCACCATGACCCCTACAAGCAGCAAGAGTAAATTAACTGGTTTTCTCTTGAGTTTTGCACTGCATATTTTCACTTGGGTTATAAAATAAACACGTTTTAAAAAAACTTTTTATAAACTTTACAAAATGCCTGGACTAGCCCACTCCTATCAGATCTCCAGCTGACCTGTGGCAGTTCAGACAGAGCCTGTCCACCATGCTGCAGGCACAGAAAGCAAGCGAGTCGCAGGTCTCGTTGACGATTCCCACGAAGGCATTGGTGCCCGGTATCCTCGTCAGCCTGTACTTGGAGCAGTGACTGCCGTGGACAAGGTTTGTCAGATCTCCCTAGGAAAAAAAAAAAAAAAAAAAGCTGTGTTAATGGTATACCAAGGAACCTGTTCTTTATGGAGCTGAATGTTTCCCCCCTTGCATGGAAACACACAAAGCCGAGGGAACAAAAATGCATGGGAGAGCTGCCTTTCCAAACAAGAGACTTATGAAGTTGTTCTTCAACCTGTTGAGTTTTGCACATCTTCCAAGCCGCTACTGGGTGGAAAGACTTTGATGAAGATAGAAAAAAGATGCTTCGCTTGTAAACATCATGAGATGCAGCGGCGGGGCTGAGCCTGACATCCCGCTGACAGCAGGTTACGTTTCACTCCGTGGCACCGCTCACCCCACCCGTCCCACTGCGCCAGCTCTCCGTGACCTCCGCTACGAGGCTCAGCTGTGACGGGGAGGCACCATCACGACTTGTTGAAAACTTGCTGGCACACGTACATAAAGAACCCATACACCACAGCACTGTACAGCTGCGATCTATTTGGTAGGCAGGCTAATTTCTGATTCCGATTTGCACAGCACAATCTTAAGGTTTTGCTCTGTCCTATACAATTTCCTTTGGAGTAACCTGCTTTTTGCTTTGCATTTCAAATGTGGGGGAAATGTTTAAGCCTACCTGACACAAATCAATGTATTCTGACATAACTTTCAAATATTTTTGACACTCATTTCCCACCTTCTCATTAATAATTGAAAAGTGTTATTTGAAAAGGCAACTTCTCCCACAGAGCTTAACATCTTTTGAATAATTCTGCAGTAATCTTGCAAGGGTGGATCTGTTACACTGCAGTCGGCGTTCACCACGCAGTGAGAGATGACAGCCCCTGGCTTGGACCTCGAAGCACGGCTGAACACAAGAGAAATTCAGGTCTCCAGCCTGCAGTTTGACAAGTGATAACCTGGAAATGCTTGCGCACTTTGCATCACCAAATGCATTTGCTTGCTTGCCTAGCAAACCTCTCTCGTTTTCCTAATGCTGGCCTAAACTTTGCTGACATCAACCACAGTTGGCCATCCATAATCCCTTGTGTGTCAACTGACTTCTCATGTGAGAACTGTTTGTGTGGTTCAGATCACTGATTTCGTGTTTGGAGAGGGTGAACAGAGGCCAATCCACACAGAAGGCTGGCTTAGACTCATGTCTGCTGATCCTGGCAAGGATTTGTGTTTCCACCAAAAGAAACCCAACCCAACCAATGCACGTTCAAAAGCAAAATAAATACATAAATAAAAATACAACACACTTACCACTAAGCTGGTATTGAATTTATAAAACCGCTGAACTGTTCTGTCACTGAAGCTGTTGCAGAGGTTTTTCTTCACGAAGTTTGGGTGGTTAAGAATGTCATTTGCTACCAACGGCTCCTAAGTGAGAAATGCAGCATTTTATGCCTTTTAAATCAGGTATGAGCAGTGCCTTCTCTACAGTCCTCATCACCCCAGGAGTTAGAAAAGGGAGGAAGAGATCAAGAAAAAAGGAGCCAAACCTTATGCGTAATATGCTGCTGCTCTACCGGCGCGTGTCCTTTGGGGTCGATGAGGGTTGGGTGTGCCACGAGGTACCCCCTGTCCTCCATGATAAAGCACCTGCCCGCGACAAAAAAAGCCGTCAGTCTCCCGTTAGGCTTCCTTGGGCATTACAGGAACACAGTGCAATAAAACACCATCTTCAATTTCCAGCTGGAGGAAGAGCTCTTAAGGGCTTCCCATTACTAAAATAACAGGGCCATTAAACAAATTCACTGGAAAACAGTTTTGAAGGCTGCATCAGTTATCTCCCTGAAGCTTTTAAACCTGTTACTGCTGCTGCAAGCGTGGGCTATGGAGAACTTGAAAACTGAACTGGTTAGAAACAAAAAGGGAAACCGATCGGTGCATGGTCATGTCTGATCTGGAAAGGTCCTGAACTAAAGGAAGCGTACTGAACTCGCAAAGGTTTAAGAGTTTATTAATCTACTGTGTTACTGATTAAACAGAGGTTTCACACTCATTTAATGACGTCTGCTTTAGAATTAAATCTTAACAGAGAGCAATCACTTGTTCCACTCGCAGCCTCCCCAGCCTTTCCTCTCCCTTTGCAGCAATTCCCGTTAGTTTCCTGTGTGGTCTCAGGGAAGAGATGCCCCATGCGTGCCCCCACCCAGACAGCAGCATGCTGCGAGGCTGGAGCCTGCCCTGCCCGCAGCAGCCCTGGGCTTCGTGTTTCCATAGCCACAGACACGGCGCTGGGAAGGCTGGGGAGTTGTGCAGGGTTGCTGCCGGCACAAGGGAGATGGGAGGAGGGCAACGCGGCTGCCCGACACTGCCCAAAGGAGTCGTGAAAACATTTCATAGTTTTTTTCTTGGTTTTCATTTATATGTTTATCTTTACTCCCTCGATCTTTTGGGGTTTTGCATTAGGAATTCATGCTGTGGATGGTGTCTTCTATTTTTTTCCTAAAAGATGTTAAAGGAAACAGGAGAACTAGTGATTACCCCAGACTGACTGCAGAGAAAACCTTTGTAGAGATGCATTTAAAAACAAACAAACGCCTGCCAAATAGTTACAATTGATATCCCCTGATACCTGCAAGCATTTATGCAAAGGCTGTAAGCATTAGATCCAGCTTCTACATTAGAATGGCCTAAACAAAGCATTTAATGATATGCTTGAAAATCCTGATTTAGGGAATACAGGAACAGAATAAAGTAAAGAATAAACTGGAGAAAAAAAAAAAAAAGAAAGAACGCCAAACCAGAAATCCTGATATGCTTTTTAAATGTAATAAGATACACAAAAAACATTCAAACCAAACCAGAAAATAACTGGAAGGATGACAGAAAACCACTTCCCTTCCCAAATGCAAGATTTAAAAAACAACAATGCCCAAACTACATTATCAAGTTACTCCAGATCCAAACTACAACCTCCCCCCCATGTGATTCTTCAAAGATGACCAAGGGAGGAGGAACAATTAGATGCACTTAGGTCAAACTAAAATTGGACCTTTTACAACTAGTGCTGTGCTAGGTATTTTTATTTAATATAATAGTAGCCTATTTTAATAATCATAGTTAAAATAACTAGATCTAATATTATGTTATTACACATGAATAATCACTGCTCACAACAACTTGCTTGGTCAGTGCTCCAGAAGGGAGGTATCTAGAACAAACCCTAATCAAAACAAACAGAAGAGGAAGGCAGTGTGGTCATTTAATGAAAACTATCAGTCTACCCCCCCAAGAATACAGTGAAGCCTAAATATAACAAATGGAAATCAAATATCTTCCTTTTATTTTGTATTACTGCAGACTGTTTTCTTAGCTCATTATCTTAAATTATTATGTATTTATTGCTCAAAATCAAACTGTATAATATAATAATCTGTATGAGAACCAGCACAAGTTCTAGTGCAAATCAGAGAATGCGTATTAACAGTAACAGAATCCCAGAGTAAGACAGGCTGACAAGTACCTGTGGGTCACCTGGACAAATAAAGAACAAAATGAAAAACCACTGGGGACAAGTGGTACCTGAACGGAAAGGCTTACCTGATTTTGTTTCCTCCGTCTTGGTTACAAACGGGGAGCAGGTCCATGAGAACCTTGTAGAAGTACCGCAGGGTGAAGTCAATGCCCATCACAGCCACTGAATGCCCCGAAGACATCTGTGCGCTGCGAAGCAAGGAGAAAAAAGCAAAAAGGCTTTAATGGTTGGATTAATTAATATTGTAATTGCTCAGCTCCCTACTTGGACAGGGAACTGGATTCCCGGGCACGTGAACAACCAGCTCAGATCCATACCTACATGGCTCAGACCCATCCGCACACCAGCTGCCTGTGGAGGAGCAAACCTCCAGCACCTCTAACAGGCGCTGTTTAACGAGCACTGTGTTAAATGCCTCACGTAGGGAAACTGCATCCTATTACCAGGCCAGCTACCCATACTAGCAGGAATCAAACACGAGTAATTCAGTGATTAACCTCACATTGTCTCCCACTTGCCTACTGAGTGCCAAGTGACATTTCAATCCCCATAACGTAACAAATGGTCTGATCCCGTATTTTCCCCTGGTGTAGGGCAACAATAAACCACAGGAAAAGTGCGGAACCTGAAGTCTCTGTGGATGCTTACAAGCAGAGGCAGCAAGAGCTGCTGTGCATTGCAATATCTTGCCCACACTGAAAATGTGCTTGTGTTCCTATTTCTATGCCTCAGTCCAAGAATATACAGAGTTGCCTTGGCAACTGATAAATGAAAGACCACAAGACAGTCTCAGGGTGATGTACAGAAGCATATTTTCTTGCAGCTCTATAAAGGTAAAAAAGTACAACTTCTGCTCAGTCATGTCTTTTTAACTTTCCCCACCATCAGTACAGTAATTGCAAGAGCTCTCCTGGAAGAAGCACAGCCTTGACATTTGGCTGGAACCATCTGGCTGCTGACAGCTCCAAACAGAAGTTATATTCCAATTATGTTGTTATTTTTCCATAACTTTCTGTCCCAGAAAGTTCCCATCTATCCCTCAGGAGACGTGTCCGGATGCACTTTAATTAAGGTGCAAATCCCTGCTGGGAAGCTGGGCATCAGAGCAGCGAGGCCCTGGAACAAAACCCTTGTAATACACTAACAGAAGGGAAAAAACTAATATGGATTATAATAATTTTTGTAAAGTGCCTATTATGCAGTGGCCTGTAGTAGCCTGAGGCTGGACTGAATGACCAGGCAATCCTGTCACATTTCTACCAGCCACATTCTCGTTGGAATGGCATGATGAGAGTAAGTTACCTCTCCTCCCTGAAGGACATAAACCATCAGGTCACCCTCAAAGGGTAGGGTGATGATTTTTTGCACACATGTAGGCCTTACACTGATGACAAAGGAGATGCATTTGACTTGCTACTTCATCTACTCTTTAAAACAGTTTTATCTCTGAAGATAGGAATAAAAATGTTTAGAAGAGAAGTGAGCAGCACAGCTGGACTGGATGAAGTGGAGGCTGCTGGCAACCCCCTCTGCACATAAAACCAACTCCATTTACTGGGCTGAAGTTTGTTTGCTTTTAAAGAGGCACAGGGAAGATGTAGTGAAATTTAATGCAGTCAACTCTAATTTGTAGATTTATAGATGTAGCTTTTAAAAAATGGCATTGAATTTATTTTTAGTATTATCCTTCTCAGGAAGAAGGAATGGGAAAAAGAACGACAGTGAAGCAGCACAGACACGTTTAACTGTCTGTGACAAGGCATCAAGCTATGAAGTTAGTCCTCTGTCCTAAGAGACAAAAAGCCGTGAGGAATGCTGTAAATATTGTAGCTTCATTATTAAGTATTAATTCCTTCTGGTTTATTGATGCAAGCTGCGTTAAGCAACTTCTTCCATGAATCTTCTATCCCCAGACTCTAAAAAATAAGGAAGATATACAGAAGATGGCAATGAGAGATAAACTGCAGATCCAGACAAACTGATGTTGTTACACAGCTGTTTCTAACAAGTATGTGTATTAACTCCGCTGATCCCCTTCCACGCCCCCTTTTTGGGGGGAGATTATAACTGCATGTGACTCTAAGCTTTAGAGGTCATATTTACCCAGGAATCACACTCACATCTGCCAAACTTCATTTAACTCTTCCTTAATCACGTTCTAGTAACCCACGCAACCTTCAAGTTTTTAATGCCAACTGAAACATCTCTTACTAGATAAAAATCAGGACTTTGATTAAGAGCACTCCTCTTCTTACAAAAGTGCTTATTTCCCTTGAATAAATCTCTGCAAGAGGCACCACGCAGGCATCTGGCTTGATACCACTCCTGACAAAAAAGAGGCAGATGTTGTGTGGTGGGAAGCCCCAAACAAAGCCAAGATGTGTCCAAGAACTAAAAAACTGAGCTTTGCAGGCTTTGTGATCTGTATCTGTTAGAGCATGCAAGTAAGCCATGTGCTCAGTGAAAACCTTGGGAGAGCCTCCACATACAAACCAACCCGACTACCAATATTTCTGAATCCTGTGAGTGCTTACAACAAAAAAGCTTCAGTACCTATTCCACCAACCGATCTCCTGTAAGCATCCTACACCTCAAAATGAATCGCAGCCTTAGGCTGGGGGCCTGGCCCTGAGAGAGGTAACACTGAAGGCCTGGTCCTTGAGGAATGGGTCACCTCAGCACTGAGAAGGTCTTCCCAGACAGACAGACTCCACTTCATGGCAGCACTACTAACTGCACTGAGACTTAACAGAAACATGGAGATTCTCTTGATCAACTTTGAACAAAGAGACATTAGAACGCTTCCTTTTTCAATCACAGAAGATGTTAATTATGAAAATGTTCCTTCCCATCTGGCTGTGATGTTCCTTCAGCTATATGTGGTGCTTTAACCCCAAAGGCACAGGCTGCTGCTTTCATTCTAATTTGTTTTCTGCAGTCCTGTAAGTACAACTCAAGGTTTACGGGCTGCTCCACAAGTTGTTCTTACTCCTGAACAGCTCTCTACAGAAGTGCTAAATTTAAACAGCCCAGGCAAGGAGCTCTCTGAATTTCTGAAGCACAAACAGCTCTTTAAGGAGCAGCCTTGTGGACTCACCATCACTGGCAGCTCAGCAGATCTGCTTTCACCTGTCTCTGTCCGAACATCACCCTGGTACATATGACTTTTGTATGTGTAATTTCAGAAAACTTCCAGAAATTTAGAGATTAGCTGTCTTGATGAGAAAGTAGATCATACTATTTGATTAGTGACAGAGAGGGAACAGATCCCAAACTGCCCAAGGAAGTGGTCCTTCTCCCTCTCCTTGATCTTCACCTTGTACACATGGAATTTCTCCTCATGGCCATCCAGAAGCACGTTCTCACCGACCCAATCATTTATTTATGCTGTTATTATTTATATATTAAATAAATAGAACAAACTTACAAAAATCCCAGGGATTCTTCACAGTTTGCATATCCTATTTCTAGTGAATCTACCCGAGGTTAGATTACATTTTGTCAAATGCACTTTAAAAACAGTTTTTTTCTCAGTTCTTGAACATGCAGGAATCACCTGGCCTGTTTCAGTCCTACCCAAAACAAATCTCTTCAGAAGATTTTCAGAGTATTCTCACTTGACACAAACCTACAAACACAATTTACCTGGAAGAATGGACTGTGTGACTGATGGTAACGACATAGCCTGCCCCTCCAACATCCAAGTAGGGACCAGTAAAGGTAATTAGCCCTGGATTAGCCACTGCATGCAAGTACCTAAAGGGAGCCAAGAGAAACATTTGTAATTAGTGAGAAAAAGTTACTTTAAACTTTAAAACAGTATCCTTGATTTTGCAGAAATACAGACAAGCGTTGAATTCTGCACCCTGTGAATAAAATGCTACCAAATTAATGCTGCTTAATATTAACCAAGCACCTAGGCATGACGAGGACCCAGATGTAAAGGAGACTGAATAAATGGTTCCTCAGTAGACACAACTGCATTAAAAAAAATAAATCAATTTACTTCTGCACCAAATATGTGTAATGTCATTCTAGACATTATTGTCCCACAATAATGCACGACGCGGTGTCAGTGGAGTCTCAGACTCTCAAAGGAAACACAATCAAAATCATGACACTGCAAACACAGGAGGAAGTGCATCCTACCAGCAGAATTCACACATGGAAATCTGGAAGGTTTCAGAAAGCAGTAACAAATTACAATCTTTTAAAACTTACTGTCAATGTAAAATAATCCAAAATTTTGTCAAATATCTTCCTACTGCCATAAGAAAATTTATAAACCCTTTTCACTATTGGAAATGCTTTTATGCATGGAGAAGCTATCACTTGGCTTTTTTCTGCCCCACTATACTAACTTGCAAGTTTCTGCTGCTCTGTTGAAGCAGCTTCACCGACTTGTACTTTATTACTGTTGTGCTTGCATCTTCTTCCCAAAACACTAACATTTGGCCTTATTTAAAAACAAGACACTATCTGATGCTGCATGTGGAGACTTAAAAACATGGTTTGAGGAAATCAGTGAAGTATGAAAGCAAAAACACAAAAACAAAAAATCCCAACCAATAATAAAAACAGTAAGAAAGGCCTTTAAAATGGAAACGAGGGGTTGTAAAGGTACAGTCGGCTCATTTACAGCATGAATGCGCCCCATTTATCTCCCTACAAAAGAAGAGCAATATTCCATCATCTTATTTGTCAGTAAAACCATAAGCAACAACAAAAAGGAAGAAAATCTAAAGAAAAGGTAATCAAGAACTACGGTAATGATCTTTCAGGGGAAACGTGGGTCAGGAGAGCTGCAGCAGGGGCGATGCCAGGGGCATTCAGAGCCCTCCCCGTCCAGCTGGAGGGCTGGGAGCCAGGCTCAGCTCGCGCCTCGCAGCCTTTCATGGGCTTGCTCCGAGTCACAGTGCGGCAGCACCTGGCTGGCTGCTTTCAACAAAGCGCACGTCAAAACACACTCCAGACGGCTCTCATGTCTCAGGCTCTCATTTGTAATGTATACAAATATTTTCCCAAATCAAATGCTAGTGCATAATTAATAGCTGGCAGCCAAGCCAGCAAATTCCTCTTTTAAAGCAGTGAAGAACCCACTGTAAACAAACAAACAAGATGACTCAAATATTCACAACCAAAAATGGCACAAGGAGCTGAAAAGGCTTCTGAGGGCTGAATTAGCTAATCCCTAAAGGGGATGCTCATTTTCTGAATATTTATATTCCCATCTGCTATAGCAGGGATACGAAACAAATGATCCTTTAAAACAAAGTGGTTTGAAATTAGAACCAATAAAGGTTTTAACTAGCTGCATTTAAGCACCTTTTACCCACGATGAAAACATTTCTAGTTAAATAGTTTACAGCTGACCGTAACAAACCCAGGCTATGAAATCGATACCAAATATTTTCCTTTATTGCCCTCCCAGATTATCCAAAGCTTTGATAACAGGACCCTAAAACTCACCATTGTCTCCTGGTGGGATCAAATGCTTTGTCCATGAGGGAACCGGGGTAAATTCGGAGCACCCCATTGGGGGTTGCTATGTAACGGCGCACAATATAACTGTTCAGGCTACTCATTTCCATTTGTGTCATCCATTCATCTGTGACGTGACTGGTAGCCATTACTTCATTTCTGACAGAGAACTGCAAAACAAAGGCAGACCTAGCAGGGTTCCTCTAAGACTTGCATGAAAAGATAATAAGCTGCTCGCGGGGTTTCCTAAAGCACGATCAGAGATCATCTAAACTCAATTACTTGTTTAAAGTCTTCTCACACCAGACTGATCTGGCACATTCCAAGCAAAGGAAAAGCTTATTATAATGAAATATTGTTGTCGTTATCTCTGTGGCTTTTAGCACTTGCTTTTTTAATTCAGGTAAATAAAAACACTGCTTTGCTCACAGAAAGAAATAGTTTTCTCATTGATATGTCTAGAATCACAAAAGTAGTTTCCACTAACAATTTTCTGCAGCTTTATTTTTCCTCACATTCATTTCAATAGCTGCTTATCAACTTTTTTTCCACCTCTTGGGGCAAGATGCCCTCCCCTTCCTCTCTTTGCTCCTGTGGGCCTTGAGGCCCATGGCTATCTCTCCAGACATGGAGATACCACTCCAAATCACCCCTACTGCTTCACAGCCCTGTGAGCACCAGGAAATAAATGTTTCAGGTAGTGCCCTCCAGGATGAATGTTGTACAGTCCAGGAGGTCGAGCGAAAAGCCGTGGATGGGAGGAAAGCAGGGACAGAAGAGTGGCCAACACCAAGGACATACCTTAAGGCCAGGGTTAGCAATCAGGCGTGTGTTGTCGCTGAGGTACGCTGTGTAATGTTCCACCATCCGCTTTGTCTCGGGCTGGCTGAGATGTTCGTAAGGAGAAGAGAAGCTGCCTGCAGAGAGCATTACCGTAGGGCTTTCTAAAAAAAGGAAAATAGTAAAGAAGCTAAGGACTGTGAATTGGACATATTGCATTGTAAATACATTCATATCACGAACGGGTTTTTGACGTTGGTGTCCTATCTGAGGATATGTGGAAGGAATTATGCTGGCGTGCTCTCTACTCCTCTGTTTGCTCCTCCACTCTCCCACACATCGGTAGGAAAAGCACACAGCTTTTTGGGGTCGTGAATAGACTGTGAGTGAGGTGAGGAAATGTGAAGCTTTCCACCCAAACCGGGATGCTTACGAGCACAGCTTGTCTCCTGAGGCCCTGTCAAAACTCACTTTGCACAAACATTTCTACAGTGCTGGGTACAGTTTTTGTTAAAATACCGATCTCACAGCCATCTAGGCATAGCTGTGGCTCTGCTGCTCTGCTGCTTCCAGTAGGTAGACAACATATTCTTTGCTTCTGGCGATAGTCTTAATTGAAGAGGAAAAAAAAAGTAAGAGCAGCTCACTGCTTCAGATCTGCTATGCTGCTACCCATACACCTGAAAGGGAGATCTTAATGAAAGCAAAGAAATGGCTAAATGGGATTTTTGCCATTCAGGACAGTGTAAAGGTGTACAGCAAGGGAAGCCAACACTTGGAAAACAGGCTGGCAGCAGTGGAGTAATTTAATGTCTTAATGTACCATGAATAAAGTCGTGAGGTTAAAAAAAAGCAGATATTGAAAAAAGGGAAGCCACTGAAGAGTCAGTGATGGAAATGCTCAAAAGGAAACAGAGGAGGCAGTGCAAGAGCTGGAAGAACCCAACAGTTGTCCTGCATCCACTCAGCGCTACGAAAGCATGGCCTAATGTCAACTATCTGCATTTGTAAACCGAAAATGCCACATAAAACAGGCTAAGAATGGAGAGAATGATGCAGCGTCATATGGCAAGGCTTATAAAATGCTAAAGGACTTCAACTCTCACACAAGGCAGTGGAGAACATAAATCACAACACAAGCTCCCAGTTCTGAAGCCAGCTCTTGACCCAACAGACCACACTAAATGCTCACGAATTACCTTTCTTGGTTCAAACACAGAAGCGACAAAGTTAATCCACTTACTCTGGGTGTTATTTGGTCAACTTTAGTGCCCTTGTTGTCAAAATCAACAATTTCTGAATTGCTGGTTTTTGAAAAAAACTACAGAAGTTGGTTTCCCTTAAGAAAAGAATGATTTTGTGATGAAGAAGAAATTATTTCTCCATGTTAAGGTTGGCTATGGCAGAGGAAGACACAAGAGAAGCCTTCAGTTCTAGACAATGAACAGAGAATTACAAATACAGAGGAGGGAGCTTACTAATAAATGTAGAGCTGGCAGGGTTGATTGTCAGAACAGACCAGCAAGTAATTTTCCATTGTGCATAACTGCAATTGACCAGACAGCTTTTTCTTTTTAAAAGAAAAATCATAATGCTGGTGCAGGGCTGAAGGTTGAGAACAACATCTTTTCTGAATATTTGACCCATGTAACCCAATTCTCAGTGTGCAACCGTCTCCAGAAGAAAAAATTAACTGGAGTAAGTGAAGCGATCTGCTTTTATTCACATTCCTCTAAAACACATCACGGTACATCCAGCAACCATATGTAGTGCAGTCATAACTTATGAACTTCTATTATAGTCCTTCATCTGCTTCCCAGACCAAATATTCTGATATGGCTACATTTTGCTTTGCATGAGGTTTTTCTACTTGTCAGTTTAGTACTGTGGTTTTGGGGTATTTTCCGTTTATATCTTGTCTTTCTGGATAGAAAACAATCAAGACTAGGCACCACATTAAAGAAAGAAAGAAAAGAAAACAAAACTATCTTAAACAATTGACAGCAATTTCTATAGGTTTGTCAAATGCCTCCCTTACTCCTCCAGTCTAATCTCACTTCACTATTTGTGGCGCTGCATTATTGCTAAGAAAACATCCCAACTGTCTCTCTAATCCGTCATAAGACCTTAAAACCTTGCTACAAACAAAAGCAGTTAATACAGAACTTCTTATAAAATGGCACAGATTTTAGCAAAACCAAGAAGATTAAATTTTAAACGTAAATGTTAGTAACTTATGTATATGTATAGAAATTGTATGTTCTTAGGATGTGTTATGTGCCAATAAACTGCTTTACAGCCAAGTGAACAGAACTTAGTTTTAAGCTTGGTGAGACATCTTTTACTCTCCCCACTATACTTTCTGGGAACTTTATCAAGCAGGACTGACAGTGTAGCTATCTCCTGCTCGGATGAGCAGTCTCTCTGCATTCACCCACGCATGTGCTCTCCAATGAGCAAGTTAGCTCTGATCACTGAAGAGCAAAAAAGCCGGGTAAGGCTGAGTTTCTAACCAGCCTTGGAGGAAAAAAACTCTCTCCAGAGGACAGTACTTCCAGCATTTTGTGAGAAGAGTTTTACTTTCTGCTGCCCCACTCCCCAGCAGCATCACAATGTCAAGAAGGACTACCAGGGCTTTACCTAAGGTTGCCAGCTGCTTGAAGTGCAGGCAGGCGTTGGGCTGGCCCAGCAGATCCAGTCGATGATACAGGAGCTTGCTGCTGGGGACAGTGTTGAGATTCTTAAGCTGCTTTACGGGTATTTCTGGTTGTATCACCACGACACACAGAATAAAGGAGGTGTCCTGGACCTACAAAACACAGACAAGTTGTTAATTCCTTCCCTCCATTGCTCAGACAGCAGTGATTTCTAACACTGGGTCATGGATACTTATTGAAGGGTCATTAACAGAGAGGCTCCAAGCTCATGGTTGATAAAAACATGTTGGTGTTCCTATTAGGAAGAGTACTAGCAATTTAACTCCAGAGAGTAACATTTTATCATTACTACACTAACTTGAGTGCTGCATGTGCCGCATGCTTTCATTGGAAAATATATATATATGTTTTTAAGCACCCTCTAGTACTTCAGACTAGCAAAACTTGGAGCTGCCCAGCTGCCCTGTAAGGGGGATTTGATATTTAATGTGGCATTACAACATTAGACAACCTCTTCTGTGAATTTCTGTTACCCAATGACTGGTTTAATCTCTTAAAGTTGCTCAGCTTAATCTTTAAGCTTGTATTTAATTTAATACTGTGAAATGATCCACAAGCGCCCTCCTAAGCCTATTGGCACATAGAGGTAGCCAATTATTTCTGGCATCGGTAAAATTCACCTGGATTGTGTTTAATTTTAGGTTCCATTTTAACCCCAAGGTCAAGATTAGTGTTCAGATATGTTCAAAAATTAAACTGAAAAACTGAAGACAGCTGTTAGAAGCTCTCTTGCAACTGTTAACATAGCCTGTTGCATATGCATTGTACTCAGCTTCAAGGAAAGCTGTTATATAACTAATGTTAATAAGAAAAGTGTTAAATTACAGCAAACATCATTAACGGCTTCTGATATAATTCTGAAATGAGATAGGATCAGAATGAGAAGCTGACATTTTCCCTATTAAGTTAATTAATGAATCACACTACTCTGCCCCAAACATAACAACAGTAATAAACAAAGGAATGACTTAATGCCATAAGATGCCTCAGCCCCGTGTTTGTACTTGGCCTCCTTACACATCGCTCAGCACGCAGCACGCTCTTCAGCCCAGCACAAGTTTACTTCCATTGGGAAAGCAGGGTACAGTCACCACGTAACTGTACATCACCCTTGTCTCATGAAACAGGTGCCGTCATGAAGAGAGAGCACGCATGTCCATATAGACACGTGTCCGAAGTTTACATGGTAACTTACATGAAACTGTAATTTCACTCATTCTTTACTAAAAAAAAAAACACACCACAGATTCATGCAGCTTGAGTAATTCAAACCTTTCCTGCCTCAATAGCAACATTTTGTGCTTCACTATATTCAATATGTTGATATACTCTTCAATGCTTTAACTTACTTGATGCCAATGTGCAACAGTGCCACTTTAAGCACTTACCATTTTCCAGGCATAGCTGACATTGTAGGCTTCTTTCCCAATTTCTCTCAGTTTGTTTACATGCCAAGACAGTGAGGAGTTCACAGGAACCGTAATGATCTGACTGCCCAGGGGAATGCTACATTGGCAAAAACAACATCCAACGTTTTATTAAACACAGAGAAAGCTCCTAAGCAGTACGCTTATAAAACATATCACAAGATATGAAGAGGTCAACTGTTATCGGTCTTCAGTGAACAGAAAGATTGTTGTCTGCTGAAAATGTGTTTGTGTACCACCACATTCTGAGTCCGATCTGTCTTTTGCAACAAAAGAAAAAAGAAGCCTTTCAATTTCTGTTCTGTACATTCATTCAGCACATGACCACAACTCATCTTTTCCTGGCACACTATTAATACTGGAATGGTCCTCACTTACTACCACCTTAAATTTAAACTTTGAAAGGCAAGGCAGACTTGAAATTAGATGTAATTTACAGAGTCAGCAAGGTTTACGTTTACATATATCACCTTGTATCTGTGTCTACTCTACTGTTGCTTCCTGGCCAGAAATGTTGAAATTCATGCTTGAAGACAAGAACTAGTCTACTACTTTAGCAACGTGCCAGTTCTTCAGAAGGAAGTCAAGTATAAGATTTGCAATGTTGGTCATGAAAGTGTAGTTTCTCCAAACTCTATCAGACATAGAGGGAAAGAAGGTGAAGGAAGTTCACCCCCTCAAAAAAAAAATAAATTCTTACATAATTAAGACTAGGAGATACCCAATTACAGCTGTAAGCACAGTAATGCAAGGTAACAGAGACAATCAAAGTCCTGTATTAACAATCACGTTAATGAGAATTCGTTTACTCAGTTGGACTTGCATCCTGGATCACTCACCTCAGGATGTTCTGCCGCACCAGCTCAAATTTAGGAATGTTCTCATAATGTATAATATCTGTGTGGAGCGGTGGCTCAGACAGCAGATAGGGCCTGGTGAGGGATGGGTGCATAAGGGTGTATCCTAAAAAATAAAGACAAAGATATGCGCTAAATGCATTAAGATAACTAAGCCCAGAGTGAATGTTTATAGGGAAAAAAAGAAAAACAATACAGTAACTACATGCAGGTGCTGCTCAAATTGTACACATTAATAAAAGTGAACAAGCAATATTATCATCAAAGAAGTTGCAAAGTAAAAACTACTGCAGTTGCAAAGAAAAGCTCAAAGAACCAAGCAATAAAAACAACTTAGGATCAGAAGAAAACAGTTTACACATGTATGCACCAGTTTTGCCTTTTGCCCTATACACAGAAACACGTAACAACAATTTCAGCAGCAGTAAACATTTCCACATCAAAACTCCAATACTGAAATTTCGTGTCATGAATCCACCTACAGTCTCTAGCTGGCTGGCAACTCTCAAGCAAAACTAACCGAACACCACACAATTAATCCTCTAATAAACATTACCATTCATTATTTATAGACAATTTAGATACATGAGAATTAAGCATTTACTTTTGATAGCTAATGACCTCAGTGGGTGTAAGAATATTTTAACCTAGAAGTTACCTTTGTTATCGATGAGAAACGTGTAGGAACCCAATGAGTCCTGGTAATAGGTGACATCTTCCAAGATATATGCAAGATTAACATCTACTCCAACAATCCCCAGCAGCAGGTTTCCAAAGTAACATGGTTTACTTACAGTCATTATCAGGCCTTAAAATGAGAGAAATAACAGAAAAACATCAGCAATCTCCAGCTAATTTCTGGCAGAGGTAACAGCTTGTGTTTTATCATTTCAAAATGTTATGCATTTAAATTTCATACAGTATTAATGTGCTGAAATATGGGGAAAAATGGTGTGCCTATGGGAAGCTGAGCAGGTCATCTGCTGTGTCCAGCTGTTTTTAGCCACTCTCACCAGTTATTTTTTGTTTCTGATAGTGACCTAAGGTACATTTAATCAACATACATGCATTAAAATACACAGAACATGTAATGTTTTGGGTTTGTTGTTGTTGTTTTTTTGTCAGCCTACAAGTGAATGCCTTATAAATAAGAATCATTCACATGAAAAAACAAGATACTATTTTGTTCCTTCAATGCTGTCATTTAAGGCAACTGCAAAAAAGGAGAGGGGAGGAAGGGAGATGGAGAGAATTCATACCTGTAAAGCAACATCAGGGATGAATTATTGCTCATCTAATTGCATATTCAGAATATTAAGCCTCCTCTGCTTAACTAAATCCCAATATAGACACTGTACTGGGAATTATACCTGTAATTACACGATCGTTTGAGAAGCATCTCTTGTGCCTGAGGTAGGAACTTTAGGTAATGCCTTACTTCTCCTACCTTCTATGCCACTGCTATTTAGAAACTCTTCCTTCAAACCAATCTACAATTTATTTGCATGCATAAACACTGCAGTGTACTTAAAAGCTTATGTAAGCAAAACTTTCTCTGTTGCACCATTTCTAATCCTTCTGATGCTCACATTTTCCATTATACTTGGATATGGCTTTGTGAGAGAATAATAATAAAGCTTAATTACAGAGGTTAAGAAACACAGCAAGAAACAAGCACTCTGACTCAGAGCAGATTTACTCGGGAATGGTCTTAAATTTGTTTTGGGACTCAAAACAAAACCTAAACTCAGGCACCTTTGAAAACCATTCAGCATAACCCCTAACTACTCCTAGGTAGTAGCGAACACTAAGAATATGCGAAGTCTTGAATGAACAAATACAGAATTTGTACATTGTCCTAGCAATATGAAATCACCAGTGTGATTTCCTAACATCATCGTCACGTTTTTCACCTCTCTTTACAGAAAGTCCTTGAGATGTGTCTGGCGAGCTACCCAAGACCAAGCAGGGGTTTACCTCCAAACCCTCCAGCTCTGACCTTTCAGGTGCACACCCTGATAGCCATCACTGACATCCATCAGTGCTACGCCTTGATTCTCTCTGTATTCTGGCTCGTAGGAGCAGATAATCAGATGAAGTTGAACACACAGTGTTTGTTACTAGTAGCATTGAGTTTTAAGGTAAAAGGGCAGATCCATGCACCTTCCACCATGTCAACACAAATTAGCCACTGATGGGAGAGCCAGGCTGCAGACATCCGCTGCATTAAGGTATTCTTCAGGATACAATCACAGTCCAGGGAAAAACTGACAGCAGGCTTCCACTAAATTCGATATATGCCTTGCTGCCAGACTGCTTGGGGCCATGGACAGCCGGCTGTCAGGGCAGCCCAGCTCTGTTGAAGCTAGAAGAGCTAAGGAGCACATTTTGGACAGCATTTAATCATCTCTTTATGCCACTATTAAGCTGGTCGCCTTCTCTCTCTAACAGGGGTCTGACTGCCAATGCCTGGCATCCCCATCTTCACAGACAGGACAGAAAAAAGGAAATTGCAGCAGCAATGATGACTCAAAAGTCATGTGCATGGCTCCAGAGCAGACGAGGAAAGGGAGGCTCGGGTGATGATAAGTTTTCTCTCTTCCAGTGTGGGAAACCATGCAATCCTCTCAGTCTGCTCTAAGACCTCAAGCCATATGCAAGTACCTAAATAATGAACCCTGCAACGGTGCAGCATGGTTATGGGTGTCACTTCAATGTGACAACATTGCTTTGCTCAAGTAGAAAGAATTTCTCTCCAAAGATTAAATTCTGGGATGCTATATATATATATATATATTCACATACATGAGAACAAATTCATCCCTGAGAATCCAACCTAAATGTATCTACCTCCACGTCCTATTACTCTTCTTTTCATAACTAGACTTTCTGCAGATAAAAAGCCCATGGGCATGAAAGGCAAATTTTACATCTGCCTTGGAAACATGCCCAGAAGAATCACCTTGCAAGACTACAGCATATTTGGGAATACGTAAGCAAAAGGGAACCTAATTGCCTAGATTTTTATACCCAATTTGAATGTAAGCACTTACCATCTCCCATTTCATCCGAGAAAGGCAGGCTGAAGACTGCCTCATCAATCATTCGGTTGGGGAGGTTGGTATAGAATCGGCCAACCGTAGTTTCCAGGTTACTCAGCTGGTTTAGGACCATCATGCTGCCCTTGATCACTGGCAGAGCTGTTCGATCCGGCACCCCGTACTTCACCGAGTTCTGCTCTGCCAAGTCTCGCAGGAAGGCCAGTTCTTTCAAACCTGTCACTCCCTCTGAAACCAAGAAATATAAGGAAGGAGATAAAAGAAGCTTACTGTCCATCAAGACTTCTGTGTCTTACTCCCAAGTGCCATAAATACAAGTAATTAGCTAGTACGAAACGTAATAAGGTTACCTCTTCACATACTCTGAGATACAGCACGCAAAAATTCAACACGCTGTTCATACCACCACTTTAAACAAAGATTCCTTTTAACAAAGACTTATGTGACCTATAAATCCACAGGACAGCTCTTTGTTCTCCACTGGTGGCTAGTCCACGTAAAGAACCCGGCACATATTATACACCCTTGGAGATAACAGGCTTTGTTCTTTAGCTTAAACATTAAAGCCTCACGTTTTACATAAGTCCCAGGCTCAATTCCTGCAGGCAAATCAAAGACTTTTGTACATATTAGGACTCAAATGAGTATTTAAACGTACAGTAAAATGATATATTAGCTTAAGCATTAGTTTCCTTGGCTAGAGCCTGTGTGCAATTTTCAGTAATGCAACGTACAGCACTCTTAGTGAAGAGCTTTGCTAGAAAACAGAGGAAGCCAAACTGAGCGGGTGATCTTCATATTTAACTTCACCCTCAAGTTAGGTCCTCAGTTATCAAAGCACTCAGGTTGTTTGATATTATATTCATGCTTACTGGCTAACAACTCCAATCTAAGTCACATGTATGCTCATTTTGTGGGAGCGAGGAGCACTGGCAATGCCAGGAAGGTTTACAGTTGCAACAGTTATCAAATTTAATTCAGTCTAATTACCACTAGACTTTCTAGGCAAAAATCTTTTATATCCTGAGCAGCTGCACTTTGATATATAAGCATATTGTGGCACAGGGTTTCGTACATTAAAGAGGCAACATCTGGATATGGCCTGGGGATTACATGGACCAAAATCCATTAACAAACTGCTCCCAACAGGGCGTGGAATTACACTCGGATGATCTTAATAAACTGGCTGTGCTACGAAAGGGAATTTCCATCCACTGGAAGGAGAACATCTCTCACCATTCATAAGCGCGTACGTGAGAATCATTACGGAGTTGTTGAGGAAACTATTTTCTTCGTTGATGACACGTAGAGTCGCCTTTTTATCATCTTCTGAGGAATCTTTCGATGTGATCCCAGCCGAGAGATAAATGATGACCATATCAGTATCTAAAACGAATATTGCAGACAGTTCATTAGAGTTTTAACTCAGGAAAGCATTGTGGTAAGAGTCCTGATGTCTGCTTGCAAACGTATATTGCCAACAGCTTCATTTTTAAGATTCAGAGGAATCTACAGTGGGTAAGCAAACTGGAGCCTTACGAATTACATCTTTTGTTATTAAACATCCATTCACACTATTTAGCAACCCCCTGCTTGGCTTGGTGCCTACCAGCTTCCCAGAAGGCACACTGATGGTGTTTGTGGAGCAGACCCCACCAACACAGCCTGGCCTGGCTGCAACTGGGCAGGAGTACGCTCACAATGAGCATGCAGCGTGCTGCAGAGGCCTCTTAACAAGACTTAACAAGAGCAATAAGCCTGAAAGTTTCACCTGCTGAGCCCTGATCTCCCCTGCAGAGCGGAGCTGCGTGCCTCACGGGGCAGCACCTGCCTGCATTTCCTACAAGAGAAGTGCACGGTGCTTTCTGACAGGCAGCACGGGAGCTCGGGATGCCACGGGATGAAGGGCACCTTACCTTTCCTGCGGTGTAGGTCTGAGCATAATGCCTGAGAAACGCAACGCAACGCAACGTGCAGCCCTTCATCTCCGGCTCCCTTTGCATGAAGCTGAACACGTTTTTCAAGCCGAGTATGTTCTGTGCGAACGGCCTGCCTCGAAGCCTTTGAACATGCAAATCCCAATCTTTGCTTACACGCAATCTGATTTCATCATCTCAGTGTTAGAAGTGTTTTATGCATATAATTAAGACACTTGTAGTGATCGTGCAACACCACATAATCTGAAGCACATGAGGTCTGCTGGTTGTATGCCAACTTTGTTGTCCCATCTGTTATCTTTTATTTTCTAAATAGTTATGAATATTGACTTGGATATTTTGTCCTCCTGACTTGAAAAGCCCTTCAGCCAGAAGTGGGTTTTGACACAAACGAGTATGACAAGCTGTTTTTTCATAGGGAATTTCTACTGTATTTTTTTTTTAAGAAGCTAAAGATAGAAATAAAAGCAAAGCCAGGTGTTAACACAGCTTTAGCTGTATTTAAGGAAAGCCATTCATCTGTTTCCCAGGCTACAGCACAGATATTTTATATCGCAGCCAGGGGACAATGCTTTTAACACGTTTTTAATATATATGTGTGATTTAACATATCTATCTGTGTGTATACACACACACATATAGGCAGGCTACCTATTTGCCTTGGGTTTTCAAGGGATGTTGGCTCTCAGGGACAGCCTTCTCTTACACTTTGGGATGAGGGTCTGCTGAGCAAGACGGCAGTAGGAACTGGCACGAGGCAGGAAATCCTGACGTGTTCAGCAGCACAATTCCTCCATCACATACCAGGAGTTCCCTTCTAACTTTTCCAACGTGAATTCAGGAGCAAGGTTGTATCTCAATAGCTTCCCTGACACACCCATACATTGTTCTCCAGGAACAGGATGTTAGAAAATTAACGTTAAAATGAATAATACTTTTTCTTTTTTTCTTTTTTAAAGATAAAAAGATTATTTATAAGAAAATGAATCATGGCTTATAAACATCCTCTTCTCGTATCTGCTGTGTCTCACCCTGCGAATTCTGAAGCTTGCTATGTTCATATTACATCTTCAAAAATCTTTCAGAGAAAACCTAAATCCACAGTATTTACCTTTTATTTTAATTTTACATACTTCTGCTCCCAATAATTGTTCCAAATGAAACCTAGCAAAAACAGTGTTCTTCCACATTAGTGAAGAGGACGCCAAAACCTTCTCATCCTAACACACAAACAATGCCAAACAGAAGAGGTACGTAGGAGGATGTTGTAAGATTCACAGACAACGTTCTTGGAATAACTACCCATGACTAATATGTCTTATCCCAGCCAGCTTCAGCAGCCATAGATTTTTTTTTCTTTTCTCTAGAAAGTTGCACCCCTTTCATCATTTTGCCAGAGGATGGTAAAAACCTGCCCTTGACAACCCTGTCTTTCAGCTAAGCAATGTACAGACAGATAAATGCTTCACTTTATCTATGGCCTAAAGCTCAGAAGTTGAACGAACCTTTAATAGCAAAAGCACCATTTTATAAACTGAGGGAAAGTGACCTGAAATAGGAGCACATTTCCTTAGTCTTTCAAAAGCACTTTCATCCCTGGGCTTTTCTTTTCAACCTTCCTCCGTTCTGCACAGCAAGCTGAGCTGCTGCCCTCCAGGACAATGACAAATTTGCAGTCATCTGAGCGGGCCCAGGACCAGGCTGTGGGATCTGTGTTACATAAACGAATTGGCTGAAATGACGGAGATCAGGCTGCTCCCTCCACCCTGCCACGGCCCTGGCAGTGCTACTTGACTCCCACAAGCACTCAGAGCCTTAAGAGCTGCCTTTCCTCAGCTTCCTGGTAAGCAAATGTGCCGCTTGATTTCACATCCATCTTTTCCACATCTTGCACCACGTCCCCATTACAAAAAACAAACACAAAATAAAAGAGCTTTGGGAATGGGAAAGAGAAAGCCCCTTATGCATACACCAAACCAGGAGGGCATTAGATGAAGGAAAATTTATTGAGGTCAGCCTCAGGTTCCATAAAATATCACCCATAACTGGTATTCTCAAAACACCCTTTTCCCTGAGAAGTAAGGACCACATCCTAGGATTCCAGTAAGGGAATTACCCACATCCATTCATTTTAGCAATATGCCAATGAACCTGCAGCAACAGCAATTTCCATTGAAAGGACCCCTGCACACCTCTAGGACATAATCCTGTTATCAGCAATGCACTCCTGCAATTTCATCTTATAGTTTAAAAGAAAGTCAGCAAGTAGAATAAATTTAAAAGGAATGGCGACATTCAACAGCCATTCGTGAAGATTTCAGATCAAGTAAATGCTATTTAATAAAAAACAAACTTTTTTTTTTTGGATATTCCAGACACTACATTTCTTCGGCCTCTGTCAAAGTGAGAATCTCAAAAAAATATAATTGCAAGCCTCAGAAATAATCAGGATTACACAACAAGAGACTTACTTCCTTGGAGTTTCGTGCCATTGTTTGTATTTCGTATCAACTGGAAAGCCTTTTGAAATCCTACTGCATGCTGTGTAGGGCTGTCAGATGACTTTATACTGCTAACGAAGGTGGACATCTTCCTTTTTGTCTCACTAGTGGCAGGAGACAGAAACGTCTTATAGCACTGATCCAGCGAGCAGGTTCTTACTGTGTCTGCCACGGTTAACACAGAGATCTTAAAAGAGAAGAAACTATATTGGATTACCTTACCATTTATAATTCCTTACATACCAATATAGAAAACACAATGATAAGCCAACTGAAGAGATTTGGTGGATTTAAATTCAATTGTTAAGAAATAAATGCTTGAGGCATAAATCCATCAAATTTGAAAAGGATTAGACTTATGGTGATTTCAAGAAAAAGAGACTTCGGTCTTTGTTTCTCAGATGAAGTCAGCTCCGCTCATACATAATAGTTACTGCACTGTTCAGGGCAGAAACCTAAGCAGACTGGAGATATCTGAAAACAAAATCAGCAGAGAGCATTTCCAGGAAATCCTTGAGTGTCTGTAGAAAAGTGGAGGCTGCACAGAAAATGGAAAAAAGAAAACCCTCTACAGGGTTTTCACAAGAGAATTGTTAGGATTTTTTTTTAAAAAAATGTTTTAATCAAGGTGACCAGATCTACCATCAATTTTTATCCTGTAAATGAGTTAAGGCACGTAGTGGTAACACTTGTGCTAATATACATATAACATACCAATCTAATTAAACGAGTGGCATGCTTTATTCTAAATTATGACTGATGCAAGAAAGTCACAGAATAAAGCAGTAATTATTTACTCGTTTAACAGGTTTCGTAACCACTGAGCTACTGACCAAGTAATCTCGCTCTCAAATGTATTTTCTTCATTATAGGTCTCTATTCAGACAAATACGTTTGGCACTTAAATGTAAGTACTATTAATTCTGGTTAACTGTAAGCATTATTATACTGCATGAAAACTCTCTAAAAGCAAAGAAGTTAGAGGTGTTTTTTCCATACTATTATCTTAAGGCAAAGATTGTAACCAGTAATTCTTCAATGTAATTTGACTGAAACTCCCTTCCAACTAGGAAAACAAGCAGCAAGAGTAAGCAAGGTCCCACTAACAGAGAATTACTGGAAGTACAGACAGAACTGGGGACTGCTTACGGACTTGTACAAGCACCTTTTGTGCCCATGTTGTAATCCCTACTTCAAAGCAAAAAGATGGGTTAAGTGACTTTCTCAATGTCAAGTTGAATGTATATGGCAGAACAAGAAATACAATACAGATTTCTTGGCCTTTTGCTTTATCCTTTTCTTGCTGGTATCACGGCCGTCTGGGAATCTTCCAAACACTAATTACATTTCAGATCACTCCAAAATAACAGCAGAATAAATCATTTCCATTTTCCCAGGCAAGAGGACAGCCTCAGAGGCAAAATGAGTCACTCAAAGCAACACTTCAGAAATCAGTCATCAAGTTCAGAGCATGGTTCCAGTTGCCTGCTGTATCTCACTGCTGACCATCACCTGAAGTCTCTGCCAAGACTGAGAGCCTTTAAAGATTACTCAGAAACAAGATTTTGCCTTAAATCAGTGGGTTTCAATTTTTTCAGCCTCTGGATCACCAAATGCTTCCCCCACAGTAACACAGGCTTCCAAAAGTGAGTTTGATTCCTCATCACCCATGAGAAGCAGATCACTGATCCCCATGAATCCACGGACCACAAGTTAAAAACACCGCTTTGGCTGAAAACATCTAGGCAGAGTTGAAACCAACAGAACCATGCTCATCGCTGACAGAAAGCTCACCTTAGTCGTGTTCATCTATAGAGCTCAGAATAACCTGAGCAGCATCTTTGGCAATCTGAAGCTGTGTCTCAGTGACCGAAGCCCCGTGGTCCACGATGACGACGATATGCTTGGACTGAGGTCGGACAGTAGAAACGTAGACGGGCCTGCAGGAGAACAGAACGCAAACCACTGCCGTGAGTCATCATTTCCACAAAGATGTTTACAAGTGAAAATAGCCGAGAACTAAAAACAAGAACAGCCCCACAAAGAAACAATAACGTACAAAAGGAATTTTTGATTTTATAAGAACTTCTACAAGGAAAGACAAGCTGGGAATCCAGACCTAAAGAAACGGCCCTTGCTTTTACTCTTCTGACCTGAACCCAAGTCAGGTGTCAGATCCTTCTCCCTCTAGCACAGCAGCTGCTTCCAGCTAGAAATAAAAAATTTTGCTGAAGCAGTGGCAGTGTTTGGGACTACTGTTTGCAGCAGGCTTTGGACTGAGCGTGATAAGCACCAATTGTTTAATGATAACTGTTGGGTGCCGGGAACATTACTCACATGGCAAGGTAAGCGCAATGGTGGGTATTTGCTGGTTACATGACAAGTAAAAACCTGTGCAGCTGTGCAGAGTTCTATTAGCATAGGGAGCTTGGTTTATTTTAATAAGAGAAGGCTTCTGGCCAAGAGAAGTTTTTCTCTTGGAGCCCTGGAGGATTTCACACGGGTTGTGCTCCGCATCCCCTCAGGTATGCGCAGCTCTGAGCCGCGTGGCCCAGCTGCCTCAAACCTGGGTGAGGGCTCAGTGCTGCCACGCGTCTGTTTGTGCTAACATTAAAAAACATATTGTCAGTGAAGTGCTGCTCAGATACTGTTCAATATTGCGAGGTATGTGAGAAAGATTTCACGAGCTCTTCCAGCTCTTTCAACCTGGAAGAAATTAGGAGGATCTTCAGCAAGAAGGAAGGGGAAAATTTGACAGGGCCCCTTTCTTCTTTATCCCAGACCCAAAAACTACTTAAGAGTCAAGTGTGAGTTCTGGAACCTAAATGTTGTTATATTAAATTTTGTTATACTAAATTTTGTTATATTAAAGACAGCCACAGCAATCGTATCAACAGATAAAGAGACGCAGGAGGTTTTGGACAAGGCACTGCAATAAACAACTGGCACAAATCTGTTCCTAATTGTGGAACAGCCTGCAGCTCTACCCTGGTATGAATACCTAGAACTTAGAGAGCACGTTTGATCTTCAAAGCACTTACTATTAACTAATTAATCTGTCCAAACTACCCTGCAAGGTAAATCTTAGCAGGAAAATAATATCCCTAGTTTATCCATGGAGAAGCTAAGACCAAGATTAGGTGATATGCATGAAATCACCAATGGTTTTAGTGTCAAAAGTCTGATGGAGACTCAGGTATTCCCAGCTCTCACGTCTTCAGACCGCACCTTTCCAAGGCTATAGGAAACTTAATCAAGCCCAGACGCTTCAAGCTTTGATGATACATAGAAGATAGCACCAGTAAACAGCTGATTGCTCAACTGTCAAGAAACCAAAGCGCTGTTCAGCTTCTGTGCATTCAGCTCTGTGGAAATGTACTTGGATGGGCTAATGCTTCCCCCGCATAGATTGATTAGCTGGTACAATTAGCTAACTTGTGACCTAATGGTGACTAAAGCCACTGCACTTTCTCAGAAGAATCCACCCTTGAGTCTTGATCAATCCCCGTAGTGTTGACAGCAAACGCCGGGGGTAAAATAGCACACTGCAACTGCTTTGCTGTGTGCCTCCAGACGGAACAGGCAAGTTATTACCCTGAATAGCAAAACCATGTCACCATTTGGTCCTTTTTTCCTACAATTTTCTCAGTAGAAACAGAAAGCGTCCACTATTGCTTCCCTGCTACCCACGACGTGCCACTTGAACCTCAGGGGGAGGTTCCAGAAGGGCTCCTGCTGAGGGCTGTTCCCATCTGTTATCCCTCCAGCCCCCTTCCCCAAAGCCATGCACCTGCCTCAGCGGCAGAGTACGTGCTCACTGCTTTGCTAATAGGGGTCAAGTATGAGTCAAATACAAACCAAATTTTGCCTGTGGGCTGACCTTCAATTTACAGGTTACTGCTCTGTACAGCTAATTTGATTTGAGAGATGTGAGGAACCTGTTGGCAACTGTGTTGTACTTTAAAGCTGCTTCTTCTTAAGTGAAATCCAGTACTTTAAAAACAAACCTAAGGAAACCAAGGGACCCCAGCAGAAGTTATTCATGAATGTTGTTGACTTGGAAAAGCAAAACAGTGGAAAAAAGTCAGTACTCGAGGAATGCAACTTTTGTGCTTTGCCCCCTAAACGGTAAGGAGTCGAGTCGTACCTGCTGCGGTGTTCGTAGCTGCCTTTGCACCGGAACTTGTGGGCTGGGAAAACGGTGAAAATGCCTTCTTCTGAGCTGAAATACTGCCACTTAATCCCCGGGTTTGACTTCAGATTATCAGCAAGAACTGGAAGTTGGACGGGAAAAATGACAAATGAAGGAGAGTTATGAAGGGAGGTCAAACTGAGAGCTACGTTTAATGAAAGGCCTCTCTCATATGTACTTGGAGAAGAATAACCAGGGGTTATAAACAAGGGGCCCAAGCAGCTCTATTTGAGGATTGCTAGAGCTTCACATCTGATTTGCGAACAGTTGAAGTCTTTTAGAAACCTAACATTAGACTTGATGGATTTTATGTAATGGGATGACTGTTCCTGAACCTCTGAAGCATAACTGCAATGAAGGATGCCAAGGCAGGAGCAAAGAAGGAAGAGATTAAGGCAAAACATGTATGCAAACACACATTTACACATAAACAGTGTCTATATGGAATTTTCACAAAGAAAAAAATGCTAAAAAAAATGAAGTATGTTTTTTACACTGAAGTAACCCCAAAATACGAAACAGGCTTGCAGCTTACAGCCCCGTAAGCCAAGCCACTAACATTACCTATCTGTTTAAAAATGTCTACGTGAACATTTGGCAAAAATAGCTTTATACACAAATGTGGATCAAGGAAAATCTCACCAAACAAACAGCTGAAAGGGTTAAAGAACAGGGAGAATCTTTCTTTGTTCCTCATGCTTTTGTTCGTGAAGGGTAGACAGGTACAACTCCCACTCTCAGGACTGAAGAATTTCTTCAAGTTTCTCATTATCCCTGTGCCATAATTGACAGGGCTGCAGGCTCTCATGTTGCTTGTTAGGAGCAGTAACCCCTTTTCAGGAAAAACACAGCATCTCCTCTTGGGGTTACGCAGCAGCCATCCCATCCAAGTGCTGCCTGGCCGTTGGTGGCTCCATGCTGGTTCCACCAAGCTCACCACGAGCATCACCACCAGCTTCCCATTTTTCAAATCAAAGTGGAGAAAGAACGAAGGTAACAGCTCCTAGCAGCCACACAGCGACTTTCCTACAAATCTCTCAAATTCCTCCATGCCAGCTGCTTATTAATTACTCAGTGTATGGGTAAAAGCTAAGAATAGGTGACATGGCAGGTAGGTGACATGTTTCCAGGTGGCGTAGCCAAGCACGAACCAAATTCAGGATGTAACTGGGGAGTGCAGATTTCAAACCCTCTTGTGGTTTATAGACCACATTCATTTTTCTTAAAACATCCTTACCTTCCCTTTTAAATAATCTTCAAGAAAGCGCTACTTAACACCCACAAAGTCCTTTGAAAGCTGTAGCTCAGCAGCATTAACAAAGCTTTGAGTCGCCTGCTGCAGAGGTGGCACTGGGCTTTCTGCCTCGTGGTGACACGGGGATGTCCCCGCTGCCACCTCCACTGCTCCCCGCAGGCCTGGTGAGGAGATGGGGACAGCGCTCGGCTGTACAGCTCCTCACTTTTCTTGAACAGTTCACTTCTGGCACTCCCCTTTGGGCTGAGACTGAAAATAGACCAGACAGCTTCATCTCCTGGATCTCATTCATTATCAAATACCCCACTATTTGGGTTGGAAACCACCGCAGGGCACATTTCAAACCCTAAGCAGATGTTCTACAAAACTACGCAGGCAGCCCCAGTGTAAGTTCCCATCCTCAGCAGTTTAGCACCTTCTCGAGTTTCCCAGACTGGCTGTGGCCACGACGGTCTCCCAGCATTCAGCTCAGGGTAATTACCCCATAAAAACCACTATCTCTCCCCCCACACACCACCTTTTGCTACAGTTGTTTGCATTTCCACTGTGCCTACGAGCCCCAAGGAAAGCCGTGGCTGCATCACGTTGGCCTCTGCCCAAAGCAGCAGCTTCGCACGATCTTCACTCCCAAGAAGCTGCTGCCTTAGGAGATGAGATGAGGAAGAGGACCAAGGAAGAAACAGAAGAACGAGGCACCAAATTCCCACAATGATGTCAAAGCTCGTTTCTCTGCCCCTGTGCGCAGGTAACATCAACCTCTTGGGAGCACGAATCATTTTTCTACTTCATTTTCATGCTTTCAAAGAAAGCACCCATGATCTTGCAACCAAAAGTCAAACTCATTTGCAAATGTTTTTTTGTTTCACTCACGTCTCCCTAAATTTTCCTAAGTCCTTGTGTTGGTGTCACACTGGAGACAATGCCAGTTTCTCGGTGGCATTTCTGTTTTGTAAAAAAAAAAAAAAAAAGCAGGTTTTTGGTCACCGACAAGTAGTTTCTGTGTGGCAGGGACACAAAGCTGTGTGAGATTTTAATACTGCCAAATTGGAAACTTTGAGGAAAAAAATTCACCTTTCATTACAAATGAAATAAACCTAAAGCCACACGGAATTTCTAGCTGTTATAGCTAGGCCTACCAGCAATTCCTCTCCCCAGCCCTCTCCCGAGTGCATCCATCCTCTTTTCCTCTCCAAAATCCTGTCTGGAAAGCTGAGATGTGTTTCTGAGCTCATCTAGGGTGCTGCAGCCTCGTCCTCCATGCATGGGAGCGCGATGCTTTGCCACAGCTGTGGGGATCCAGGGAAGTATCTGAGAGCCTTTTATTAAGCTGTAAAGAAACACTTGAGGGGAAAAACCAACAACACCGCACCAGGTCCCCAAAAGCACCCAAACCTTGGAAATATATATATGCAGTTCACAATTAACATCAAAATGTAACTGATTTTAAACAACATCGCCTTTCAGCCTCAACGTGACAAGGTTTTATTTCCTGAAAGACTTTGACCCAGGCTTCCTTCTCCCTCCTGTAAGCGCTGGGAAATCTAGGTGTCTCATTAAGCTAATTGCTCAGACTGCTTTTACTAATCGAGACCAAGCTGGCACCTTCCGAGGGCTCTTCATCGGCTCGTCCTCGCCGGCTGCACGCTGAGCTGCCAAAACCCCAGGCTTAGGGGAGCTGAACCTGCCCTCAGAGGTCAGCAATGCTGAACTTAGCTCATTAGCAACATTATATATTTATAATATAATTGCCATCAGAAAGAGGCTGAATTTCAGTTCTTTGCATGTCTCCCAGAGTCTGAAGACTATTTTCAAACCAGGTACTTGAGCACTCAAAGCCGGGCGAGAACAACGTGCCCATTTTAATTTCGCCAAGAGCATTAAAATAAAGCAGTTTATAATTACAGGCATTTTTTTAAATCGTTGCTGTATTGAAGGTGAACTCCTCATTCCCACAAGGCCATCGTTTGTATTTACTTTCCCATGACAGCATCAGGGCTTAGATGCTCATTTTCCCAATAAAACAATTGGGTTTGAACCCTAACAAATTCCTCGCAGCCTCAGTGCTCCCCCTCTGCTTTTCCTCCTCTGCTCATGCCTCCTTTGACAACTCCAGCAGCTCGACGTTGCCTTCCCTGGACACCACCAATTTCACCACGTCTCGTTGCTTATTTCTTTTTCCCATGACCACAGGAGACAAACTCCCATCAGATAAGCAAAAGCTGAAAAATAGGTTTTGTTTTCCTCTTTAGGTGCCCTCTTGTTTTCCATCTGAAGTCACAACAACGCCCTGCAGATATTGCCTCGTTGCTTGGTCTCTGCCAGGACACACAGCAAATGTTCTCTCTTTTGTTGTTTTTGACCAAATCTCCCCTCCCCTCAACATTTCACTCCCTCAGCTGCTTGCCTGTACTTAATTATCGCCTCATCCCTGCAGCAAAGCCGGGCTTTGGACAGGTTATACAAACAGAAGACCCCAAAAAACCCCTTGTGAGCTGCCTGCCCAGCCTAGACACTGACATTTGTCCGAGTTGGCAGCAGTAGCAGAAACGTGTGCAGGGCATTTCACTGCTACTCGTTTTCCAGGCTTCCATAGGCTTGCTAAGAGCTGTGGTTCCCATTTTAACTCAAACACCAACCTAACTTTTAATTTTCTGTTTAGGATAAAGTTATTTTTGCACGTTCAGTAAGCCACCTACCTCCCTACTGCAACACAAATAATATTTTGTGTTACATGCAATGATTTTACAGCTCTAAAATGAGCATCTCTGCTCCGCAAAGACCCAGCCTCGATATCCCACTGCTGGCAGGAACCTGGAGGTCTAAGCCTCACGCAGAAATCCCAGAGGTGTCTCAGCTTGGAGGCATGGATGGGGACGTGAACGTCCAGCTGGGAGCTGCCTCTGTCCTCGCCACGCACAACGCGGCACCACCTGACCCCAAACGCTGCCGCAGACAGAAGTTGGGAAGAATTAGCATGAGAGCATTTGAAACGATCATTCTCTCTAATTATAAATATCTAACAAAGCAAAAAGGACTTTTAGAGAGAAAGCCCTGTGTGATAGAGTTTATAAAACTTCAAAGGGAATGCGATATGATAACACTTAGCACTTCTAGATACCACTTTACATCTTCAAAGCATAGTCAAATCATTAACTAATTAATCTTCAAAGAAAAGCACAGTCAGTAAAAAAAAAAAAAAGGGGAACTGCTGAACATAATTGCTCATTATAAGAGTTTCTTGCAGTCTTCTTCAGCATTACATTTATTGAGCTGCAGACCTCACAGTTCTCATCAGGCAAAAAAAAAAAAGTTGAGTTTTCAGTGAAACACACACAGACTGCAGCTCTGCTCCAAGAGGAACCTCTCTTAAAAGTCCTCATTATGGAGATGCTTCAGTGATGCTCTGGAACAACAGCAGAGAGTGAATGTGTTTAGTTTACAAGTTAAGATGTCCTCTGACCCACAAGACTTATCCAGGACTTTGAGTCAAGCTGCATTCTGCCTCGTGCATTTTCTCCAGAAAAAAGCCTGCAGCTTGAACCCAATTAAAATTCTGCTGATGGCACGAGGCAGGGCTGAGGCCAGCTCACTCCCTGGGAGCTGTTTGGACTCTGAAGGGCAAAGAAGTAACAAACATCATGGAAAGGAGGGATCCCAGCTTCCGAGCTTTAAAAGGATTTGAGCCATGAGTTGCCACCCCCTCCAAACACCTCCCAACTCCTTTACCTCACCCGAGCTTTCAGCTCAAAATATATGAGCAATGCAAGGAGCACAACCAAGGCACTCCACATTTTAAATGATCAAGACCTTGAGTAAGGCACAGACAAAACCTGTTGGGAAACGTGGTCCCATCCCTGCATGTTCCTGGGGAAAAGCGCTCTGCCAAAGCTGCCTGATTTGAACCAGACATTTGGGCGTTTTGGAGGCTAAGAAAAGGAAAGATTTACTGGGTCCTTGTTTATTCAAAAAGATAAAGAGCAAGCAATCTGATAACATAATGCACAGGCTCTGGGCAGAGTTTTGTCATCTAATAAATAAAGGACTACTCACAGAGTGAGGGCAGATCTCTTAATCTGACTGACTGAAGCCTGCGATTCCACGTGAAGAATAAAGACTCTCTCCTCATCTATTTTGTAGTCGTGGCTAAAGGTAATCCAAATGGAAAACTCCAGCCAAGATAAAAACAGAACCTTTTCAAGGAGAAAAAAACAAAACAAACACCACCACCACCAAATCAACCTGATCTCACAAAATAAAATAGCAAAAAGTGGAATTTAAGGGCTGGGAGAAGAAAATTTTTTCTATGTTTTTTCTTCTTCCTCTTTTCTCCAAGATCGTTTCCCAGCTGGGGCAGTAGGGCTGAGGCACATTTGGTGTTTCCACTCGAGGAACGGGGAAGGGAAGGTTGGAAAGCTCACCTACCGGACCTCCAAACACCTCCAGAAAAGGAGGTGAGGACTAGGGGTGCTTAACTGCTTGCAGCTCTCCTGCAGAGAGCATAACTTGGTGTTTTCACTGGGTTTCACTCAGCATCAGCTGGTGCTTCTCAAAGAAACCTGTTTCGGCCTCATTTTCCAGCACCAGCCCAGTCTTTCTGTTCCATTTCTCTCTCAAGGGCATCTTTTCATTCACAGAAAAGATCCTACCAAAGGCTGTTTGAAAGCTGCTAAGAGGAAAACCAGAGGAGAGTTGCTCACTGTCACCAAGTCCTGCAGTGTTCCCCTGCTCTCACCATCGCTCCAATTCCCTTGTTGTGTGCTGCCCGTGCTGCCAAGGCCATTTCGGGGAGCTTTCGAGACAGAGGCAAGGGCAGAGGAGGCACTCGAGTCTGAGTGGCGAGTCAGGACAGCGAGAACTCGCGCTTGCTTTGTCTTTGTAAAAATTCAAAACAAAAGTAAAATAAAACTCTATCTCAGGTTATTTGTTTTCCATCACTCAAGGAGAAGGGATATTTTTAATGCTTTTTTTTTTTCTACATGGATGTTCTGCAGTATAAAAGTAAAGAATGGCTTTTCTGTTTCAAGGGCCCAGTAAGTGATTCACTCAGTGCTTTGCTTTTACTGCAGTGCCTGAAAATCTGCTTTCAAAAATTATTCTGCTTAATGACAATTGAATGCGATTCTAAACATTACTATACTAATAATTACTACTTTTTATTATTTTTTAATTCCTTTTTTTATAAAAAGAGCCTGGAAGTAAAACAAAATCCAGTAAAACACAGTAAGTGAACAAAGACTGCGTATCTTCAGGATGGGACACACTGCACAAATTATGGTGATGAGACATCAGGAAATTAGCTTGTCTGGCCAGCACCTGTATTCAAGATGCAGCATACAGCTGATAGGATAAAAAGAAACCTATGGGGGCTTAGTTTTGTTAAGACAGTAACTAACCAGAAACAATGTGAAGCTGTAAGAAGAGATACAGTAAGAGAGGCTAGGCATATATATCTATTTACATATAGATAGATACAGATACATAAATCCCATTTTATCCTCTTTTTTTTTGCAAATGCTCCGTGTATGGTAAGGATAGAATGCTGGCTCTGGCACTTAAACAGTAGGGTTAAAAAAAATCAGCATTTTGTTCCAAAAGATGCATGAGAATTAAAATAAAAACATATCTGCAGTCTGCATCACTTGTCAAAAGCAAACAGAAAGCCACCAAGAACTTTATGCTAAATGTAATCCTCAACCAAAACTTACTGTGCTATCTAATTTACAGCACTAAGTCAGCATAAAAAGTTGAACAGCACGATAAAACAGCTGGGCAAAACCTGAACCATGAAAGAAGAACCTGAAAACCACGTATTAGTTTCAGCTGACCGTGTAAAAAAAATGAAAATCAAAAGAAAAAAGCAAACTGTGCCACGCTGCAGAACCAAAAGCTTGGTTTGAAGCATATTTCCAGCTCTTCAAGTGTGTTACGACAACAGGTTGACAGTCAAGATAGAAACACCTTGAGAAGACAAAGAAAGGAATATTTTAGAACATCCTTATATTTTGTAGTTTTTGCACGTCACTGCAAACACAGCCTCACATTAGCTGAGCTCTGCTAAGAAGATCAGAGAAACTTCTTTGCTTGGCCCCATCGTGAGCCGACACTACTGATGCCAAAGCAGACAGGCCTGGGAAGGAAAGTGCCTTGGAAGAAAGAAGAAAAGTGCATAAACCACAACAAAATTATCCATGGTAGGCTAGAATAAAATCTTCATGACATTTTTATAAAGTCCTTAAGACTAAGGGCATACTTTAGGTATCGTCTTTCCATCATGAAATCTCAAATTAAGAGCATTGTGACAGTTTCAAGGAGAACTAGCTTGTTGCTATGGCAATCCGTGCTAATTCTCTATGCCAAGGAAATGTTACAGTCTAGTGGAAAAAACCTACAAGAGGAGGCAAATGCCCAAAGTATACTACTTACCAGAATTTAAATCACGCCCGGGATTGAAGGCTCTGCTGTTGACAGTGGTGGACAGTCTATCGCAGCTGATCGTTCTGGACACGTTGGTGTTAAAGTTGCCATCGAATCTGAAATGACAACAGCAGGATTAGCAGAGCAAGACATTACCTATTAAGCACACGCAGCATTTACAACGGAAATAAATCTTTCTGAAGGTTCAATGAAGAAGAATTATTTGTTTGGATACTCCACCATTACACGTGTTTCTAGGGCCCATGACAAATTGTGAAACCCAAGAGGAGGGGGGATAAACTCATCACAGCTGGATTGCATCTGCTCCCTAACATGATACATTGCATTTTTCCTCTCAGTATTCCCTGAAAGATAGGATCAGGGGAGACTGAGCCCTTTTATCTAGATTTAAAGAGGTTCCAGCTTGGGACGAGGCAAAGCATCCAGGCATGCTATCGGCAGGTGTCTCCTCCTGATGTCACACCAGGTTTTCTCTTGCTGTTAAGATCCTTTCACCAGCACTAATATTTTCTCTGCTGCTTTTAAAAAGCATATATAAACCTAATACCTCATATGAAGATTCCCTCTTTATATCCTTAGGAAAAAAATCTAGAAGTAGATCAACACAAACCCATTTTCTGTAGCAATGTTTGAGGATTTACATTCTGAAGAGCATAACGAATTTGAGTCTGAAGCTTTGTTACATTTCATTAGGTAAAATAATTCCAATGCATCCCTAATGCTAATCCCAGAATCATCTAGGTTGGAAAAGACCTTCAAGATCATCAAGTCAATGCAAAAAGTAACTCAGTGATTTTAATGACAATAAAACCTAATTAAACCAAAGCCTTAACAAAATCAAAATAAGAAGGGTTTTAAAGGTTAAGTAACTATAAACATTTCTGAAGCTTTCAAGGACTTAAAAGCAGTTCTGTATCATTTACATAAGGCCAGCTTTGCTCATTAATAACTTTGTGACCTTGAACTCTTGATGGTGTTTGACTTACAGTCTCATTGTTCATGGACTTCCAAAACTATTTACCTCCTATCGGAGATTTTTCCTACCATCAATTTATTTCTGATAAACCACAACAAACTGCAAGCGAGGCCTGCGGAAAATCACGTTTTGGAAGAGGAGCCTGGCTTGCCTTGCTGGAGTGCTGCCTGATAAGAAGTCTTGGAGAGAATCTGGGCAGAACAGGGGCTTGTTGAATACTGTCAAGACTGAAAGAGCAAATTAGAGGACATACGGCTGTGTCAGAAGATATTAACTTGATTCATACCAGTGGCACATCAATAGCTTACACACACTTACACAGCCCTCACCCAGTGCCATCCCAATGCTTTCTCTTTAGATCAAAGCCCGTGCATATCATACACACACCCTTTCTTTAGTTGTTTATCGTCAACTGCACGTAGATGGTTAACCTGAGGTTACTTTTTTCATGCACGTGCATACACACAGATATAAACAGATGTGCACACACAAACACACATGTGCCATAACACGGCGGAAGCCCAAAATACTGTAACACTGCTGAGGACAACAAGCGCCGCTCTTCTGGTCATTAAGAAATTGGAATTTGAGAATTTGCAACTAGTTCAAGCAGCGAGGTGCCCTGTAAGAACGGGAAGGGATCTTCTTGTTCTGTCCTTGCAGGGCGCGTGCCGTAACGGCTGGGCTTCCCAGGCACACCAGATAATTAGACAACGAGCTCCTAAGCCATCCCACTAAAACAACAATCAACAGAAACAAAAACTGAGCCCGCAGACAGATGGAACTGGTTACCACAAGGAAATATCAAGTTATGACCACAGGAAGGGAGCCTTTTAAAGCAAACTAAATCTCTCCTAATCCACTATCTTCTTGTTCAGCCCGATTCAAAGTCATTTCTTCCTCAAGGAACAAAGCTGAGGCTGCCTGAAGCCAGCCAGATGCAGGATCTGCCCCATCTCCTGGCTGTGGGACCCGCGCGTGCAGGATGCGGCGGAAGCTTTTATGACTTACAAGAGATCTGCAGAGACTAAGGAAAAGAAAAATTTGTTAGCAGGCTTAAGACCACCACTCCTGTACATGACTGGATCCACTGTCAGAAACGTTACGATCACAGAACCAAACAAATGTTCCTGAAATGGGGGCGAGAGCTCACTGCAAGCAGCACGGCTGCTGCACGCAGAGGTCATGAGTTGGCATTTTGGGCATCACTCAGGCCAGCACAGCTCGACTTCAGGTTGGGACAAGTTGTTTGCTTAAAGCAGAGGCTTCACTTGTGAGCAGAGAGTGCAGCACAGCCTTCCCCGTACCAAGAAATTTGCCCCTCAAGTAGAGAAGTCATTTCCTGAGAACTTGGTACTCAGCTCCCGAATAACTTCCTGAACCACAAATAATCCCTCTTATGCAAATGCATAGCTGAACGTCAGACACTGACTTCTTTGGTCTTAACAACAGATTAAATATTATGACTTCTGCAGAGTCACAAAATGTTTTGTTTCACATGGTTACAGCTCACGAGAGCCGCGGCTCAGTTTGCAGAAGCCCTCTAACTGACCTTCAGAACATGCAGAAATCAGCATTACTGATGACAACTCTTTAATTTTTAGGATCTTCACGGCTATGTAGAATTGTCATTGAAAAAAAAAAAGTATTTCCTTAAACTAGCATGCTTTAAAAGGGATTTAATCAATACTAATAAACACTATATACATTTTAAATTAATTGTATTAGTCTTAAAAAGATGAATGAGACTGGCAATGGACAGAGTTAGTTACTGAGGCACCAATGTTTTTTTCAGCTCCTACCAAGCAAGCAAAAGTTGTGTTGATTTTTTGTTGGAGAGGGAATCTCAGGATTCAGACGAGTTGATGAAGGATGGGCTGCCCAAAGAACAATTTTATCTGTGGGCAAAACCAGCTGGGGAAGAGCTAGAGACTGCAAATGACACATCTCAGTGCTAAAGAAATATTTCCAAGGAATACTGGGGAACGAACTCTGAGGGAAGGCTAATGACTTTTCAGGATGTTAGCTAATTGCCCCAGTGCTCCCATCAAAACCTATTAGCAATGGCAACAGGCTACCTCATTAGCAACTAACATCATCCGTGTCTCAGAACACCAGCAATAAACGCTGGGGGTTAACTCAGAATCATCTGGAGTCTTCCTCTGCTCCTCATTTTATTTCATGGCAAAAATCCCCTCTCACACTCACTGGAAACAACACGTGCACCCTGCCGTACAGTTCTTACACCGCTCAAACTACCAGCTTGAAGTTACCAGAGCGAGAAGTTGCATTTATCTGGATTTATAATGTGTGAAAGATCAACACAGGCAAGGTCCTCAGCTCTTCTCAGGGAGTCCTGTGTTGCCATCGGGAAAATGAAGGAAGAGATATTAAATAATCAGCAGCAGAGCTGGGGAGGGAAAGGGAAAAGTTACTGCAGCCTGGGTCAGCCCTCCTTTCTCTTGCCACAGCACACACAGAACAGAAGGACCAAGGCAGCGTGCGGCAAGCTGACCGTCGGGCTTTTGTGAGCATTGATCAGGCTGGAGAATTTTGGGTGTGCTTCTTCTGGACACCATTATGTTGTTTCAATTAAGGACACGCTATTAAACAAGCTGCTGATCCTCGCCATTAAAACAGCAATTAAACCAAAGTCTCAAAGCCGCAACGTGGTGGTTGCAGTGAACTCGAGGAGTTTCCTTGGCTGTACCTGCTGCCCTTACCTCCCCTGCGATGTATGCATGCGATGCACGTTGTCAGCAGGAGCCGTGCAAATCTTCACATCATTTAGTTTGGAAGAAGTTATTAAAAATCAGTACCGGAGGATTTGCAGACAAGTATCGATCTCCACCCTTTCTCTGTACAAAAGAGACTGAATTTTAACTGATTTCTCCTTTAATTTTAACAGTATTTCTCACTTCTGCCAGCAGAAAAGATGACAGAGTGGACAGAGTGAGTACCAGCTGTCTGACGGAGACCTCGGTTGGAATTTGGCCCCAAAATTTCCAACACCACGGCCAAAACTTCGGGATGTCTTCCAAAATTCTTACCAGAAGGAAAAAGCAAAAACACTACCACAACTCTCCAGTCAGATGTAATTAGTTTTTGTATAAACTTAAACAAGAGCCAAAAAAAAAAGAAGCCCTCCCCACTGGCTGAAATTCAGATTCAAGAAAAGCCCAGCTCCCCCCATCCCCCTTTCCCTGCCTGTCTCTAAAAATCCCTTCCTTCTGGATTCACTTTAATGAACAACTGATCGAAACTGCATCCCGAGGGAGCAAACAGAGCCGCGACTCCCACTTTGATCTCTTCCCCATGGAGAAACGCGCTCCCTGCCTGGCTTGCAAGATGTTCACTTGATTGACGTTTGCTCTGATGTGCAAACTGCTTTGAACTTCAGACATTTAATTCCCATCAGGCTGCACTCATTTTTATTCTCCTTCAACAGGATTTACAAGCAGGAGATCAGCAAATGCAGAAGATAAAATAAATTTGCAGAAGCTTTGAATCTTACATCAAAACAGCGCTCAAGTGAGCTCCAATTGGATTTTGCTCAGCCTGAATTTGCAGCGTAAATCAGCCTCTTTTGTACAGTTGCAGTTTAGGGGAAAAAATGGAGGAGCTGTGCACAAAAATGGCATTTGAGCAGCCACCGTGGGGTCCACGTTGTTTTGAGACTCATTTTGTTCTGTCCCGGTCCATTTATATGAATTTCAGGATGATTTCAGGATGCAAATGAAATTAGGTAAGTTCACTGAAAATTCAGCATTTCCTCCGAAATTCTCTGCTAGATGCATTTTCCTGAGAGTAAGACAAGATCTTCACTCATATTTCACATGCTTACGTACTTCGGTAGAGCAGGAACCATCTATTTAAACTAAATGCTGGAAAAACAAAATTTTAATGAATAAACTCAAGAAAAAGCTACTGAGGATTCAGTTCACCACTTTCTTATGGCATATAAGTTGTTCTAATTACTTCAACTCCTGCTTGAGAAAGTCAATGTGTATTTACTTGTATAGAGAGAGAAGTTTGTCCTCGAGAGGGATTTCCTACCTACCTGCTGCAGCTCCTGAACAAAACCAGGCAGTGCCAGGAGTGGCACTGTGCAGGCTCCCT